GGTCGAAAAGGATTGACAAAAATAACACCATGGAAGCATCTTCTCCTCCATTCGAGGTGACGTGAAATAACAACAATAAAAGTTGACGGGGGCCGATCATGGTAATTGTGTTCCGCCGCGTCACGTCCGTGCACAACAAGCCGCGGCGCTCTCTTCCTTTTTGGCAGCTCGCGTCCGTTGCCTGCCAGCGTAATATATTTTCAAGCGAGACGAATGGATCGTGATTTCGTGGCCGCAGGACGGAGCGCGGACGGTCTCGCTTTCCTTTGTTATCCATTGTCGCTGTTCCCCGAAGCCGACCGGACGATGATGGTACACGAAGGCGAGATCTCTCGCCGCCGTCGCCCTCGCCTTCGTATAAAACGAACGAACGCGGCGCGGCGGCTTCGTAGAAGGGGTATCTGATTCTAATCCCGAAATCCGGTTCGAAGCTCCGGATTGTCGGCGCGATACTCGTCCTTTTTCGTTAACACGGCGCTTAAAAAAGGTCTCGGGGCCCCGACATGACCATCCCGAGGCGTTCATGAATAAGAGATGTGGCGCGGGATGGGAGTTTCGTATAAAATTCGTTTACGGTTGTTTATAGAAACGAAAGAAACGCACGGCGCTCTAATTTATCCGCTCTGGCTTACGTTTTCAGCGTTTTTCAAAAATAGCATGCGAATGACACATTCCGCAATCCAATAGATCCGCTTAACGGTCGTGAAATCCCCGCGATGATACAGCATCGCCGCACTGCCATTTACCCGTCGCCGTCGTCCTCCCTGCAAGTTTGTCAGAATTGCCGCGGAGAGAGGCAGTTAACGAGGCGGGCCCGCTCGCGGTAATTATCCCCCACAATTAGCAATCGTTCGTTAGTCAACTGCAGCCGTAATATTCGTCTCGCAAGAACGGACGATGCATATTCATCGGCCGCCTCGCGGCCCGGCTGGAGCGACGCGCTTCGGTCCCGGCGTTCTATAATAATTCATAATTAAGCGTTAATGAAAGCCACAGTCATCGATTGTCCGCAGGCGGCGGAATCGTTCTTTCGCGTACGCCGCGATTTTTCCGCGAAACGGACGATCACGGCCGAGTTATCAATTTTTTTTCCTTCCTCTCGGACTCGCCTTCGTTTCTAGCGACGATTATCTTGTACGCAAGTCTCTCTCTCTCTCGTCTCCGATGCGGTCACCGGATCGAATCGATTTCCGGCCCGATCGCCGGTAAAACGATAGGCGAGGCCTCCTCATTCAAGTAGGCTAATAGCAAGAAATTACGCGTAAGATGTTACCATTGACATGGCTAACATCATCTTTACGAGTGCTTTCATGCGCTTCCCATGAGCGCACGCGAGCGACTTTTATTGCGTCTTTTGCCCAGCATCTGCAAATCATTATAAGTATAGGCTAGACTAGAATAATTTCTACGTCGCGTCGCCGCCGAAGATCGACGGTGAGCTGGCTAGGGGTATTGAAGTTAAAGAGCCGTCTTTTACTTTAGAGAAAATGATCGGGCGGGCATTAACAGTTTCCACGCCGCGTACTCCGCGCGCTTAATAGCGATGTTAAGTGATTTACTGTCAATCGCCGTGGCTGCTTGTCATCCTGTTCACGCGTTCTCACGCGGCAACGCTAAGCGCAAGCGATATTAGCGGGATTTACATCGAGGGAGGTGTAAGAAACGTATATAGGGACGCGACCGTGCGGAATTTCAACTGTGCGACAAAATGCATTAGCTGCGTTTAATGCATAACACGAACCAATTCACGAAGCGGACAACAAGGGGAATTGGAAACTTTGTAAACCTGCCGAAAGTTCAGAGATTGAGATACAACTCCAGCAGAGAACGTTCTTTCTGTTTACGTTTGCTCTCTCGGGCTTGTTAAACCTCAATGAAACGTTCGAAAAATTAGCGACGATTCAGCGTTACACCGCAGCTGCACGTTGCGCCAGCTCGCCGCGTCTCAACGCGAGATCGGCGCGTGTATGGACGTCTTTCCATAAAAGTGCCGAAGATCATCTCTAAAAATATAATGACTGACGCCTTTAAGCGCGAGAAACGGACGCGCGCGCCCGTCCGAGAGAGGGTCGGTCTCGCGGCTTCAATCTGGATCGCGCGTGACTTTACGCGTGAGCAATATACACGCAACAGGTTACGCGCGGGCAAACGACGCATCGTGATCGCCATCCGTTCCACGGCGATCTAATCTCGATGCATGCCGGCGTTTCGCGCTCCTTCGTCCGCGATGACGGGAGCCCGGCTCCGGCCGCGCTGCGCCGTTCCGACAGCTGCCGCGGCGCTGAAAGAATTACCACGGGCTTTGTTCTCCCGCGAACAGTACGCCTTTTGTTGGACCTTAATATTCACCGCGTCCGAACGGCGCTACGAATTCGTTTTTTTTTTCACTTCCACGGGAGAACTGCGTGTAAGACGCGCGCCGAGAAAAGAACGTCCGACGTGAAATATTTCGTGCGGGGCTGCCGTAGCACACCCCTTTCTTATGCAGCAGGGATAATTTTGTGACAAAATCTACAATCAATTATATATATACGAAATACGAAAATTAAATATGTCACATAAATATTATTTCGTATATAAATGTCGACAATCTCGACAAGGTATTGAATTTTATTTTAACAGACGTAAGGTTTTCTCGCGAATCTCGTCAGACCCTCGTTGAAATCGCGCCACGTAATTAGGCGTCAGGTCGTTCCGAAGGCGGTAGCGAGTCGCCCTCCTGAAGCGTGAAATATTACTGTTCGGGCGCAACGATCTTCTCGGTGCCGAGCGCGCCGCGCCGTCAGCAATTAACCGGTAATCTGATATCGATAGCAGTATACTCGCACGTCGGGGGCCGAACCGAGAGACGGGGCCGAGACGGGCCGGGTCGGGCCGCGAGCCGCCGCGATGCCGAGCGGATGCATGCGCGCCGCATCGTCGCGCGCTACTACTTGAAAGCGCAGCGTGGCGCGCACCCCCGTAGCGCTTGATCACAGGCCGTCGCTTCTTTCGATCCTCGCCAAAATAATATAGGCCCGTTTCCTTTAGTTACGCCTCCTCGCACTTCTTTCTTTCAAACACCGTGAGGCGTTTGTGCCAGAACTGTATACGCATCGAAGCTCGTGGATTGCGAATCGGAGATTCGAATTCGATCAACTTCAATCTCGTACCTCAATCATCTCTCCGCAGCCTCTTTTGTATCCGTTTCAGTTGAATCTTCAGTCTTCAATACATACCCCCGGCATTGGGCTCTTCCACTTCCAGAAGAGAGAGAACGGAAGAGGATAGAAAACAAGTGTGAGAACTACAAGACCGAGCGAAGGGACTCCGTCTCTTCGAAGTGAGAAGAGCGTCATGTGTGTAATACGCTACGCTCCGCGGAGCATAATTTTTCAGCATATCAAGGCCATATTTTCCTCTCTCGTCACCTCACGCGAGGAAACTCGCTTTATCGATAAACATTATACAAGATCGATAACCCGCGGCTTCGTGACGCTAACAACGTGCGCCGCGATATTAAACGCGTTAATTGCGTTAACACGCTGAAAACGTTTTGCGCGACAATCTAAAGTTTAAGCTCTAAATCTTCGGTTAAGTTTTAACGGGCACGCATCGCGGGGTATGCAAATACCGCTAAGTTACCTCTAGAAAAGAAAAAGAAAGAGGAAGAAAAAGAGAGTAAGGAGGAAAGAAAGAAGTGCGTGATCTCGCGTATATGCCGCTATCCCGGGATCGCAGAAAAAGAATTCCAGATTCTAGCCGGGTTCTAGATTCCGCGGTGACGCGCCGCGCATAGACATTCGCGCCTTTCCGAGGAAGCCGCGCCGAAGAAGAGGCGAGTATCGCGATCCGTCCGTAGAAGAGAGAGAGGAAGAGAGACGGAAAAAGAGATCTCCGGGTCTCCGCGCCGTCGCCGCCGCCGCCGCCGCCGCCGCCGCCGTCCGCGGCACGATGGCGCCCGTAGGGCGCCGTCGCGCACTTCCCCGCTGACGACAACGACGACGACGTCAGGCCCGTACCTCGTAATACCTCGGCCGCAAATTCTTTGGAGTCTGGGCGATACGCCAAGTTGTCTACACGTTCGAGAAGCGTGTCTGAGGGACTGGCTCAGCTTCTTAGATCTTCTTTGTTAGACAGATCTACAGACAGATAACCTTCAGAAAAGTAAGTCTTAGGTAGGTACGCGACCTTCCGAGATATGTAGCAAAACAATCGATTTGACATGGCTGTTGTGCCACTTATATATTTAAATACCTTGAAACGACTTGATTGTGAAGAGATAATTTTTCCGTCCCTTCTCGTTTTTTTTTCTTAATCTTATTCGAAAGTATGCGCGCAATATTGCCGCTGATTTTTAAGAATACTATTTTTATAAATAGTTAGATGCGTATATGATTGCTGATTGTCGTTACAATGTAATCATTCTCATATATACGGTAACTAAGAAACTGATCAAATCATAATCGTATTATTATGACTTTATATGTGTATAGATATTATAAAATTTATAAATATAAATATATATCAGAAACTTAAATTTGTAAGGGAAAAACCGCTTGCAGCATTAGATTTTGTGAATAACTATATCCTTTATTAATCAGAAAGTAACTTTTTTTCAATAAAAACAAGGCTTTGATTTTGAATGAAATCCATAACCATAGAAAATCATTCTATATCGTTCTAGCGCTCGCAACGCGCGAAGAATCGCGTAATCCAACTTAATACTAAAGACCTCTCTCGACTCATTGCTTCGTCTCTCGACTCTGTTTATCGCGCCGTACGATCAGATATATTCTCGACAGCGAGGCGAAGGGGTTTCTTAGCACAGGCCTGAGCGCCGATCTTCCCCCCTCAGTATCGTCATCTCGCTCGCTCACGCGGCACTGATCATCAGCTGTCAAACGACTCCGGAGTCTCCTCTCCTCTCGGTCGGCGAAGCCGACGAAGCCCGACGTTCCCCCACCGATCCACGGCGTAGACGGCCGAAGCGAGTGCGGCCTGCGCCTTGCGGCTCGACGCGGAGCGCTCTACGTCACAGTGAAGTATGTGCTCCCGAGTGTAGAAAATGGCTGCGCTCTCCGCTAACACGGGCGGATGTAAATACGGTCTGTGGCTCGGTCTAGGAGTGCTCGCCGCGAGATACCTTGGCGGTGAGTACGGCCGTCTGTGCGTGACGCGCTACGCTCGATCCGCGTCGTAGCGTGCGTGCGTACGTATGTACGCGTTTTCCTATGCGCGTGTATACATGCATGCTTGTATGTGTCTGTGCGTATGTGTGTGCGTGCGTGTGTATATGTGTGCGTGATGCACGAGAGATGCTGCCTGTGTGCCGCTGACGACGGCAGCGGAAAAGGCGAAGAACCCTCGCTGCCGGGTCGCGCGCGGCGCGAGAGAGAATCGATCGGAATATGCGGACTGCCCGCGCGCGACGCCCGCGGAACGATCGTCCCGGTTGCACCAACCCCGTATCTGTACGCCTTCTGCCGCACAGATGTCCTAACCCGATCGCCGTCCGTCTCTCCTCTCTTTCTCCGTCGTTTCCTCCGCGCCGCGTGCCGTCTCGAGCGCGCGTTTGTTCGCATGCACATCCGTGTCTTCATCCCTTCGAGAAAATCCGAGAAACAGCCACGAAAGGCCCGAGTCGGCTCGCCCTGACACCACCGGATAAAGGATCGTCGCCCGACGCGCCCTCGTATCGCACGCTTTCTACTACGATTTCGAGGAAGCACTCCTAGATACGGGGAAACGGCTGCGATCGACAATTTCTTCGTGTGACACTTCCACGACCTGCTGGTCCCGCGACCCTCATATAACTCGGTGTATCGCGCGTTTTTCTGGATTCCGTTCGTTCAGTAGAGCGCTATTCATTTTCTTTCCCCTCTCGCGCAGTAAAACCGATCGTGTTCTCTCACTGATACATTTTCTCGGATGGAATTCCTGCGCCGTTCGACATGGCACGCGGCCGCACTTTTTACGTCTGTGCGTCGGGACAGGGAGAGACGAAGAGAGAAAAAGGAGAAGGGAGAGACGAGAGATGAGAGGTTAGCTGTTCCGACGTTAGAGACTGAAATACCAGGCGGTGCGCCGAGTATTCGCGCCGTCTCACTCGTCGGCTCGTAGACGGAGAGTGCCGTTCTCGCACCGCCGCCGCCGCTGCCGCCGTGACGACTTTTCCACTTTTCTTCTCCTCTTTCCTTCCCTCTTTTCTCCGCTCTCTCGCGAGCTCTTCTCTCTTTGCGCGCGTCTCGGTCACGAGGTTTCAGACCTCGAGCGTGATGCTGGTCGCTGGACCGGACCGTCGCGCGCGATTCTGTATCGGGCGGGGGATGACGCCGCCGCGCCGTGGCGACGACACCAGACTTTAACCCTTTGAAACGCAACGCGACCGTATGACCGTCGTCTCTTTTTTTTAAATACCTTCTTTTCTTAATCTGCGCAGCGCGACCGCGCTTGACCGAGGTTCATGAAAGAAAAGTTGAACCATGAATGTTTTAGATAGGGCCCTGTTACAGAAATGTCGTCGCTTGTCTCTGTATTGTTGCCTTTTTCGACATTACGTTTGCGACGTGAAGTACACATACACTTATAAATTTATAAATTAAATTTAAAAATTTTTTAAATTTGTTCACTTATCGGAACATATTTTAACGCGTACTTTTCAGTCAAGTACGTTTCACGTTTCGTGTCTGTTGATTATTAAAATAATTTTGCTATTATATATTATTATTGTAATTTGTCAAACATTAACACGCCTCAAAGTGCAAGTATAATTTATTACTTCTGACTGTTTTGAAATGGCATTACTGTTTCTGGAATAGCTAGTCAACAGTCAAAATGCGTAAATATTTAGATATTTTAGATGGAAAGCATGCGTCCCAAATCCGATGTAATATTCTAATATAGATATAATCAAATTCATGCATAAATTTGATCAAACTCCGATTAATCGGTGATTAAATTAATTAACAGAATTTCAATATTTTTAACTACATAATTTGTTGTCTGTAATCGAATCCTGCTTTTCAAATATTTAGCAACGATGTACAATATTGTTTATTTTTTCTACTTTAACAAATAAGACATATAGGCAAATAAAAGTATAGGCTCGACGTGCCTATACTTAATCGGAGTTTTCCTAAACTATAATACTTGTGATCCCATTTTATTAGAAAATTACTGCAAAGACATACCTAATATAGCGATCAGTAGTTTTTGCGACGTTATTGAAGTTACCGAGTTGTTCTTTGAACTTTTCAAAAACAACGAAGCAGCAATTGTCCATGGCGTTAAGCTCTCTTAATTATCATTACTATCGTTAGATCTGATCTCTCACGGTCATTGACGTCAAACAACGTCCGATCCGCGATCGTCATATTTAGTAATCGCGCAATCGGACGACCACTTTCGGCGCTAAATGCGGCGCGAAGATGCCGAGACGGACATTTGTCTGTCTCTGTAGGAAATGGAGAAATTGTTTATGTTGTCTCGGCGGGGCGTGCGTAGGGCTCGAAATACATCAAAGGATTGTAAACGTCGGCGTCGTTTCAGCGCGGCACGACACTCGTCTTCCCCTCTGCCTGCCCTCGCCGGAGTCCACCACGCCAAACGTAATTTCGCGCTGAAAACACGCGGGCCTACTCCGATCTGCTTCTCCCTTTCTCCTCTCTCTCTCGCCGCGCGCGCTCTCTTTCTCTCCCTGCCTTCTCTCTCTCTCTCTTTCTCTTTCTTACGTCGCGTACGTATGACGTACGACGTGCAATTTTTTCCGCGAGGCCCCGCAAGGACATCGCGCGTGTACATCGTGCGTACGATGAATAAGGCGAATAAAAGGCGGCCTTTCTCAATGCAAGCGCGCGAGCCGTATCCGGGAAAAAATTACGCTGTTTCGTAACATGTGACTTCTCGCGCGTAATGCAACGAACTCTTTTTTTTTTTTTTTAAGTGCGATATCGGAAACGTATGCTATCAGATCGATATTCGCAGCCCCAGGATTTAAGAGGGATATCTGTCGAAATACGATATTAAGAAAAAAACACGAAAAAAAAGAAGGGAAAAACGCGCATACGCACGCACTCACGTTTAATCTGAATAACAAAGTAGTAATTCTCGATGAAAAGAATGATTAATGAGATTCCCGATAATTGTGTAAGTCCGGAATAAAAAGCGCCCCACCGTTCGGTGGGTCCAGAGTTCGAGGCTGCAGACGCGCGAAAACATTTTTATGCGCAACGAAAACGCAAGGCGAATTGACGTACTGACACAGTATTTATGGATCATTTCGGCAGACGGATTACTTTAAGCTGACCGTTAATGGACTCCGTTTCTCCCTAATTCATTTTTTCTTCCTAACGTACAATACATTTCTATTAATATAGATTGATTTTATTCTCGGTTTAATATTTACTCTGCTTGTATCCTTAATTCTTAGAACTAAAAAAAAAACTATAAAAAGTAAGTTGAACCGAGATTAAAATTCATCTGCGTTGGTAAAACTGAACATTACGAGCAAGCAAATATTTCCAATTTGAGTTGAGATTTCTGTCAGTAATATAATATTAGAAGCTTATGGTATCGAAAATTGAAGCTCGTTCCCCAAGTTTCGTCCGACAGTTATGGATGCTGCGAGTGGCGAAGACGTGCCGGAGACGATCTCGCGTCTTTCTTCCATCGACAGAGGATTTCCGGCTCGCAATCACGTTCAAGGAGTAGGATTACACGCACGGTTGATTGTCTTTCCAAGAAAATTACGATCGCGGAGTATCACGGTTACACGTACACGCGCGCGAATCCGTCCGTGAGTTCCCGCCGCTTTTCTCGACGGTATTATTTGCAGCGCGACGTCGCGCCGGGTATTAAGTTTCCTATGCATACACGCTTCCAGCTAGAATGCCATTCTGTCGCGCGATAGCACCGGCCGGCCTCCGAAATGTCACCCTTTTCTGCGTCAATTGTATATACCTATATAACTCCCCCGAGTCCGCCGGCCTCGACGAGATCGCTCGATTTGGCCGGTGCGGGAATAAGTTAAAAGTCGCGATATAAAGAGTATAAGATAAATATTATGGAATTATTTATTATGAAGATTTGATAAAGATTAAAGATCAAAGAGCCTTCGTCTTCATTAATCGTTTTATTAACAAAATCGTTTTATCGGTGATACTTTAACGCCTATCGGGCGGAAACACAAGATCCCCAGAATCACATACCTTGTATTGACTCTAAATATTGATAATGCGATAAGGGAACGAGAGATAAGGGATAGCTTTCACACCCAACACGACGCGAATCAATGTCCTCTTGTACAAACCATAAAAATCAACTCTCAAGTTAGCCTACGTTCAATATTTACGCAATTGGTTTTCCTCATTTATTTAAATTAGTAAAACTAATTTTGTTTGTTATCTGCGATAAGTCACAATCGCCTTCATGCCTGTCTTTAACAATGTTTGTTCGGTTATTGATAGCTCCCCAGGGGGAACGAATGCGTGACAAATATTCCCTTCCGACTCGTACTTTTCGCGATCCGATTGTCCTCGACGTCGTTCTAGAGCTTCGAAAATTGCGACGTTGATCATGATCGACGTTGTTTGTTGTTAATTGAAAGAAGAAAAAATGTCCAATGTTTCGAAATAGCTGCCCCGGCGTGGCGTTAGAACCGCCGCGCCGCGGCCGGCGCGAACTTCGCGATTCGGCGCGACTCATAGACGCGCGGGGCTATCGCTGATACTGCTCTTTGCCACGCTGATAAAGTCCGCGGCTAGCTGGCACGTTGCCTCGCGCGATTCATTGAAACCTTCGTGCGATTACGGGCGCCGATTGCGTCGCGAAAGCCGCACGAAAGCAGATATGCGCGTTACCGCCTCTCGGCCCGATCTCGCGCGAGCTCTCGTATACACTGCACACTCGCGTGTGAACGACAGTTTTCTAAACAGTTCATTACGGCGCTTTTCTCGCCAGCCGATTGTCGAGCCCCCTCCGTATCAAACTGCGCATTGGAGATTGAGCATTGCGAACTATAAAGATTAGAATTCAACTAATCGGATGATCTTCATTTTAATCCGTTTTGTTTCGATTGATTGAATTCTGATCTCCAATTCGCGAGTCTCAACTTCTAGAGCGCACGTCACACTATACGCATTGCGGACGCGAATTTGATTCGGATTACAAATCATTGACCAGTCAATTAGATTGACGTAGGATCCAGATTGTGAATCGTAGAAGGTGATTCTCTGTTTTTACGATCGGTGATACGCATTTCGAATCTGACTCATCTCGATGCATAGTGACGGGCTTAAAGCCCGCATCAGACTACGTGCATTAGAGATTAGAATTCAACCAATCGGAATAAAACGAATTAAGATTAAGGTTGATTGGTCGAATTATAGTCGACAGTTTGCGGTTGGCAGTCTCCAATGCGTAGTCTGATACGGGCTTTAAAGAGCCTCTTGGCAATCCTCTGATTTTGTAAATGCTCACTTTTTAAAAAAACAGTCAAATATGAAAATCAAGATAATCAGTAAAGAAAGTAGCTTTCAAATTTTATGTAAAGGAAATTATTAGACAAATTTATTTTATGTAAAGGAAATTATTAGGCAATTTTAACTAAAAACAATCAGGTAAATAATATGACTTGTTAAATAACGATCTATTCAGAAAGTTGTCATCATGCTAAATGCTGTGTAAGACTCTTAGAGTTCTAAATCCGTCGCTACTTCCATCTGGATAAGGCCGAAATCGATATCGCGGTATAAGTGTCACTTAGACGATTCTTTTTCCAGATCCTACGCGTGTTCCCGCGGTCATTAATCGCCAACCACGACGGCGATAATATCCACGATCGTGCGCGTTGACAGAACAGTTGTTGATGTGGAAAAATACGCTTTCTGCGAAGCTATTTACGTTTCGTTTCCAGATACGCAAGGATAAGCGAGTCGCGGCCGTCGAGACACTTGAGAGTTCGTTGCTTTCACGTTTATACCTTGTTTACGCTTGCCCCTATTAAAAAGGCACGGTCACGGTATACTCCTTGCAACTCTAACAGGTCGAATTCCGCTAAGTCGGACTGAGATTATATCGTGTAATGCGACCTAACATAGATTTCTTAGAAGGACTTTAGATCTAAAGGGAAAAGGTATTTAATAGATTTTCGACCTTGCGTTCCGCTTTATCCATGTCCTCGATGCTGCTTTCAACGCCAAGGATTCATCGATCAAATTTGAATTGAATTATGGGATTATTCGGAATTAATGCTAAAATTAAAAGATTCAGGCGACACCCTGGGCGAGCGAAGGGAACGAGGAGAAAGGCGTACGCGGTGGAACGGACGCAGAACGCGCGAAGAATCGAATCCGTCATCCAGATATTCCTGGGGTTATAAATAGAGCGGTCACCGTAAAATAGACGCACGAGAGAGTAATTCCGCGGCGGTAGATAAGCGTAGCCTCCGCGCACGCACGCTTGTCTCACAGGCCTCCTTCCTCTTTCTCCTTTTGCGTCCCGTCGACGGCCGTCGCGTCGCTTGCATACTCGTTAGAAACGTGACACCGTGTTTGCATCGAATTCGCCGTTATCGGCCACCGTGACGGAGGCGGATGCTCTCGTTGCGAACCTCCCCCGGTTTTGCGGTCTGTCAGATTCAATTCGGAGTCACATCTAATTCTGGCTGCTTTACGTCACTGCAAATCATAATTGAGATTTGATAAACGGACTTTTGAATTTTAAATGCGTTTAAATATTGATTAATGATTTGATGACGACGCAACAATACAGTAGAAATATTTTCAATGAGAATTATACCGATTTAGAAAGAATTATTTTTTCGTAATAAAAAAAAATTATAATAATTATATTCCTCGTGTTTATACTGATGAATTTTGATGAAATAAGCGCATAAGTATTATACATGCAACACATGCAACATTTTTCTGTAATTTACCGATTTCAAAATCAAATTTATTGTTTCAAATTTTTAATCTATTCCCCCTTATTATCTTATTATTTTCTTTACTAATGATCCGTTAACACGATATATACTTTATAATATAGGATATTTGCGTGATGCTGATTACGCTTTTATGCGTGTGCGAAATTTATAAATGGCGAGAATTATCGGTCCCCGATGGTTTATATCAACTTGCGTGCGGAGACGCTTATGAAAGATATCCCCGATTCCCGAGTCGGGACGCACCTACCACTCCTTTCTCTTCGCGGCAGTGTACGCCTCTCCGTGGGACGCGACGACGGTTGTTCGCCTACACGACACATCTCATGACTTGTCAAACAACCTCTCGAATCCACTCAACTCCGCGCCCACAAGTCTCGCCTCTCTTCATTATCAATTGTTATTTTTAAATTATTTTCCGCACCTCGCGCAACGCATCGTTCACCTAATTTCATAGCGACGCATCTCCCACTTGGCCACTCTTGGCGTTCGTTTATAAGCGAGTATTAATCTCAGAGGAATCGCATGCGTGATCTAAAAATAAAAATGTTTGAATGACTGGATTACTATTAGAGTCTTGCGTGTATTTCCTCTATATTGATTCATTCACATCGATGATATCTAATAATACTTACTATATCTATGTTGTCTTCTTGCAGTGCTGGGCATTGTGTGCTACTGCGACGGACATTGCCCGGACGGCCGGCAAAATGGGACCTGCGAATTACGAGCTGGAGGCCAATGTTTCAGCGCCGTCGAAGAGGTGTGGGAGCCCGAGTTGGGAGAATACGTTCCCGAGTGGTCGTTCGGTTGCTTGCCGCCCGCCGAGGGAGGCTTCATGCAGTGCAAGGGAAATCAAGTTCCTCACCTACGGGAGAAGAGCATAACGTGCTGCAACAACACGGCTTTATGCAACAAAGATCAATATCCCGAAATAACGTACAAGTCCCGCCCTACCGCGGATACCAATCCGATGGTCATCGCATCGGGAGCGCCGCTAATCATCTTGGCGGTAGTTCTATCAGCGCTTTTCGTCATCGTCTCGATAGCTATAGGAATCCTGTATCACAAATGCCGGAAGAAAGAGCGAGACCCGTGTCTGGTGCCCTCACAAGGAACCCTCAGGGACTTCATTGATCAGAGCAGCGGATCGGGCTCGGGATTACCGCTTTTAGTACAACAGACGATCGCGAAACAATTAGCCATGTCGCAGTGCGTGGGGAAGGGGCGTTACGGCGAGGTATGGCTCGCTAGATGGCGAGGCGGCGAAAAAGTGGCGGTGAAGGTCTTCTTCACGTTGGAGGAGGCGTCCTGGTTCCGTGAAACGGAGATCTATCAGACGGTCCTCATGAGACACGACAATATCTTAGGCTTCATCGCCGCCGATATTAAGGGAACTGGCACTTGGACTCAGATGTTGTTGATCACGGATTATCACGAAAGAGGTTCACTGCACGATTACTTGCAAACAACTGTACTAGATCATCAGGCCTTACTAGCAATCTGTTCGTCGATCGCTTCTGGCATCGCGCACCTGCACACCGAGATCTTCGGTACGCAAGGAAAACCCGCGATAGCACACAGGGACATTAAGAGCAGAAACATTTTAGTTAAGAGGAATGGAGAATGTGCCATAGCTGACTTTGGGTTGGCTGTTCGCTACATCAGGTACGTGGGCATTTAATTGCTTAAAATCTACATCTTTTGTCATTGGTATCCTTCATAGAATGCAAATTTAGAGTGAGAAATTTGTTTTTTTATAGCGAGAGCGGAGAGATTGACATTGCCCCAAATGCTCGAGTGGGTACTCGACGTTACATGGCGCCAGAAGTGTTGAACCTAACCCTGAATACATCATCCTTTGACGCGTTCAAAATGGCAGATATGTATTCTGTCGGTCTTGTGTTCTGGGAAGCGTGCAGGAGGTGCGTAACAGGCGGCAAGAATTCTATGGTAGAGCCTTACGCCTTGCCTTATCACGATGTCGTACCAAGCGACCCGGACTTCGACGATATGCGGCAGGTAGTCTGCGTGAAACGATTGCGTCCAGTTATTCCAACGAGATGGGAAAACGATTCGGTAAGAAAATCACTTCTCTGAGAAAAGCAAACTTCTCCCAGATTTAACTGTCCTAATTTTACGGATTGAATAACGAATCTCGCTCTTTTCCCCACAGGTCCTATACGCATTAAGCAAAATGATGTCGGAATGCTGGCATCCAAATCCACCAGTTCGCTTAACTGCTCTTCGCGTTAAAAAGACACTGTCGAAACTGCACGTTGATAACGTCAGCATCAAGATCGTGTAGTGCTCGACGAAAAACTGACTCTTCTTCTAGATAAACAACTTCCTACTCCTGTAAATATGCCCTTAGTGACAATAGAATTGTTAACAGACTGCAGCCTGAAGACTGACGATTAAAGTTTATAAATGTAAGAAAGTGAGAGAAAGAGAGAATGAATGACCGTGTGCAAGGACTGTGTGAATGGCCGATTGTAGAGGATAAATGATATGTATATATTGTATATAGAGACATCCGTATATAAAATGTTTCTGAGTCCTTTATCTTTCATTGAAGAATAATCATTTTCACGCTGAAGGTATAAGTCTTCAAAGAAAAGATGAACGCGGAAGATTTTTGTGTATAATTTTCTTTTATATTTAAATGAACCGTATCAAAGTTCAATTTACGATTTTGATACGCTTTATCATGTTATCGGCTTGTAAAGCTTGTTATCGGCTAATTTTAATCATAGAATAATTCTTTTATTAGATAATTATTCTATAATTATAGAATAGTCATATTGTAATTCTATAAAGGAAAATTTATTCTATTTTTTTTTTGACCTTCCAGTCATGAAACGAATTCAGCGTGCGAAAGTATCATTATATTCGATATGTCACAATACAAATTTATTTTTCCGCATAGGATTCATTTCGCGTTTGCGTCGCGTTACTCTGTTCAGAATTTGAAAGTGTGTATGTAACATGCCTAACGAGATCTTATAAATCTAAGCTAATACTACTTTACGGCCTATGTCACACATGCCGAAAGAGATTTCTCTTTCAAAGTACCTCGAAATATATTTATTACTGAAGATTAGCTTTGCAATATACGCGTTGCGCATATGAAATTTGCGTGAAACAAAAATTAGCGTCACGATAATACATTTTTAATTTATGTACGATTGCAATTTATGATTATTGCGCGCAATCTTGTTAAATAATTAAATATACTGAGGATACACATTTTTATAGATAATACTTGATGCAAAAAAAATTTACACATAGGTATTAATCGACGATTGTGCAAATTATTATGCGCAAGCTTATATTATTTGTAAAATTTGTAACTTATATTTCTAACTTGTACAAATGGAAATACATTAATCCATTCGAAATACTATTTTGGGTATATATATATATGATCTATTGTCGATCATCCCAGAATGTTTTCATTACGCTGCCGATGTACTCTTCGAATTTTTATGCTTTTGTACAGTGAAAGTAATTAAGAAAGGAGGAAATTGTGGAAAAATTAACTATTATATAGTGCAATAACAGTGTATTATGATGTAACATTATTTTAGAAGGCAATGTAATCTCGCATATCCCTTCGAACTTATACATAGCATTTACTGAAAATTGTTAATCAATCAAAATAGTTTTTATGTAAATTGAAATATTGTAAAACTCTTGGTTCTCTTCTTTCTTTATAAGTAATTTCAAAAAGATTTTTCTCATTGACCATGTAAGATTGTTATACTATGTATAAAATTTCTGTACGTAATTAAATGAAACATGAAAATTGTAGATAATTGTTAGTTGATCGAACAATTAAATTTATATTTCCAAAAGTTAAATTTATTTTTTTCTAGATCTATCCTTATTTGTTGGAAAGTGATACCTATTTATTTACATGTTTCTGTTTACCTTCTTATACATATTTTTATATTTTACACGTCGAATATATTCTATCATTATAATATATTTAATTAAAGCAATACATAGGATATTCTGTTAATCACTGCGAGTAACACTGAAAATCTGCAGTTTATATTATGTATATTATAGATTTTCAGTAGTCGCAATGGATAACAGAATATAGCCATAATTGGTATAAAAAGATTGTAAATGTACATACGGGATTAACAGGATAAAAGATGCAACTGGGCAATTCGTTAGATAAAAAATATTTTATATAAAGAAGGATAAAGATTATCAAATCTACGTCAATATAAACTAATGTGTCCAAAGATTTAAACAAATTAAAGATCCTCCAGCTCCAGTTTGCTGTACTAAAAAAAGCAGCCCATGAAGAACTTGTTATAACTTGCAATACCTTATACAATTCAAAGAAATTTTTAAACAAATTAAATATCTTCAAATTCATATATTATATATATATATATATATATAACAGTTACATTATAACAAGTTCCTCCTTATCTCGACTGCTTCTTTTAAATTGCTGCAGTTGCTGTATGTACATACATACTAGCATGAGATATGAATTCATTGGATTCTCAAAATGGGTTACCATCCATATATAAGATGAGAGTCGGGACATGAACCTGTGACGGCTGGTGACGGCCAGGACCCGTCGACTACAAGTCGATCGTTCTTACACAGAACCATCGCGTCATCCCAAACAGATATTAGTACCTTCATAACCTTCATTTGCCATTTGTTTACAGATCTCGCTCCGCGAACCGCGATGAGTCGAGGTTAGGTTAGGGTTAAGTTGGCACGCCTTGAGGAGGATTTAAGTTGGCAGCAGTGGCTCCGGCGCAGGAAGAGACGCGACGTTCTCCTGGGCCGCTGGCGTCGCCCCGTACTTCCGTTTCGCCATCTTTTATCTCGGGGAAGCGTGTGCCGTTTCGCGTCCTGCCTTATCGCGTAGTTTTACGGACTACTGACTTGGTGAGTACCAAAACGCAATTCTCATCTTGTCGCCGGGACCGTCGCGGTCGCGCGGGTGCGAGCAAGCGGGCGCGGGGAGCGGCGGAAACGCGTCCGAGCGGCACGGCACGCCAACGTCGAGCTCGACGCGGCGTTTCGGCTCGGTGGCGATCCGGCGCCGTCCAAGCCGGTCTCCTGGCGCGGCGGTTCGTCGGCGTGCGCGCGATTGCAGTCGCCGGTATATTCCGGCTGTCGGATCTCTCGCGATTCTCGGAAACGTGATCGCCGTGGAAACGCGCGTCCGCCGGCAGTCGTGGATGTCCTCGTCGCGACGCGGGCGTGATCCCCGGGGATCGGGCGAGGCGCCGCGTGAAATGCGCCGCGCCGCCCGTACCTTCGATCGCCGCGCTTCCATTGTCACGAGGTGGAAGGGTGAAGACCGCCGTTTTCGGCGCGGTCACGGTGACGTCGCGACGCACGTATTCTCCGTTTCTCTTTCCTTCCGGTCGTTCCCTTCCTCTGGCGTTTTATCGATCCGAGGGGGGGGAGGAAAACGCGCGTCGCGGTCGCCGGCGTGTCTGATCTCCGCGAGCTCGTCGACATTTCGCGAGCGATAATACGTCTCTGCGTGTCAATTGCGTCGCGTCACCCGCATGTGACCAAGGAGGGGAGGGAGAGACCGACGCCTGTCATTAATTTTTTATTTTATCGTCCCTCCGCGGCGTCGGGAATTTGCACGCTCGAGAAGGCGGTCCGCAAAGTTATCGACGCCGTGGCGGGACGACGCCTCCCTCGCCGCCCGACGCGGTCTATCGTCCGTCCTTGTCGCTCTCGCTCGATCTCGGCCCGTCGCGGTAATTTTCCATCGCGCGCCGGCTCGCGCCTCGGTATCGTTCGCGACCTCACGTTCGAGACGCGACTCCGTTTCGGGACGATCGCCACAAACGACGCATTGCATTTCGTTCTCCCGTCATTGTGTTTTCCGGTCGCCTTGCGCGTTTCCTCGAAGTTATAATAATACTTGGTAATGCACGCGAGCCCTCGGCAAGTTTCCAATTGTTGCGTATTGTTTTGCGGCAAGTGTCGCGTAATCCGCGACTTTTGGCCGACCACCAGTGGCATTGCTCCGAAATACGGTTCGCTTTTCGGTCCGTGTTAAACAGTCCGAATCGGAGTTGTAATTTAGCGAACGGAGCGGCAAGTTATTTGTTTCTTTCTTCACTGGAAAATCGATAATCGAGCGAATGACTCATCGTGTTTTTTTTTTTTTGCCGACTTCATGAAAATTCGGCATTAAGCAGGCGGACAAAGCGCGCTGTCATACCCTGACGTTATTTCTAAAAATATCTCGTTCAAGTATCGTGAATGAATGCATGTAGATAATCACCAGGTTGAATGAATAATAAAATCTTGTTATTTTTTTATGCGATTTCATGTTTTGGTTACCAAAGTCAAATTTCAATTTCAAAAAAATCTATATTTGGCTAATGTATGCGATGATATTTAAGGAAAGAAAAATTTTTTGCAAGTTCGAAATTTGTTATTTTTGAAAATTGAGACATACAGGCAATATTGATTTGTTTCTTGATAATAAGAAATAGGAATTTTCTTTTATTTACACATACATGCATGCATCAGAAATTTTTAAAGCTTTGGCGCAATGAGACTAGGAATCAAGATTTAAATTAAGAATTGAGAACAGAAAATAATTTCTTACTAATTAAGAATCTTTTTTTAATGTGTATTTGCATGCGTAAGAAATTTTTAGAGAAACCAGAAACCATGAATTAAATATGAAAAATTGGAGCGGAGCATCAATTTCAACATATACAAAGCTGTGCTTGAATGTACAATAAATTCATTGTTTCCGTTCTCAATTCCGTATGTTTAATTCTTGGTTCCTTTCGTCCGTTGCGTCGGGGCTTTGTTCGCCAAGAAACGATACGAATACCATTCTGTGGCTGCGTTCCGTCTTCACGCTCCCGGCGCTTACAGGCGTTCACGGAATAATTTTATACTTGCGTTTATAAAATGTTAAACGAATGATAAATCATGCTTACAACGCGCGAGTGTTAAGACGAAACGCAGCCTGTATCTCTCGCTTGTCAATCGAGAAATCTGGTAGATTCACGTCAATCACGCGCCGGAAGGAGGCAACGCGTAGAGAATCGCGAGGAGTATACGCGTATGCATACGCACTCTTTCCTCCCCGCTCCCTTTTGTCGTGCGGCGCAGGGAAGTGCGATATTTCCGATTGAACGGTTCGTGGGTGGCGGTGGCGGCGGCGCGATTCTCCCGCGCTCGACCGGCGTCGCTCGCCATTGGCCCGCACGGCTTCGTCTACGCTCGACCGGCGCCGCTCCCTATTGGCTGGGGCGACTCCCGTCCGAGTCTGTCGTCACGGGAGCCGGCGAGTGCGCGGATGGGTTGCGGAACGCGCGACGCGACACTGGGCGCTCGAGCGACGCGGCAAGCGAGACGCCATTACTAACGTTGCGTTTCCTCGGTGTGCGCGCGGTTCCGTGGTTACTCCTCTACTACTACACAGCGACGAGACCGGGCATCGTGCGAATCCCGTTCGTCGTTTCAATCGCATCCGGCGAGTCGCGTGCGATTCGGTTTAGCCCGTGAAAATCACCGGATTCCCTCGGTGGTTCGTACGCCGATACGATACCGTGAACGCCGTGAAGAACGTTCGACGCAGGTACGTACTTTCTCACGTAAGATCGCCGCGACGATCTCTCGGTCGCGCGGCATCCGCAGCATCCTTGCACAGCGGCGGGAGGGAGGGGGGGCGGGCAGTTATATCGCCTCGTGTACGTCGCGGAATAAGTTGAAATCTTCTCGAGGCACGCTTGTGAAAACCGTGGGAATGATTAACGCGGGCGGACGCGCGCGCGCGCGCGCGCGTGATACGCGTAAATTAGTCGTCAGGGGATCAAGATGGAGGAAAGGGAAGCGTCGGGGATCGAAGTCGAAACACAATCGCGTCGCCTCCTTTTCTTTCGACTAGCCGGGCCGAGATGGGCGCCGTCTCGCGCGAGGTTGCGCCATCGGGCGAAAGACATCGTCGCGCGTCCTGGAGCGATGTTTCGAGAGACAACGTGAAGCTTGTCTTAACGTTTCGGGGGTAACCTTGAAGAGGGAACTCCGATTTTAGTAACGATTGTCACGATTATTTCGGTGTGGCGGTATACGTTGAAGTTGACGTAGATTAATTATAGAAATTAATTTAATCCTTCCGTGGATGTTTGCCACGGATGAGTATGGGAATTACGTCCGTAGCATCGAAAATCCACATCCGCCGGTATCCCGGCTTCCATTACCTTGCTTTAACGACGCAACGCTATGCGGCGCGGGCGTCTGCCGGCCGAATTCTATGGCGGAATGAATATGGCGGAGACGAGTACGCTAAATGGATAATGGATTAGCGTTGTGAGATGTGTATCAGGAACACAATGGTTACATATAGATAATTGAGTGAAATTACACGTTGTATTGGTTGAGAATTATTATTGCAAAGAAATTGTCTTTAAAGTCAATGTAATTTATTAAATCTAATATTGACTATTCATTATCTCGCAATAATGCCGTCAATAAACTTTATTGCATATCTTTAGATTCAAACGTTTTAATAAATGTATAAAAAAGAAAATAATGCAAGATAATTTTAAACCCAATTATAAATATAATTTATTACAAGTGTATTTTTATATTTGTTCATTGATATAGCTGTAAAAAGACACAAAGAATTTCTCTTATATGTATATCTTTGATATTAGGTTCTTGTACGAGCCGCAAAATGCCGGGTTTTAGCAGCGTTGGCACGTTTAAAATCTTCATTGGTAATTTAGCCGACAAGACCTCGAACGCGGATATAAAGCCATTGTTCGAGAAGTATGGAAAAGTCGTGGAATGCGACGTGGTAAAGAATTATGGCTTTGTGGTAAGTGGCACATCAGTCGAATCAAATATTTGAATCGATACGATCAGACAATGATATGATTATCAAAATTGATAATGACGAAGCGAAATCTTTTGCGCAGCATATGGAGAATGAGGAGGCAGGCCGAAACGCGATACAAAATCTGAATGGGCACATAGTTCATGGACAACCGATCAAATGCGAGGCTGCTAAGAGTCGTAAGGGACCCAACACTCCCACGACGAAGATCTTCGTGGGCAATCTTACAGATAACACCAAGGCGCCGCAGGTGCGCGAGTTGTTTGCCAAGTATGGCACCGTCGTCGAATGCGACATCGTGAGGAACTACGGCTTCGTTCATCTTGAGGCAACTGGCGACGTGAACGACGCCATCAAGGAGCTGAATGGACAGATCGTGGATGGGCAACCGATGAAGGTGCAGATCTCTACTAGTCGAGTGCGACAGAGGCCAGGCATGGGTGATCCGGAGCAGTGCTATCGATGCGGACGAGGCGGCCACTGGTCAAAGGAATGTCCCAAGGGCGGAATGGGAGGTGGACCAGACAGGAATGGATACAGAGACCGAATGTTTGGACGTGATCCATATCCACCGCCGCCGCCACCACCGTTCCTTCGGGACCGGCTCATGGGTGGTGGCCGCTTTGGGGTAAGTTTTCTCTTCCCGTCAACGTTTCATATTTATACTGTACGCAGTATAAATAGTATATTCGGATTATCCAAGTTATCGCGTTGATGTATAGCGTGGGTGATCACATACAAGAAATCTTTTCCTCGTATTAATTTTCTCGGGATTTCCATCTGTTAACAGGATTACGAAAGCTACTACGACAGGCGCGGCTTCGAGGACACCAGGGATCTCTACGAGAGGCGGTTTACGGGTATGACAGGGCCCAGTGACATGGGAACTTCCATGTGCGGGCTAGACTTTCCACCTCTACCACCAAGACGAGACCAAATGCCTCCTATGCATCCTCTAGGTATGGGATCCATGCGTGACACTGGCTTCTCCCGTGGTAACGAGTATGGCATGTTCAGCCGCCGATCACCCCCTCCAAGTGGCAACAACGGCCGGTTCAGGTGAGTAGGTACCCGGCGTACCGACTGCCCATTCGTCCGACTTAACATTGTGAACGTTCCAGGCTGGATTAACAGCTCATGCGAATTGGGGTTTCGGTGATTCGTCGACATTTTTTCTTGTCTGTTGCACACTTTTCTTTTTCTTATATAGATTTCAGCTTGTATCTCCTTATAGAATATCTTTCCTTTATTTTTTTTTTCTTTTTTATTTCCCATGAAATAGTGAATATTAAGTTATGGATATAAGCGATCGCGAATCTTACAATGTTCACTTCATATCTATTTCATTATAAACCTCTGTCCTTTTCTCAACGTTTTTTTTATTAACTGTATCACCACTCTTTATCTCTTCCTTCTTCTGTCTCTTCTTTTCTATCGTCGTATGTTAAACGGAACTTCTATCTGACAATTATTACCGCGCGGCACAACGCATGATCGTTATCGTCTATGCAAATATTACTTTCTCATACTTGAGATTTTAAGACTTTTAATATTTTTATACACACGTACCAGTGTCGACCCGATGCCCACATGAGTGCAGACTCCGTCGTAGTGAAATGTTAATTATATGACGCTTGGACGTTTCTGTACATTCTAAATTTCAGTGCACCTCAGGCGTACCATCTTTGTCCATGAACGCGGGCAACCCTAGAGAGACAGTCCCGGGTCAGCGTTCAAGTCGTACAAGAGTAAGTCTTTGACTCATTTTGTTAGCGAGTAGTCACGCCTCGTTCTTGTCGCTGCAACAACAAACCCGCGTCAGAAATATACACAATAGCAGCCGCCTACGTCGTCTGCGTCCCATGGTGTTCGAAATCTTTTTTTTCCGGGTCTCGACTGATTGTTCCTTGAACATGTCGACTGCTCTTCTAGGGATGTCCTAGTTCATAGACTCTCTTGATCCATGGCATTAACTGCGAAATTGGCCTGTATGTCTCTCACTGAATCCTTTGTGTTTCAAGCGCTCCCTATTACGTACATCACTCAGCCGGGAGTGGCGCGGAGGCCTGGGATGAAGAAACGTACCTAAGGAATGCGAATTAGAATTTCTTGATCGCACTACCGCGAGCCAGGATGCGCTCTGCAATTTTAAACGAAAACTCGTATACTGTAGATAGAGAAAAGAAAGAAAAACAAACAGGGCTGGCGCGATTTTGGAATGACGCATCGAATCGATTGTCTTTGAAACGTGTCGTAAGTAGAAACCAGCTCTCCAGACGATTTGGATCAGTAAGTTTATATCGGTATCTCCCATAATCTTTCCAAGTTTACTTTCACAAACTTACGAATATAGACTTGTAACATCTATTCGACCGGGTTTACTTCGATTCAATTTTTCCGATGCGCACACTTTTTTTTTTATTAACTCCAATCGTGCACTGTCTTTAATAGTAAAAATACTGGCGTAATAAATTTGTGAAAATGTTAAAGGTATTAATTTAAAAGTGACATTAAAAGTATTTCCATTATTTAAATTAAGCAAATCTTAGCGAGATATTTTTCTTTTTCTTTTTTTTGTAACGATAAAATGTATATTTTTTTCCTTGTGTGGTATATGTTTTGCAGTTGTAACTAAGAGTTAATTTCTCGTTTTTTTTGGAGTTTTATCACTTTTTTTTATTGTTTGATAACTTTTCTCATTGAATTAAATAGTCAATTACTTTAAATAGATAAATTTTCAATTGAAATTGTATCGGCAGATACAGTAATTTAAATATGCTAAAAATTTCGTAATAAAGCACAAAAGTTATGGCCTATTAAATTACATATTTAAAAATTATAAAAATTTAACTTGAAGAATAAAAATTATATCTTACATATTCGGCCAGATCGCGGAATTGCGCGAGGAGGATTACAAAAATATGGCGAAGAGATGATTGTCCGTGTTTTCTTAAAATTGCAATCCATAGTTCTTGAAGTTGACTTCTACTCACGAGGTTCAAAGCTTTTCATGTATGTAAATCCATTCGTAAAACGTTCAAATAGAAAACAGAATTAATTGAATTTCTCAGTTTTTCTAAATACTTCGAATTTGTTGTTGCACGTTACCACCTCATTACCCCATACTATTACCCCATCCCAGCCTGGGCTGCAAATGGCTCTTATTTTTTATAATAATACTCTTGTTGGTTTTTTTTTGCGAGAAGCTGTAATATTGACAAGTCGCATGGGTTAAAAATCCAGTCTACCGCTGCCTGCCTCATATGACTAAGCTACATCCCACATTCTCCCCGTCGGCCCTTCACTTTCACGATCGAGTTGTACAGATAGCGAAATTAGTGCAGATAGTTGTTTGCATTCCGCTGTCGTAGGTTTTTGTAGTTATTAATCGTTCATTGCGTTTTCTGCGCTGAGTCTGCGAACGATGATTAATCATGCATCATCGAAGATATTTGTTGAATTCACCTGACAGAAGATTAAAATTTTTTTCTTACATATGCGCGCGCGTGCGCGCACATACGTACATATATACGTGCGTGCGTGCGTATATACGCGCGTGTGTCCTGTATATCCGATGTGCTGAAGAGATAGGAAATTTCACACAGTAAATTTGATAATTCAATGACCTGCGTATTATACCCCTACAGTTTTCATCCCGAACTCTCGAAATAGCGTTATAGGCACGAAACATTCCGTCCTGATCCCAAGTCGACAGTCATATTAGGCGAGGCACGCGATTCTTGCACGTGAATCTATGTATATACAGGGACTAATTCACAAAGTTAAGCCTTGGACAAGGGAGCCAGTATAATGGTATATGTTGATCTGATCTCATTGGTAGATTCGATTATTTATTATACCGCTGTTATAGTAGAGGCATGTACGAGGACTTCAGCCGAGATTCGTTTGAAGAGCGTAGGTAAGTAGAGTGAAGTGCCTGGGGTCATAATACCACGCCCGAATTGAAATCCTCATGCCGCGAGATTTAGAAACAATGCTAAGCCGCCCTCTTATTTATGTCACGATCGTGCTAAGGCAGTGCCTTTGTTTCTGGCAAAAAAAAATTTCGATATTCGTTTGTCTTCTGAATATCTTCCGAGATGTATTGACAATCAATGAAAATTTATGGCATATGAAAAGTGAGCTGTGTAGATTTTCAGTTATTAGTAATACATTTTGGAACGCATCATTATTCCCACTCGTGCAATGAATTGTGATTAGCAGGAATTTACGTCAATTATTTAATAGCAATGGTCGAAAACATTCTCTGGGAATATTTCACTTTGTTCCATTAGAAGCTAACAATCGCAAGACATTTCGAAACGCGCGATCGTTCATAAAGAAGAGTGCTCGAAGGATGAAGAATTTGAACGCGAGTTGCGCGAATATTTCTTATCGTAAAAAAAAAAAAGATTTAGCGAGAAAAACGAGGTATTCTCCGAGCTGAATGTCCACTTCCCTTTTCTCTCATTATTTTTTTATTTTTTTAAATCTTTCTCCCTTCACTACTATTGACAAAATTTCACTCTACGTACGTGCTCTGTTACTCTACATTTCTCAATTTTCTGTTTTCTCTCGTACCACGCAGATATATTACCTTTTAACATTTAAAAATCTATATCTGTCCGTGCTTTGATCCGCATCACCGATTTCGTGACTGACGTGACATAATTTTGATTACCAGACCGGGATTACGAGGGCCATCGCCGTCGCGCCGGTTCGCACCATACTAAATCGTCGCGTCGGGCTCGGATCGGTCTCTGTGTCGGTCGTCGGTCCGTCGGGTCTGTCTGTCGCTAGCAGGAAGCCTCGGAACCGAGATACTCTTGGCCGTCTTGCGAACTGCACGCGTGAAGATCTGCCGCCCGCTCTATGAGAAAACAAGTGCTCTACCCGCAGTGCGATCTGTTTAGACGAAAAAAAATAATAATATTAATAAACCTCCCGAAACAAAGATAGAGCAAAGCAAAATATAGCCAGCCGAAAATTAGCACAGACACGTTAAAATTATGGGAATTATCGTTCCCCATCCGACGAATCCTTCGTATCTTCCCCGAGACTCCCGGCTTATCTCGATCCTTTTTCGTATCTCTTGTTGCCTATTCTGACCCTCTTAGTATCCCTCCCTTCGTCATGTATTTGTATAAAGTCAGGTATCTTCGACGTGTCAAGAAAAGGATACGGCTCCACCGCGGACACTTCTCGATTCTCAAATAGGAAACGTCATTTCTTTTCTCATAGTCTCTTGTTCTCTTGGGAAACGGATTCACATTTTAAATATCTTGAGTAATTTGAGGGAGAAGGAGGAAATGTAGGATCGATGAAACTTTCCAGTAGGGCCGTATCCTCGCAGCGGTCGAATCGCCGATCGTTTTCGGGTTTTCTGTGACGATGACTCATCCACCCCTCCGTTGCGCAACAATCGATAGACTTCGTAGTTACGCGCGCGTTACGCACCTTCCCCGCGGAAATCGCTGGATGAGGAACAACCGCTTGGCGCAGGCATTGCGTGACATCACTGTAATTTCATAACATTTGACAATTTTGTCGTGATCCGATGTTGTCGGTCCCTCCCACGCGACTGCGTCGTCGCACGTGGACACGATCATCGCGCGTTAGAGATAGACGAAACAAGCAGGTAGATTAGATCCCGAGAAGCAAGTGTCCGCTGACCGTGATCTTGTTCAGTGCGTCGAAAACGGATGCGAGACTCGTCGTCGGGAGTAGCGCGAGCTATGACGAGATGTCCCAGAGCGGTACTCGCGGTTGGTCCCCTTGAGAAATTTATGATCTTACGCACGTGCGCTTGTACAAAATTGCGAGGTCTTTAATTTACATCTCTGTACAAAATTACTCATTAAAAATAATGCGCTACATGTCCAAGCGTATAATAAGGAAATTCTCGTATTGACGCAGAAAAAAACTGACGAGAACGAATTATAGGGATAATGGTATGCCTCGCGATTTTGCTTTCGTCGCATACCATTACAAATTGTCTCTATTTAAACGTTTCTCTTTTTAATTTTATAAATGAGTAGATGAAACAAAAATGATGCGAATAATTAATTTTATCTTCAATTTTCGAAACGATTTCTTAAATATAAAAAATGAAAACGTGTCGTCATCTTCCGAGACGACTTTACGTCACTTTGAGCGGCATTTCTATTTTCCACGAATAATTTTGTACAGAGATGTCAATTGTAGAGCTTACGATTTTAGCGTTTTCGTGAAAATGCATCGGGGAAAGACGTAGATCGTGCTTAAAAAGGGAGAAAAACAAAAGCGTTCGCCGAAATCTTTCCCCAAGTAGGGGGGGGGGGTAGCGTGCGGGTCTGACCATTTAAGAAAACCTGTTTTCACAAACGCTGTTTCCTTCGCTGCAAAAAAGAAAAGCAAAAAAAAAAGAGTTATAATTGGACTTAGACCCGGTAGGATGCGCCGATTCTGTATGGAAACCTAAGTGGCGGAACATTTATCCTTAGCGTATAGTAACGTAATCTTTTTATTAACGTAGAATTAACTCTGACGTAAAAATAAAAAAAAAACGTGCTGTAGTCTGTAATAATCGCACTTCCGTTTTGTTCGAGCGTAGAGACTTGCTGTAAGCTTTTTTTCTCTATTCTCCCGTCTACGCTTTTTGTTTTTTTTTGCTGAGAACCGATCGTATTTTTTTTTCTTAAAGATTATACAAATTATAACCACGATATATATTGCTAATAATGATGCTGAATATAAGAGAAATGTAATAACATGTATTTGTGAAATTCACAAGAAAAAAAACGACGTGTATTGCGTGTTTCTTTAATTATATCACACCGACCGCTCTTTCTCTCTCTCTCTCTTTCGCGACGTACCCTTTGCCAGCAACGACAACCATCCAGAAAACCAACCCTTCCCTTGTCGCACCACGAAAATCTTGATCGGTACGATCGGACGCGCGCTTCCTTCGCTGGCTTCCTGCGCGTCGCGCGCGCGTTTCCGCTTCGCACTGGCTCAATAAATATTTAAAAAAATAAAATTTCCCCGTCAAAATCTCGACCCAAAGCCGCGCGCGGCGTGTTCGCTCGTGCTATTCTGTCTCTCTTTCTCTTTGCTGCCACCCTTGTGCCACCTTTCATAAATCTGATTGTCAATCCACAGGTAGAGTTCTGCGATATTTTTTCCATCGAGCAAAACTCTAACTGCTTCTATCTTTTTATATCTTCTATATTTTTAATTGCGATGTAGTGCAATTTTCTGTTTAGTAGGAATTAATGCTTTTGGATTTTAATCGTGTAAGATCGTTTAATAATTTTTTTATAATGATTAGAGATCAATTAAAGTTACAAGTTTGTTTTTACTGATTTATAATTAGATCAAAGGTACGATTGAATTAATTGATCAAGTTATTCACTGTACAATATTAAACTTGTATGTGAATAATCATTTAGATTAGACATCCTAATCTATGAAGACGTTGCACTATATCGTCAATATTACATTGGAAATTAGTGTTTTTTCATGATATTATCGAGGACTATTTCACGTTTACGTACGCACAGTCCTGCCTTGATGGCTATTTTTTTTCTGTCAGTTCTGTTATGCAAACTTCTCTCGAAGCCTCGAACCTGTCTTTCATTTCCGCAAATATTTTACTCTCTAGTAGGGTGGGAAAAGTAGGGACGAGAGATGCGCGTCTAATGTAATGCATATATAAACGTAACATTTTCGTGTTGGTTGGGCACGCATTCGTGCGTCGATTGTGTCGCTGATCGTTCTCGGATTTCATGAATTATGTTCCCTTCGTGGCAAACATCAATGAAAAATTTGAATTGATGCATGCTTGACGACGAAAAGATTTTCAACATTCACAAATATGAGATGTTACAGAATTATTAGATATCCTATCAATCACACAAATTCCGTGAAAAAAATTGGATCGATTTTAACGTAGAAAATTTTATTTTTTTGTATTTTATATCTTACTTTTAAACGTAGGTAAAATATTTGAGATTGAAACTTTTTAAAGTGCTTAAGACATTTTTTTAACTTAAATTTCTTTTGGTCTAAAATTCTATAATTTTTTATGTGTCAAAATCAAAATAATTTGTATATTTTCGTGGTTTGTCTGAAAGGATTATCCGATGGTTCTCTAATACTTTCTTATTTACTCCGCGCAATATCTTTCGTGCGTCTCACGTGTCGCTTTGAATCTTGATCATTTTAAAGTAAAGAAGTCAATCTAAAAGTATAGGGTGCGTCTTATAATTTCTCAAAGTTCTTCGACGAATCTTTACACAATCTCTGTGTGTTATCTGCTTGTTACTTCGCGCGAACCATTATCCTATTAATATCAAATATTAAGCGATCTATTCAAACTGAAACGTTGTCGCCGATCCCCTTCGTTTTTAAGCCGATCGCTTTACGCCCGACGTATCTGCTTTTCTCTTTTCCTCTGTAATTGCCTGTTTCAGTCTCAGTAGTCGAAAGCAGGGATTGCAACGCGTTATAGTTTCATAAAAGCTCAGGTTTCGACGCTGTAGATGCCGGGAACAGCGATTTTTACGATATATATTTCCCCACCTACGGCATCGGAAATTGTAACGAGACTATATAACGGTTTCGATCCTTGGTTCCTCTATCTCTGCACTGTCCTAAAGAATTAAGGGCCGTCGTAGCGAGATCCGCCGAACACTTAAGTGAAATCGTTCGTATGACTGATGCTTTCAGACCAATTGGCACCGCGGATGAGGTGGTCGCGCACGAGCTAGCATATAGTGCGAATAAGTCGCTTCATCACGCATACACGGACGTGGAATACTAATTCTCCCTCTATATGTATTAAAGCAAGGGAACACCGGGGAAAAAATATAATATCGGATTCCGATATAAGCCTGCCCTTCTCACGTTTAGTAACAGTACGAGATGAGGTTTTGTTTTGTACGTTTTTTTGTACGTGTCTCACACTTACGTGTGTTTTTTGCAAATTCTTATTTTTTAATAAACGTCAGAACATGTGCGTACGACGTCTCCTTGAATTGTGATTGAGAATTCACCCTTTCTGGCTGGCTCTCTCGAACTAGGCTGAGTTTGTCCGTCGAAAACGATTGCATCGTTTGTAGATTGAAACACGAAACTGAGAAGAAGAAAGTTTTTCGATCTATAAATTCAATCGTTTATCGTGCTAAAAAAAAATATATTTTTTTTATTTTAATATAAATAAGTACGTATTTACAATATTAATCTATCGACTCTCACAGATCGTTTTCTTCTTCTCATCTTCTTAATCTGTTGTCCCTATTCCGTAAACACAGAGAGGAAAGATTTGCCATCCTTTCGCTGCATTCACATTTTTAATAGTACAATTATCGTTCACTTGCATAAATTCTCTTTCGATTAAAGCCAAAGTTAAAGCTACTTCCAGAGGTACCAAGCGAACACGGAAGTAAATGTAAATATATGACGGAGTGAATATTCCTTTTTTTTTGTATATCTTAACCCGATTATTTTGTCGGTATGTACATGGTAATACTCATTGTTATGTGCCAGTCAAACTTGCAGACTCGGAGGTTGAGCAGGTCTACAGAATCGGACTTGGCTGGAGATCGCTTTTCCACCCGACCAACGGCAAGGCAGAGGCGACTGGCCACGTTCTGTAGCTTATACGCAGTGTGTCACCCCTCCTCCCCCCCAAAGTTACTTTAAGAGACGACGCGCAGTGTGTCCTCGGAGATAACCGAGCGAGCCTCTCTCAGAGTGACTTTGGAACACGAACGTGTAGAACCAGGCACGCTACTCGATCATCTCTCCATACTGAGATGTGGTGAGCAAACTGCTGTCCGATAATACGTAGACTATTCCGAATCCGGGAGGGGAGAAAAAAAAAGAGAGAAGGATCGGCCGATCCGAATCCCCAACTCCCCTTTTCCAAGTTGGCGCGAGAGAGGAGGTCGGACCTCCTGCCGTCCGCGTCCGGCTCGGTCACAAGAGTTGCGAGTTTGATCGGTGCATAGCGAGTATGTCACGACGCCCGTTAACTTTGGCTTTACCGTATCAATGCCACGGAACCGTTTCGTCGAGATCGGGAGACCACGGCGCATGATCGTCGACGAGAACGCATATACACACGCAACAAGATGCCTCAGAACCAATGGACAGCCTATAATTCAAAGCTTATAGTCGAAAGGTCCAGGCTATATATTAAGACTTCAGAAATTACTGTATATCTCAACAACTTTTTAAGTTCAGAAGTATTTAACAATTACAAACGATGCTATCCAATAACTGGTTTTGAGACAGTCTTATTTCATATTACAGCCTCTTCTTTTTTTTTCAATTTTTTTTTTGCGTTATCCCTTCACAACTAGCAATTCGCTTAGGTATGAACCCCCGGACCCGCGATACGTAGGCTTGACGTACTTGACGAGGCTCGAGGCTCGTTGATGCGGGTACGCGGGGAAAAAAAGAGATCTGCGATACACCGAGTCGCGCGCGCGTATAGCACACGCGTGCGGGAAAAAAAAGACTCGGGGGAGCATGGAGTCGTCACACACGACCGGGAAGCTTCGTCGGATATATTCGATACGCGATGTATCGCTGTAGTGCAAGCACACTCCCTCGAGGATTACGGTAACGTCGGTGCCGCCGGACTAGTTGTCGGATAGCGAAGGTCTTGGCCCGATGGTCGCAGCCTCTCGCTCTCGTAGCCCATACGTGGACGTGCGAGATTCCGGCTCGTCGTTGTCGTCGCCGCCGCCTTCGTCATCGCCGCCGCCGCCGTCATCGTCGCCGTCGCCGTCGTCGTCGTCAGCTTCGTCGTCGCCCTCGTCGCAGTCGCCGCCGCCGTCGCCGTCAACGTCGTCTGTAATAAAGTCACGCAGCCCGAGTTGCAAACGGTTCGGGACACACGCTGGTCGCCGAGAAGCTCAACGAGATGAGAAGTTCCGAGCCCAGTCTCTGTAGCTAGATCGCTGAGATACATTTCGGACACGCGCCGGCACAGACTCTCGCAGGCGCTTAGAAAGATTAAAAAAAAAAAAATGTACCCAGTCCCTCTCGGCGGAGTTCTCACTAGAGACATCGTGGAGATCGTGAATCGCCGATCGGATCCGTGCACCGGATTTTTGAGAGACACGGTCGGCACAAGAACCCGAGAAAAATGTACATATAAACGGGGACGCACGTCGTCGGGACACACGGGTTTTACCCCCCTTGAATCTCGCGTGATAACGATACACACACGTGTCGGTCATCGGCGGTTGCCGCATTAAACGGAAAAAAAGCGCAAAACCGATAGAAACACGCGACAGCAGGGATTGTAACACGCTGTATTATAATATGATATGTGATATAGGACGCGATGATAGCCTCTACGCCGGCATCGTCCACGAAGGATGTACCCTCGAAAGGAGCGAGCGAGCCGGGCTCGAGGGACAAGAGAGAGGGCTTCAAGTAGAAGTGACGCGAGAGGTCTGGTGGAGGAGCGACGTGGTGTTGCGAGAGGTAATTGTCCATCACCGCACTCTTATACCACGTCGTTAAAAGAGCGTCGGGAGAGGGCGAGTCAGAGATACACGCTCGAGTAGAGACGTGGGGGTTGCGTTACCGCATCCAAAGACGCGGCTCCCAGCCTCCCGGTATCGTTTCGAATACGCGTAAAAAAATGAATAAAAGTAACCAAAAAAAAAAAGAGAAAATGACACATTAATTCACCCCACGTATTTCATCCGAACGCCTTTGAGAGTCCTGTTTTCTTTCTTAGGAAAAGCGGCGCTTCTTAAGGGAGAGCCCGTCTCTACGAGAGGAATCCTCTTCTTCTGTAGGGTGCGCCGGACAAAAACTGTGAGCTCGACATGTACTTACACACGCCGAATCTCGTTCTAGAGCGGATTCTCGAGAGTCTCCGCTCGGCGGGAACACGAAGGTATCGTAAGAACGAATACTTTCCCCGCGCTGCGATCCCTAATCTAAAATCTCGAGAGATACTTTAAACACTTCTACGATACTTCAAACGGTCTGCGATAGTTATAGATCGCCCTAACGAACGATAGCGTGTAAATGTCGTGGAAATATTGATCGCGTTTGTTTTCGAAGTGCTATAACTAACTTTTGTTCACACGAGAATTATTTTATCTTAACGGTCTATTTTTAATGATTATTACATTGAAAGTATAATGTAGAGAGATTTTAGCGGTTCTAATATCACTAATTTTACGGATTTTAAAACACTTGATTTCTCTCATTGCAACTATGTTAGATCATAACGGTCAGAAGCGATAAATAATATAAATCTTGTTTTTTCCAGTTATATGAGACAAAGTAAATTGGTTCTTTCAGCATGCTATCACTTGCTTTCGACAATGCACATTAATAAGCTACATCGAAAGATTTCTCTTGCCTGAATTTCTCATCCTGTCTTAATAAATTATATATATAATGGATCATGTTGTGCCATTGATTAATCAAAATTTAAAGATACTTGTGCTCATTACTCGACGATCAAAAATTCTTCAATATATTTTATCAATTTGTACTAACAAATACAAGTAGTGATATAAAAGAATTAAGTTATTTTAATTGTAATGCAAAATAAAAATTCATATAATTTCTCGCTTTTGATGTTATGCTCTAACATGTAGTGAGAAAGAGCTTTAATATATTAGATATTTTTGTGCGATTCTATTACTTAAATGTTGTTAAATGCGTGACGGTAAGTAAAATTCCGCAGGTAAGGTGTTTAAAGCTAGCTTGCTATCGTATCGCTCCCATCCCGAACGGATCATCGCGAAGAGTTTAAGTAGAGCAGTCGTAAGTAAAGCCTCGTGTGTGAAATATATGTTACAGGATGTCGCCGCTCTCCGTCTTCGTACGATACGAAACTTTCCAAGTCGAGTGACGAGAAATATTCAGCGTGTAATTGAGCAATAAAGACCTTTGTCTTTCATCTTCACAACTCGTCAACCGTCTCGCTGTTGCGTCAAAGCTATTGCGTACATCTTTTACAGACGCATTCAACGATTACAGATTTTTTTTTACACGAGTCTTGTGTTTAATAAGTGACATAAAAAAAATTGAAGCAACATGTCATCGCTGGAATAAATGATCTTACACGTTTTGAGTTGTCAACGTCTATTTCATTAGTCAGCTTGCGTTTTTTCTCAAACCATGCGATTGAGTAAAACGGAACTTATCGCGCCGTTAAACATTATCTTGTTTCGTACGTATGTCATTCGGTCCCGTCGTCAGGTCTTGGCCTACGCTACGTTTCATTCTTCCGAACCACGAACGTAAGATAATATACTCGTGTCCGGAGTATAGAGTAGAGGAATGTCGCGATTATCCTATTCGTGCGAGTAACGTGGGAAGCGATTTGCATTCGTTACGCCGTTACTGGTCCTTCTCAATGGGAGTGTCGCTCAGTGTTACAAATTAGCATAGGCTGCTCGGTTACGGTCTCATTATGTAGTTCTTAGATAATGCCACCGTCCCTCCCCGCGTCCGCGGTAAGTCACCGCCGATGACATAGCGATAACATCACCGCGAGTTGGAGCGGCTTTTTTTTTAAACATAGCTGCCGCGGAGCAGTCGGTGCCATTGGTTTCCACGCGCGGGAAGGCGTCGGTGGCGCGCATCAAGTCAACGATCCGTAGCGGACCATCCTCGAGCCGTGTGTCTCCCCGTGATCGCTCGAGAAACTGGAATCGCGCACAAATGGCCGAGGACTTGCGGTAAGTGAGACATTTCGTTGCGAGCGATCTCGGAAATTTTTTTTTCTCCATCTCGCGATCGGTTTAACGCTCCAGTTGCACGCGATTTTGCGTTCCCTTCGGAGGTTATGGGTCACGCGATACGGCGATATCGATCGAGGTTATGCGCGGCCGACCGACCGTGCCGCACGCGTTCCCGGCGATCGACGACAACAGCTGATTCGCCTGCGAAATAAAGGGCTCTGCCTACAAAAAAAGAAAATACGTGCATGTGTTTTCGCGCTACAGATTTTTTCATTGATAAGGAGTTGCACGGGCAATTAACGACATCAGATTCGCGGCGAGATTTAGTAGCGTCGCGGAAAGAAAGATGGGAGAGATGTAGGTTATGTAATTGTCAAGGTCGATTCTCATCGGCGCGATTTCGTCACCGAGCTCGATGATGCGGCTGCTTCAAAATGGTATATCGCAATATAAATTGCCTCGTATGCGTTTTTTAATATTTTCTTAATAATTTCGCGGAAGATTTTCTTATCGAGCTCCCCCCATCGAGCTGACTCGAAGATAATACGCTTGATAATATTCTCATTGCAATCTTGAATCGGAAAACTGCCGTTTTGTTGATGAAAATTTGCAGAGCGTATCCAGACGGAAATTATATAGAAAAATATAGAAATATTGTCGAATTAATGTTTCAGTGAAGGACTGCTCTTGGGCATGGGAAATCCTCTCCTGGATATCTCTGCAAACGTAGACCATGAACTTTTGAAAAAATACGATTTGAAGGCCAACAATGCCATACTCGCCGAGGAGAAGCACAAGCCTTTATACGAGGAGTTAATCGACTTGTACAACGCTGACTTCACCGCGGGTGGATCTGTGCAGAATACCATGAGAGTGGCGCAAGTAAGTGGAATCTACACAGAATTGTTATTCAGATATTGTCAAAGTTATTTGGACAAAAGGAAAAAAAAATATCACACCGATGTATACTAATCATTTTTGTATTATTACAGTGGTTCCTGCAAAAGCCAAAAATCGCCACTTACATGGGCTGCGTCGGCAGAGACAAGTATTCCAAGATCCTGGAGGATAAGGCGGCCGCGGACGGCTTGAACGTTCGCTATCAGTACACCGATCAGGAGCCGACTGGAACGTGCGCGGTGCTCATTACGGGGAAGGAACGCTCCCTGTGCGCGAATTTGGCAGCGGCAAATTGCTTCTCACCGTCGCACATCGAAAAACCGGAGAACAAACATCTGATAGATATCGCGAGATACATCTACATATCGGTAAACGCAAAGTTTTCTAATAAATCCAAACGAGAGGAGAATCGGTAAAAAAAAATCGCTACATCATGAAATGTCGTATTTTGTTATCTCAGGGATTTTTCTTGACGGTCAGTTCCGAGTCCATACAAACGGTAGCCAGGCACGCTTACGAGAACGACAAGATGTTCATGATGAATCTCAGCGCGCCGTTTCTGTGCGAGTTCTTCCAAAGGCCGATGCTGGCGGCGTTCCCCTACGTGGACATCTTATTCGGGAACGAGACGGAAGCGGACGCGTTCGCGAAGGCAAACAATCTTAACGCGACGGACAAAAAGCAGATCGCGCTGAAGATATCGGAAATGGAGAAGATCAACGGCAAGAGGAAAAGGATCGTCGTGATCACGCAGGGCGCCGAAGCGGTGCTCGTGGCCAAGGACGGGACGGTCGTGGAGTATCCCGTTGTAAAACTGCCAGAGGAGAAAGTTGTAGACACCAATGCCGCCGGGGATGCTTTTGTCGGTGGTGAGTATTGCAGATCCTCTCGCCGTAATGATCCCCGCTATAATTCGGTATTATAACTCGCAAATGTGCGAATTAGGAAATTTACTGAACAAGGATTGTATCAATTTTATTTCAGGCTTTCTCGCACAACTTGTACAAGGCAAAAGCACAGACACGTGTATAAAATGCGGCATTTGGGCGGCGACGCAGATCGTACAGAAATCCGGATGTACTTACGATGGAAAGCCGAACTTCCAGTCTTGATCGGCTACCAGTGTGATAACGGGCATTAAAACGGGTGTACTTAATAAACATCTTAATAATTTTTTTTTACCTTGAATTTGACCCCTATCTTTTGTATCTTTTGAGCTTTACGAGTGCCAATTTGAGGCGAGTGCAGATTATAAAAATTTTTATTCATTAAAATTCAGTAAATATCTTGTTGATTTAAGCACATGTATTAGGCCGGTGACGATTAATTCCAGGAGAGAGAGAGCGGGGGAGACGGAAGAGGCGAAGAGAAAGAAAACCAATAAATTCTCATTGAATTAACGAGACTGAATCGTCTCGCTGGGACCATCGGGATTAAATCGTTCCGCGAGCGTACGCTCGGAGACGCGAACTGCGCAGAATTTCTCCCTCGGCGCGTACTTACATCGCGGTACACGCTAATTTACATACTGTCGGGGAAAATCAATACAATCACCGAGGTATGTAGATATTATACCGTGAATTTGCCGGTTAGCTTCGCATACGCGCGGCCGCTGGTCGGGCGCGATACTCCCGTCCGGGAGTGTAGGGTATTCAATTATGCGAGACGTTGCACGCGTGCGTCGTGCGCGGTGCGATATGCGGCCGAACTGCGGAGTTTCGAGCGGGACGGAGACGTATCGAGCGCGGCAGGGAAGAACGAGAGAGAGAGAGAGAGACGGGACGCGGATGGACGGCCGCGGAAGAGGGACGGTTCTTTAAAAAAAATCAATAATCTCATTACGAAATTGCATTGGGCATACCGTGCGTTTTGCATATAAACAGCGGAGGTAACGCGCGTCACTTTACCGCACCGCGGCAGTGTCGTATTAAACCGGCCACCTTACTTCGCCGTGTACATTATAACACACCTTTCGGTCAAACGGTTACGCGATCGTTCGGTTGCGATACTAGTGTCTGCTTCTGGGACAATCGTACACGCTACCTGGCTTCTTTGAAACGAATAAAGAAATACAGAGGTGCTATATAGTTGGATTGACGTGAAAGATTTGTTGCTTTTGCGTGACGATCTGTTCTAAATTAAAGTTATCGATTTTCGTTTAGCGCGATATATATATCCGCGGGTACTTTATCCGAAAAAGGGACCTTCCACACCGAGGCACGTAAATCGTTTATTCATTCTATTTTTCATAAAATTCAATCTTAACTTAGATCGTCCCCCTCTCACACTTTTGAATTCCGAGCGTAAGACGCGCAGGGAGGGTGCATCCGCAGCTGAGAGAGAAAAAAAGGGGGTTCGACTCGCGCTCCGAAGCGAGTCCGGAGTACGTCCCTGTCACGTACGTCTCGCATTCGCCGGTCAGGCCAGTCCTCCGATTCTCTCGGCTGCGTTGCGTGGCACTCGTCTCGCAGGCGGTACACCGCCTATATAATAGTGTGTGCTGTCGCCTCGATCGAGAAACGGGGCGCAAAAATGTACAAGCCGGCGGTGCGGTCATAATACGTGCTGGTTCGGCGCTGGAACGGACGGGGCCGCGTGTTCCGGCCGTTGCCGCGCAAAACCGGGCCCTCAGAGTGCCCTCACTCCTTTCGTCGCGCAGTACGTATCGCGCGCGGCAGTGTATGGTACACCGGCCGTTCAAGTTCGGCGCGCGCGACACGCGAATTTCGTTCACACGCACACGCACGCGTCGTGTAGAATTGTATTTCGCGCGTGGTGCACACGCACACGGATCTGCGTACACGTATACGTGCACACGTACGCACGACACCTGTGACCGGCGGCGTGTTCGTGTACAACCGGACGCGTTAACGGCGTTAGTTGCATCCATCCATTGCATCAGAGAGGTTGTCAAGTGCAGACCTACAATTTTTTTAAAGTTTCTGACGAAGAGTGTTTTGTGATCATTCCTAAATATTTCTGACACAAATCAACAAAGGACATACACGTTGTTGCTCATGCATCATATTGCCTGTGACAGTTAAAAAAAGGAGAAGAAGAAGAAGGACACGTGTGACGCATGTCTCGTAACCGACCGGATCCTCTCTACGCATCGTTCAAGAGGCAGACATCATCACGTTTTTTGTTGTTTTTTTTTCGTTTGGGTGTTCGATCTGTGCGAGTAATTCAGCCTCGAGGAGCAAATTGGAATTACTGTGCCGTGAAACGTCCATGTGAGTGCATTCAGCGTTATTCTTTTTTCTCCTACTTTTCTCGCTCCACGTGGAGCGTTACGGAACTGTCGTCTTGAACGTTTCCTTGAACATTCTCTCGAATAATCTACCTGCGCACGAATAGTTTTCAGTCTTTTCTTCCCTTCCTCCCCTTGTATCCCCCTTTCTTTCTCGCCGAATAGGTATTACCGACGTTACGTCATCGTGAGTTTGCTAGTCGTGTGTTCGCACACACGTGGCTCGCGAGTTCAACCGCCCGCGGGTAAGGTTGGACTTCGCCGCGGCCGTACTGATCGGTGGTAATTAACGCGCCCGATCGTACAACTCGTATCCACGGCCGGTGGAACATATGCACGCATTAATCCAACACACGATCGTTCGGCGCATACGTGCGATTGCATTTCCACGTGTGTGCGTGCGCGCGCGCGCGCGCATGCACGCACATACATACGTCACGCATTCGGACGAACCTCGGACACCTCGGCGCGCGACGCCATGTGATCGGAGACCGCAAGAGCGCGTGGTGTGTGTGTGCGCGTATCGAGCGCGTCGGTGTGCGTCACGCCGCGCGTCGGGATTGGCCGACGGGAACGTGTGCGGCCCGCTTTTACGGCGCTCCGTGTTTCGTGCCTCCGCCGTCGCGAGCCGGAGGAGCGCGGCGGTGTGCGCAGTGCACTCCCCACCGCGTGCGCATAGTGTGTAACCCCCGCGCGAGCGAGACCGCCATCTTTGTCAAGTGGGTAACCTTTGTTGATTTGTGTGAAATGTGACGCCGTTGTCGCGAGATAATTGGTGATCGTGATTACGTATCCCGTGTTACGGTAGACCCGGTGGAAGCCCAGGCCCGCGACCGTGCTCTGTGGATTTATCGATGGGATCGCCGCGCACAGGTAACGTCCGCCCGCCCGCGGGGCCGTCGCGAGGGGACCTTAAAGTGCGTGGAAATACCACGCGCCGTCGTCGCCGTCGTCGTCCCGATGCAATACGGGGCCCGGGGAGCGGTGCTCGCCCGCGGGGCCGTCCGCACCAGCGGCGGCCAGCGGCGCGAGAAAGCGCGCGCGGCGTGGGGCGGAGGAGAGGAGGTAACGAGGACGGAGGACCGGAGTTATATTCATGCTTCGTTGTCGCGACATACGAGACGACCGTACGCGGCATTCGACGTTTTTTTCCACGGGCCGTGCCCGGGGATCGTGTGACGCGCGGGGCGACGCGGCGGCGACGGCGGAGGAGAAGAAGGACGCGCGGCGGCGGCGTCGGCGACACCGCCGTGGCGCGCCGCGCCGCGCGCGGAAACGCCTGGACGGCGCGTCGAGAGTGCCCGCGGACGGAGCGGAACGGAACCCGAGATGCGGCCCGTGCGCGACTCTCTCTCCGGCCCCAAGATGGCTGCCCGTCGCACGGGCTTCGACGAAGTGCCCGCTCGCTCCGGTTTCACGGCCGCCTCGGCGACGTTCACGCGTACGCGGACTCGTAGCCTGTCGTTGACGATCCGTCCACGACGTCCAACCGAAAAACGCTTACTCGCGCGCGCTCATAAACCAGCCCGTGGCTCTCCCGTTGGTCCGTTGGAAGCACCGTCGCGTCGCTCGGCGACGGCCGTCCGTCGGACGAGGGTCGTCCCCGATCGCCGCCGTCGGGCGTCGCGACGTCTCGCTTGTCGTCCGCTCGATCGCGGAGCTCCGTTTCACGCGGTACGGCTCGCCCGTGGCATCCCGTGCGAGAATAGTCGCTCAAAATGGCTACCCGTCGGACGGCGAAGTGCCGTTTAACGCGCGACGACGGCAGCGGTGGCGATGGGTCGCGCTGACCCGCGCGCGATTCCCACAAGCTCGTTTTATCGCGTTCCCGCGATTTTCCATCGCGCGCCAATTTCGCGTTGCTCGCCACGAAGCAACCGATCGATCGTTCATCCGCCCGCTCGTCCATCCATCCATCCGTTCGTTCGTTCGTTCGTTCATTCGTCCATCTATCCGTCCGTCCGTTTTTGTCTGTCCGCCTCTCGCCGCATCTTTCTTCTTCTCTCTCTCTCTCTTTCTCTTTTTTCCGCCTTTTCGCGTCGCCTCCGATCACTCCGCCGGGGCGAACGGACGACGGCGAACGCACGCTTCTCGCGCGTGCACGCTTCGCCGAGCGACGGGCGGGCAGCAGTTAGGGTCGTTCACGACAAACGCTCCTCGGTAGCGACGGCAGCTGGCTCGCTCTCTCTCCCTCTTCCTCTTTCTCTCTTCGTCTCCGCTCTTCTCCGCGTCCTCACCTTCGGCCGCCGCCGTAGCTCGCTCGCTCGCTCGCTCGCTCGCTCGCTCGCACGTTCGTTCGCTCATTCGTTCGTACGTACGTTCGTTCGTTTGTACTTACATCGGGTGAGAGGGGCCCCGACAAACACGCGCAGCCGGCGGCCTCTCTTCGCCCTCGGCCCCATCGTCTTAACCGGACGAACAACGGACAAACAGACGGACGTGTTCGTTCAGCCGGTATTTCATTTCGCCTAATAAGATAGCGCGCGAGCGGAGAAAGACGGCGGGTGAGCGAGAAGCGCGTCCGCGGTCTGTCCGCTCTCGCGGCCTCCTTCCTCTCCGTCGCTTTCTCTCTCTCTCTCTCTCTCTCTCTCTCACCGTTCTGTCCTACGCAGTGATCGATTCTCAGCTTGTCTGCGAAGAACGTACTAGATCCTACGCAAGGGAAGGTCTTAGTAATTTTTCCATTCGAAGCCCGGATGCTCGAAACAGGCTTGTAGGCGTTCCTCCTTCACTCGTCGCAGTTTCGCCGCGAAACGTCGCGATTATTTTCGCACGCTCGTCCAAAGGTCTGGCTCTCGTCGTGATCGAAGAACGTCGTAGGTTCGCCTCCAAGCCTGCAGTGTCGAATCTCCCGGTCTCTCTCTCTTCCGCGATCTCTCCTCGCGACATTTCGCGAGAAACGCGCGCGCGGTTTCCGCGAAGTGTTGCCTCGCTCCGAAAGTGTGCCGTCACTCGTAGAAAATCTCTTTTCCTTCGTTCCCTTCCCGTCGCGCCGAGAGAACCGTGCTCGTCAATGGAACGTTAAAAGTCCGCGCCGCGTAGTAAAGATGCGAGTACTATGGTATCTCTCTCTCATTGAAGCTGCACGATAAAACTACGACGATAAACAAGCGGCGGTTCCATTGACGTTTCCGCGCGCGACTCCGAGGACTCCGCGTTTCTCTCGACGCTGCAGCTTGACACGCGTGTTTTTTTTTTCTTGACCTGTGCGCTTCGCTATTTGTGTTCGAATGCGACTTACAACCGCGTTTCTCCTTTCCGGAGATTACGATTCAATCTCCGGAGCCAAACGGTATAAAAAAAAAAAACTCCGCGAACGAGATAAGCGAGATTTGCTTTCATTGTGATTAGTCAACATTGCGGGAATCTAAATTAATTTAGTGACTCGCTAGTTTTTTTTCCTCGATAGTGATTCTATCTTAAAATAGAGCGACGAAACTGAGATAATGGATGTTAGCGCTAATCGACGTCGATGCAGCCGGGAGCCTTGGACTGCACCGCCGAATTGCGTCACGTCGCGTCATTCTTCCGGCGATAATAATACGAGCCGCGTAACTGGCCTCATTTTTTTTTCTCTCTTTAAGTATCGCCTGACAATAGAATTTTCCGAACGGCTCGAGTATTCAGTTGACACGATTTGTGTAAAAGGGGAGAGATCATATTATATACACGACTGAGAGACAGAGTGTTTCGGAACACGCCAGTTTCATTGATTATCACGTCACGTCACGTGCTTGGCTTGCGAGAAAAGATTCTCGATTTTGTACATCTTATAATACTTCAATTGAGGAAAATGTCAGTGTCGAATTTCCCGAAAAAAATATTTCGTTCGCGTCGAAAGGACAGTTTCCGTCCAACGTAAACACATTTCAAAGTGGTCGTCCTCCGGACGTTGTTCAAGGTTCTGGGAAATGTCCCGCAGAGTACGGTGCATTATTATGCGCGCCTTACTTTGTGGTTCCGAGAACAATTCGGTGGACAGGACTGGTTGTCGGAAGTCGCTGAAGTTTTGGCGGGAAACCGTGTGGACCCGTTCCCGGGGACACACCGTAGAACGTCACTCTCGAGAATAGAACGCGCCACGTGGTGACGAGTATCTCGCGCGGTAGCCGAGGGTCTTTCGAACGAAGCCGGTTTCGCTGGGTGTCCCGCTGGGTGTCTTTTTTTTTTCTTTCTTTTCCTTCTTCCGCCTTCCTCGGCGGCTTAAACCGCCGGTATATTTATTATCACTGGCCTAGGTCAGGTCGTATCGCGACTAACATCGGCGGCACAGCTGTGTGTCGTTTGATTCTCGCATAATTAATCCTTCCCGCGCTCACGCCCGATCGCTGCAGGTATCGGACACGTTTTCTGTCTCGCGACTTTCACATTTAGCCGATATCCGACGCATGACGTTTCGGAAATTTCCAGAGGATTCTAGATTATTTATTTGTCGAGTGTGTGTGTAAAAATTATTTCCCCCAATCGCCAACGTTTTTTAACATCACAGTCTTGACGATTCGATTCACGCGAATCGAACAAATATGAATTAGCGTGTTACTTTTACTTATACGATTTTAAGACGCAGTTATTTGTTAGTCGTGGTTATTTGTGGATTCGTGGTTAATAGGCACGAATCAATTTACCCTTTTTTACGATTTTAGAAGGGGTAGCTAATCGGCTTATAGATTTAGTTACGTCTAACGATACAGATGGGGGAGTATACCTATAAAGCTAAACGGGGGATGTAATTCCGGATTGCGCGGCTGTTATCCAATTGCTAAGTGAGCTGCACGATCTTTTAACGCGATTTCCGCCAGCGTTCAAAGCGTGCATACCGCGATATGGATATTGCACGAAAACGGTGGGTGGTCTTTGTCTCCTCTCGAACAATGGATCTCTCTCGGCCGACCTACGGTCGAACTCTCCGCTATGCTTATACCTGAGAATTACGCTTCGTGTATCCCGCGCGCATTAAATAAACGCCGTATACACGTGCCTCTTATCGGGAGCGTTTAGGCCCGCCAATGCCGGGCGCATTGTTTCTCACGCTTAGATCATGGCAGATTATGGCAGAGACTCTCGAAGCTAATGAGAGTCATTCGATATATTCTTTCAACCTTCTCTCTTTTTCTCCCTTTTTTTTTTGTAGAAAGTTCAGCGATCAAATGACTTTGCCGACCTGACGTTTCGAAGAAGGTTGCGAGAAGTATCTTTGTTGGATCTTCAAAAGTTTGTTCGGAGATCTTTTCCGGATCATTGGCGCCTTTCGCTTGACAATGAGACTTCCTCTGAAGTATCGTAATGCATCTTTGAATGTTGTGAAAGTTAATTTCAATCGTTAGAGAATTAGAGTAAGAATAAATAATCAGGGACAATCTTTAAATATAATTTAAATAACTCAAATAGGTATACTACTGGATATATGTATTTGCTGAGAAATTAATTAGTTTATTTATTTTTTATAATATTTTATAATATTTTATGTTATTTTCGCGAGAGACTTTTCGATTTTGAGAAAGAGTTCTAGACATGTCAGAAAAAATTTTATTTCTCATCTTAGAAATCGTCCTCTTTATTCTTATTCTAATTTTCTCACGATTGAAATTAACTTTCAACACTTCAAAGATGCATTATGATACTTTCAAAGTAAGTCTTATTGTCGAGCGAAGGAGAAGCGAATGATCCGGAAAAGGTCTCCGAACAAACTTTTATTATCCTTTTACCACCTCAGGTTTTCATTCTTACGTGTCCCTTTAAGTTTGTATGACTTCTCTAATTTGTGATCTATTTACTAATTTGACGTTGGAAATTGGAAACGATTTGAAACAAATGAAATCTCTTTCATATTTATCGAGGAATGCTCCGCTTTAAAGCGATCCGTCAAGCGGTCAAACAGTTTGCACGCGTAAAAAAGTAACTTGCCCAGGTCACGAGACACCGTAATGCATCTCTGAAGCTTCTTCGGCGGGACGTTTATCTCGGGGATCAATCGATATACCTGCTCTATTCTTATTCTTGTGTTTCGTCGTGTCACGACCCCGCGCAGATCTCACCGCGCGCGGCGGTTCACCGAAACGGGACGCCGCGGTGCGTTTCAGCGTATAAGTATTCGCGCGGCCGACTTTAATAAACCGCGGCGCGCCTGCGAGCTGTTCGCGCGGCGTTGCGCAATACTCGCTGTCGGGCACGGTGATTTTAAATATTTGCTCCGAACCGCTCTCTCTCTCTCTGTGTGTGTACGCACGCACGCACGCACGTGTGAGCTTCGCGCGCGCAGGAGAAAGTTCATCGCTCAAGGGGGGAAACCGGAGAGTCGTTTACGAGCGGAGTCGAAAATCGCGTGACCCGATCGTAAGAATCGAACGCGGTGTTGTATAATGTCGCGTTTAGCGGCGAACAAAGACGCGCCGAATAAATTCCGAAGCCGAAATGTAATTCCGGCGGGGCTCCTCCGCGAGTGCACACGCGAGGATGGTCCTCACGCGCAGTTCCTAGATAATGGAAACGCGAGTCGAGTTAAACGAGCGTGTTGCGTTCATTTTGACATGTTAACATGCTACGACGATGCACGTGGATGTCTGACAGCTTTTAAGACGCTTGTAGAAAAACATACCAGCTGATCCAAAATTTTTAGAATGACATTAATAGCTCGATGGCAATATAAAATAAAAAGCTATTCAAAGCAGAATCCATGAAGACACAGTCTTGTTTAATCATATTACGCAATATTTTATTATTATATGCTTATCATAATAAAAGTCCTACGGATTTTTAGGAGTTAAGAAATATATGCAAAACTTAAAGCGGACAATATATTAAGACGCAGGATTGTATCTAAAAGAAATCTCGTCGTAATGATGAAATTACCTGATTATATTATATACATGACGTAGGATACCTATATAGTGTTTCAATTAGTCAACGTTGATTCCATAACTCTGGGCGGGTCCTAGACTATTCTAAAGATAAAGATCTTCATATTCGCAACAATTTGTTTCACATGTCGTTGTCCGTCACTTGCACAATCCTCGACTTGGAGGTCTAAGGAGTTGACTTACATAGATTATCAGTCGAAAATAAAACCTATCACGGAATTGCCCTGCATCGTATAGCGTAATTACAGTCCTGCGTCTTATCCCTCTGGATAAGTATCTTTTACGGTAAACGGAGGCGAGTAATTCGATCGACTTCTCGCACGACGTACGCCAGTCATCCGGCAGCTTTCGACGAGTTAGAGAATGTCAGATATTACCTCCTCGCGGTGCGGCATATCGGAATTAAGGACATTCGTTTAGCGCCGGCGACCGAAACTCGGCAGACTCCCACGCAACTCGACGTCTGCAACCCCCTTCAACACTGTGCTCTCGTTTCAGGGTCAGCGCAATAACCCGCGGTGAGAACGTGAGGAGGCGGTTGAGGGCTTAACATCCAGGCCGCGTGACCGAAGAGTCGCAGCTGCAGAATGTAAACGTCTGCCGTTGACCGTGACGTCGCCTATCGGCAGGAGGAGGAGGAGGAGGAGGAAGAGGTGAAGGAAGGCACCGGCCGTGACTTCGTCGTCGTCGCCGTCGTCGTCGTCGTCGCCGTCCGCGCCGTTCGCGCCGCCGGCGGAGACGCGATGGACGATTCCGAGTCGCCCCAGACGTGGTCGGCCTGGTTTCTAGACGCGATCCGGAAGATCCGCAGTCAGAAACAGCGACCGAGTGTTGAGCGGATATGCCACGCGATACGCCAGCATCATTACTTCCACGAGGAGGAGATCGCCGAGCACCTGGAGGTCGCCGTGAAGCGCGGCGACGTGCTCAAGATTTTCAACAAGGGTCAGTCCTCGTACAAGGATCCCGGCGGTCTCCAATCCAAGAAGCTCAGGGTCAACAAATCGACGGATATCAGCAAGGTCTTGAGCAAGGCGGTGCGCGAGCTCGGCGAGCGCGAAGGTTCGAGCCTGAGGAACCTCGAGAGGTACATTAGACAGAGTCACACCGTCGAGGAGGATGCCGAGGGCGATCTTAGAATCGCTCTCAAACTCTCCGCCAAGCGTGCGGTCGAGCGGGGCCTGGTGCTCCAGGATGGCAAGCTCCTACGACAAACGGACAGGCCGCCGCACAAGAAGTCGAGTGACGCCTCTAATGCGTCCACGGAACCGCCCGCGCCCAAGGTGAGTCACTTTGACCAGCATATAAGTCGTGCATTCGATGATGAGTCATTCTCTTGAAAGTGCGTCCTGCGACCCGTCGAAATTACCGACGGAGATGTCGGCTTGATTGCAGCTTCATAGCCTCCCATACACTTTACATCTTCTTTGACGACGCGCTCTGTTAGACGATAGAAACTCAGTTTTATCAGCACTGGATAATGCTAATCTCAGCTTGGTTGATTCTTCTCTGTTAATCAGGCTAACTGAAACTATTCCAACTATTGACTAACTCTCAAGTTATTACAACAGAATTATTACTGCTAAGATTAAAGCTAGGCAAAAAGAATTTCGGTTGAATCTATTTAATATTAGTGATAGCCATAAGAAAACAATGACTCGTTAATTTAGGCTCCTAGTTTCGTATCACGGTTTTATTTTCGCTGTCGCCTTTCGGCGCAATGGTTGTACGAATATTTTCTACGATCTTGAACTCGAGTCGCATAAACCGATTGCTGAATACCCTCAAATACATCTACTCGGACAGCTCTCTCGATATCGCGTTGCGATCGCCGAGCGACGTTATCTCTGAGATAATCAGAGTAATTAATCATCGAACAAATCGCTTCATATTCGAACACGTGCGTTCATCGTCGAATTATCTGATACGGTTTCGCACTCCCCAGCGATAGTTCTCTACATCTCCAAGTCTAGTACGCTTCATAGACCAGTGACATATTGTTTCCGTGATCAACACAAAATTTCTCGAACAATCGCTTCAGACTGCTGTTGGTTGAGACGTATGAATGACATTGGCGTACGTACTCGTCGAGTCTAATCTCGCGGATCTCTTCCCGCACCGTCGTCGCTCGCGTTACGCGCCGCTCGGTCCGCGCGTAAACGAGAACGTGAACGCTCTCAAAGCCGGAAAAGTATTGCGCCGGGTCACGGCGTAGTGCCCACGTTCCGGCGATGTTGGGAATGTCGGTTGGCGACCGCTGGAGTGGGACGACGAGGAGGGGGAGGGCAGAGCGCTGGAGAACGCGGGAAGGGGAGAGGGGTGAAAGGTCGAGATCGCGCCGGGACGATGGGCTATCTCGGGCGACTTCCGGCGGATTCGTTTTGTATAACGTTTCTCTCCTATTGATCCTCCGACCGCGGAATCGCGCTCCCTTTCTTTCTTCCATCGCGTTTCGAGCGCGAAAAATCGCGGCGCGCCGACGCGGGGTCCCGCCGATACGTCCCCCCCGCATCGCGCATCAGGTGGGTTATACCCCCGGTGCGCGGAGGGGGGGAGGGGGAACGACGACGATGACGACGACGGGCGCCGTACGTCGCCCGGCGTCCATTTCCCGCGCTTTTTTTTTCCCCCCGTCGCCTCGTTACACCGCAAATCGCCAGCCGCGGGGGCGATCGATCGCCGGCCGCGCGCTGTTTTGCGAGAACGACCATTTTGAAAATTACACAGCGGACGAGACCCGCCACCCGGTCGATCGCGACGCTCGTCAGCGACGTCAGCCCACGTCGGCCCGTGCGGAGGCGCAGTTAATCCGTCGCCCAAGTCCGAATTAAATGCCTCTTTAGAACAAGTCGTTGATTCTTGAATGATCTAATGAAATGAAATCTCGTTTGTACAGACTCCTACTAGAATGTCAATATCAAAAGACACCGTGGATGATTTTATAATTGATATCTGATAGTATTCTATATATTTCTGTCGAATAGCAACCTCTTGGTATGTTAATGTACTTATTAAAGAACCGAGAGATCCAGGCCGAATTTTAATTTAATCTCTTTTATGCGTCACGAACGCTTATCTGTCGTCTTGGATTGAAGGACTTTCGAGACTCTCGTGTGACTCAACGGATCCATCTGATAAGTTGCGGGTTAAGAAATAATTTTAGAATAAACAATTCGAGATCTTTAATGGAGATACGCGAGCGTTTTTTTTTTCAGATTGTCGGTCCTTGTTTCGCGATCGAGTTAATTTGGACGTCCAGCGTGTGTCGATGTTTGTAGCGCAACAGGATAATGCCGGGCGCGGATGATCTGGGGCGTGTTTCGCGCGACTTCGACGCGGAATGAAATTAATGGGCGACGTTGGCGCGTGAAGCATTTGCGGATGCACGCGTAAAAGCGCCGATACAGCGAGTCGTCCAATCGCGCAACAGGTCGCAGCGGCTGGTGCGAGAAACGGAGGCTGCGTTCGCCCGCATACACTTTCTCTCTAATTTACCGTCTTCTTGACTGAAGGAAACAACCCCGCGCGTGCATTTGCACTAGATAACTTCTTCTTCTCACGTGACGTTCGAGCAATCCTACGTTAAAAAAAAAAATGTTACCGTAAAACTGAATTATCGAAAAGAGCCGATCTGTTCAGGAATAAAAAGAGTTTTCTTTGTCCACTGAAGAATAAAAACTTACAGCATAATAAATCATATTTAATTACATTAAATACTTTTTAAAAATTGTATGGAGGCTATAGGTACGAGTAATTTTAGTTCATTATAAGCTTAGAAATATTCCTGGATAACAGAGCTGCAGAGGATTAAAACACGCGAAAATGTTATAGAATGCTTACAAGCTTTTAACACGTTTCCGCGAATGCAGAGAATATTTGTGAAAGAGCGTTTCTTCGAAATTATCGCTACCGTTGCTGCATCGTTGCCACAACGTGCTCTTAATAAGATGCACCCCTCCAACGCACACGAGGCCGTCGTGTCTAGCCAGTATTTCTGCATTGCCGCCACCGAAATGAATAATTATGTTCCGCGCCGGGACTCACTCGTCTTTTGTATATGCGATACGTAATGATAGATGGTATCGAACCGCCGATATGTGGCGGCTGATACGCAGCTGGCGTGTGAAGGCTTCGGAAGTCCCGCTGTTTAAATTAAATACTTAGCATTTTATAACATTTTCTTCTTCCAGATGACGAGAGAAATTCTCAATAACGTTTAACGTTGATCCCATGAGTGTCACACACACACACACACACACACACACAGCTAAAAATATCTTTAATCTTATAAATACTAATATTGTACGCTACGCTATATTATAATTATTATTTTTATAGATACTTTTATTTGGATATTTTTACTTTATCGATTTATCGACTTCTGTCCGTTTCTCGTAGCTGCCGGCTCCATTGCCGATATGCAAAGAGTGCCTCGGCGCCACGATGGCCGGCAACAACAACAACAGCAAGCGGAACGCCAACGAGAAGCTAAGCAGGTGCAGCGTTTGTGGCGCGGCCCTGCACAATTCTTGCGCGCCGCCGGAGCTTTCGGTACTCGTCGATCGAGGAATAACTTGGTCCTGCGACGACTGCTCGCCAACCTGCGCCGGCTGCCAACTGGAGCGGGAGTCGCAGAATTATCTCGTCAAGTGCGCCGGTTGTGTGAACTGTTACCATCCAGCCTGCATCGATCCTGCCCTCGACAAGAAGAACAAGGCGCCCTGGAAGTGCCGGCACTGTCAAACGGCGCACACGCCGGTGAGCAAGGACGACGGCAAGCGGGGCAAGGCGCAGGATGCGAATTCAATCGACGACACGCCGACGAGCGCGAGGAAGAGGCTCAGCAAGTTACGCGAGAATCGAAAGTGAGTATGACTTGCGTGTATTCGATTAACAAATGCCGTCTTGCTTATGTGTACCTCGCAACAAGTAACATTTCCGACTTTGAGATAAAAAATAATTATGTAGTAATATGATTACATGTCAAGCCTAATATACATATTGTCGGTTATTTCTTTGCAGATCAATGGTATCCAGAAAAAGCTTGGCGAACGCACAACCAGCCAAGAAGAGCAGCGCGGGAGTGGCTCAGGTGGACAGCAGCTCGGACGGTAATGCGGGTGTTGTCTCCCCTCGTCAACCACCTTTGAATTCCTCTCCTTTGCCACAACCCCCCACCCCACTCGCAGGCCAGGGTAGGCTGCTCGAGGAAAAGAACGACAAGATCTCCAAGGAGAAGCAAAAATTCTTTAGATTGAGCGCATTTAACGCTGAGCACAGTAAACTGAAGCGGGTGGGGGGCGGTGATAAATCTAGGCCCTCGCGGAACGTTAATGTTAGGTCGACCCGGGGCGGTACCGCGAATCCGAAGAAAGTCGGCACGTCGCGAGTATCTAGTAGCAGTAGCAGCAGCAGCAGCGAGGCTGGTAATAGCAGCGAGAGCTCGGAGGGCAGTGATAGTAGCGATGAGGATGACGATGATGACGACGAGGAGGGCAATAGCTCGAGCGAGAGCAGCGACTCCTCCTCGTCGGATGAGATCCAGGATGGGAGAATCGAGTCTCCCAAGGCGAAGGCGCCATTCGCTTGTGACCTCAACGAGGACAAGCCGTGGGGCTTTGCCGCCGCCGCTGCGAAGCTAAACGTAGACTCGCCTTTCTTCAGCAATATCACAAACACCTTTGGCGCGCCTTTACCTAAACTCAGCGTGGGCGGTACGCCAACCTTTGGCTTGCACATACAACAGCCAGCCACCGTCAATCCGTCAGACGGTAAAAAGAAAGACAAATCCGAGCGCAACGCTGCACAGACGGCTGGCGCGAGCGCGGATAACAAGGCCAAGCCCGGAAGTGGCCAATTGAGAGGTCTCTTCGACGGTTTGAGTCACTTTTTTTCAGCATCCGCGAACAGCAGGGCGAGATCGGCCGGTGCACCGGCGCCGAATTACGCGCCAGACCGGAGAAAAAGGCCTAACGTAGAAGATACTGCTAAAACGAACAAAATTCCGAGAGGCACACAGAGAAACAAACAGGACGATTTATCATCTGGCACGAGTAAACTCAAGGATCGTAAAAAGACTGAAGCTACCACTGAGATAGCGAGATTACCGAAGCCCGGTATCTTTGTACCTTCCGACGAAAATGTATTAAGCTCGTTTAACGAGAAATTACCGAGGATGACACCCTCGAATCTGGTGAAAACCGCGGTGAACAGTAAAAGACACGAGCACGAGAGGAGAAAGCTGATGCGAGACGACACGTCGCTCGTAAAGTGCGCCGCGGATCCATCGTCACCGTCGTCGTCGTCGTCGTCGTCGTCGAGACACGAGCAGCAACAGCAGCAATCACGAAAGAAGCAAACGGCTTTGGATACGCAGATACGCCACCCTGTACCCGCCGTTGCGAAATCCTCAGGCCTCAGTTCCGATCCTGTCAAGTCAAATCCCAATCCAAAATCCAATCCACGAGCCTGTACTAGCGCCACCACCACCAACACCACCACGACACCCCGCGCGACACCCTGCTCCACCAGGAAGGGTAAGAGTCTACCCCACCCGTTCACAAGTTCCTAACCTCGATGATGCACCCTTAAAAAAAAAGTCGCAATGAAGACTTCCTTCTAATCTAATCCTAGCTCACGATCACGTGGATGTGTTGGCGGTGTGGTGTGGTATGATGTGTGAAACACGTGCGTCTGATGACCGTAACTTGTTTCAAGATAACGTGATTGTTCCGATGATATTGTGGAAAAGTTACAAAAATTATAAAAATTCTGTACATAGAAAACGTATTACAATTATTTTGTATAATTGACAGAGTTTAAAAACAAATCGCGAACAATCAGGTTTCTTGACTGAACGTTAATCTGCTACATGGTGTAAAACCAATGATTACTTGTAAATATATTTATTGTAGGAAATATATACAGAGATATAATAATTAGAAGATATATGCATCTGTTAGAACAGTTTATGAGAAATTCATCTTCATTTGTTTTACACTGTGGATAATATTGTGGTTATTGCATGTTGTTAATCATATTATTACTTGGCTCTGGCATTTTTTTTTCCTTTGTCCATGCTACATACATTTGGAGATGGTCATATCGAGAAATACTAAAACAATTTTGAAGAATACGTCCTTATATAGAGGCCTTCATCCTGTATTTGTTACTTTAGATTTAGTTACCTCATATTTTTCAGGATACTTGTACAGGATATATAACCATAGTTGCATCTGCAAACGTATCATGTCATGTACATATAACATTCGCACAACTTTCTTACAGAGAAACTTTTGATCTCTCATTGTAACATTTGGACTATTCTTTATTTTGACTAATTGACCGATTTACATTATATTTACATGGTTTTCGTACGTCAATCGCGCGAAACAAGTCCTCTTATCGAATTTTGGCAAGTCAATTTACAAAGACAAATAGCAAAGTTTTATTTTCCAAAGAAACATACGAGCGATCAATCTTGCACTTTCACGTAAAATGGAACTCATTTCAGCGTACTATACTGCTCTTTAATCGAATACTACGTGATTGACTCATATTCTCCTTTCTTCCCCTCCTTATACAAAAAAAAAAAGAAAAAGACCGAAATATAATTTCCAGGCACTGAAGAAAAAGATACGGGCACTGGGTGGCTTATCTCACTCAGCCGCCCTCTTGTACCATTTACACTGGAGCCTACCTGCTGCTGCTGACACTTAGCAGGCACTGTTGTACACCACCGCCCCCTTACCCCTTCACGAAAAAAAAAAAAGAAAAGACGAAAAAAGTTCCTGCCGTCGAAGAGCCAACTTTGATACTCTGCCAACACATCCCACTAATCTAACCCACAGCTTTGCTTTGGATACTACTCACATTATTAACGGAGCAAACGAATTATTATTCGCATTCTTTTGTCATATTACATTAGATTGCTATTGTCACCATGCTATGCCGTTCGATTAATTTTGCTTTCTTTTTGTTTCTGACCAACCGATTTCTTCAACAGGACGTGACTAATATCCCCGTTATTTTGACGTCTAGTTTACCCAAATCATTAGTATTCAAGTTGCGGCTGAGATAAACGTTAGGAAAATTGCCCTCGCTCTTTGTATATTTAGAGAAAGTCTTTGTTACGCAGTTTCAAACGTAACTTAATTTTTTTTACCTAATAATAACGTGCATTGGCGCGCACTTTAACTTAAAATTTAATACTTTTTCAACTGTAACGTCTCACGTCAAATTATTCATGACATTTCTCATTTACAAGTTCCTTCGTCAGATTTCTTTTACATTGAACACATCATTTTTCCTATGTTTTCTCATACAACAAACTATTGCAGTTGTAGGTAACAATAACTCGTACGTAAAGCAATTGTATCAATGATTAAATATTGATTATAAAATTTGATTGATTACAACAAAGAAAAAAAAAAGAAACAGATTGTTCAAGAATGATGTTATTAAAATATACAGGTCGCTCGACGAATTCGGTTAACATTCGTAATCATTCTTCTTTTTACAGAGGAACCAATCGTACCGCAAACCTTACCTCCAGGAGTTACGCAGAAGGACGTGGATCTTATCAAGGAAGCACGCGAAAGGGCTAGGCTGACTGTTAGCAACGATGAGAATGATCAATCGTTGTGCGTTAGCACACCGAATGCGTCTGGCAACGCACCACGAAATCCCGCCGCGATAGTATTCGGTCGATATGAGGTGGACACATGGTATTCCAGTCCATTCCCGCAGGAATATGCGCGATTACCGAAGCTGTTCTTCTGCGAGTTTTGTCTCAAGTACACGAAAAGCCGGGCTGTGCTGGACAGGCACATGGACAAGTGTCAGTGGAGGCATCCACCTGCCACCGAAATTTATAGGTGCGACGGATTGTCCGTGTTTGAGGTACGTGTCACCTAAATAGATGTTATCGTTTTTTTTTCTCGTTTGATTTGACAAACTAAAGAGGAATGTTTTGATATTTCAGATTGACGGTAACGTAAACAAAATCTACTGTCAAAATCTGTGCTTACTGGCGAAGTTATTTTTGGATCACAAGACTCTCTATTACGACGTAGAGCCGTTTCTCTTTTACGCTATGACCAAAAACGACAAATACGGCTGTCACTTGGTCGGTTACTTCAGCAAGGAGAAACACTGTCCGGCTCAGAGGTACAACGTGTCCTGCATTATGACCCTGCCGCAATATCAACGACAAGGTTTTGGCAGGTTCCTCATAGAATTCAGTTACCTGTTATCCAAGGTCGAGGGCATCCCGGGAACGCCGGAGAAACCGCTTTCGGATCTCGGTCGAGTGTCGTATCATTCCTTCTGGAAGAGCGTAGTGTTCGAGTACCTGGACGCGCATCGGAACGATACTGAGATTAAGCTGGGCGACATCACGAAGGAGACCGGCGTGTCGGCGCACGATATCGCCACGGCAATGCAATTGCTCGGATTTATAAGGTCGGTTCACTTGCCAGGGGATGCGAACAGTAATAAAGTGGCTGTGGTAGTCGATTGGAGCAAGGTAGACGCTCACATGGCGAAAGTGCGAAAGAGTTTCCGCATCAAGCTGGATCCCGACTGTCTCAGATGGATACCGTTGCTCACGCAAATCCCTAATCCGTATCAGAACCCGGAGGAGAACGCTGACACCGGCTCGGAAATGTCCCCTGCAGTGGAGCCTCCTAAGCCCGTGCCAGCCGTTGTCGAGAAGATACAAAGAGTGAAGATAAAGAAGAAGCCTCGAGGTAGAAGAGTAAGCCAGAGGAAATCGATACCTTTGAAATCAACACCTTTGAAATCGACACCTTTAAAATCGACACCTTTAAAATCGACATCTTTAAAATCGACATCTTTAAAATCGACACCTTTAAAATCGACATCTTTAAAATCAACACCTTTGAAATCGACCCCTTTGAAATCGACACCTTTGAAATCGACACCTTTGAAACCAAAGGCTTCGCAGAAGACTGCAGCGTCTCACAAGGACGCGTCCAAAGAAGAAAAGGATGTTAAAGATGTGAAGGAGACCAAGGTGGCGAAAGAATTGAGAGAACCAAAAGAATCCCCAAGAGAAAGTCGTAACGCCGAGAGCGCAGAGAATCGAAAAGAATCTCGCGCGGAAACGGAAGCTAAGAGCGTAACGTCCACACCGAGAAACGCGCGCGCTCTTAGCTCCGCAAGAAATGCTGCAACTCCGACGACATCGCCGAAATCGGCACAAGTAACGACGATGTCGAGGAGAAGGATCAGACCACCTAAGACGCTTGTATCCGAATCAGTCATCACACCTTTGAGAAAACGAAAACATTCCGAGAAAATTGAGGCTGAGGAAGAGAAAGTGGAAGTTATTAGTAGGAAGAGGACGCGAGAATCTCTGAGGGAAAAAGAAAAGGAGAGAGAGCGAGAAACCGAACGAGAGCGCGAGAAAGAGAAGGAGAAAGTACGTGAGAGGGACAGTAAAGCGAAAGAAAGAGAATCTCTGAAAGAAACTTCGGTGGACACTAGAAAAACGCCTCCTAAATTAGATTCTGTTTCGAGTCCGCCTAAACCGGCAAAGAAACAATGCAAAGTCGACGATATTCTGTTGAAAGTTACCAGTAGACAATCCAAGTATATGCAGGCAAAGGAAAAGAAAATTCTGGAGGAAACGCAGTGTAATGGTAAAGAGGAAGTGCGAGAGGTTAAGAACTCGCCGCTGTCCAGGCGGGGTAGAGGTAAGGCGACGGCGGAGGCCCTAAAGATGCCGCAACTCACGCCGGAATCTCTCAGCACGAAGAACAGAGCCGAAAGTCCTGTGATACCGCCTCCTTCGTTGTCTCCACCGCCCGAGTCCGTGAAGAGCTCTCCCGTTCGAAACAAGCAACCGTCTGTGCCAGACTCACCGTCCACGAAGCACTCCGGTAACAGTGACAACAAGAGCGAGAGCGCGGAGGACAACGGCCTGCCCGTTCCCACGGAAACGGAAGTGGTATCCGCGAGTTCCGGCGAGTATGAGGGCGGCGACGAGGATGAAGGGGAAGAGGAAGAAATAACCACACCAACGCCTAAACTCGTGACGCAATCGGCCTCGCCAAACACGGAGAACCCCGCGAAAGAATCGTGCGAGGACGAGAATGCGGATAACAAGGTTCCGGAGCAAGATAACGACGAAAGCTCGTTGCAGAAGGCGGAAGCAGCGGATCTATCACCAGCGGTCGGCGACGATCAGACTGAAACTATAAACGAATGTGATAAGGACTCCGAGATTGACAAGCGTCCAGTTTGCAGTCCGGAGGCATCGAAATCAGTACCTGAACCAGTTGCTTCACCAAAAGAGGAGGAAATCGAAAAGTCGGAGAGCAGCGTTATGCCCAGGAAGGATGATCGCGATAGCCCTCCCAAAGAGGAGCTCATTCTTGAAACGCCGAAAGATGTCAAGATTGATCTGTCGCGACCGAAAACGGAACCTTTACCGGCGGAGAAGGACACGTGCGCTCTCGTCAACGCGGCGGTGACGTTGGAAACGGAGCCTCTCACGCCGCAGGAGAAACCATTACCCATTGTGGAACATCAGGACACAACCTTGCAATTACAGAATCAAACGGAGGAACTGAAACAACATTCGCCTGAGAGCGGCAAGACCACGCCGCATCTGGAGAACCCGGGCTCGGTGAAGAGAACACCGCCGTCGCAACCGGATTTGCCGTCTATGGGAGTCTACACGCCAGACTCGACGACGAACTCCGTGCACTCGTTGCACTACAGCCAGTGCGATTTAGATGTGAGTCAGTTGGGCCTGGAGTCGCCCACTTCCATAGCCAGCGATCTCGCGTCGCAAAACAGCGTGGAGAGACCGCCCAGTGCTCTACCGTCTATCCCGCCGCCTGCAAACGTGCCGATCTCGGTTTCCATGCAGATTGCGACGCCGGTTACGTCGTCGGTACCAGTGAATATGCAGCAGCAGGTGCAGTACGCCGACTGCTCGATGCCACAACATACTCCGCCGGCTCATCATCCGAGCATTCATCCGATGCATCAGCCACACACCCCGCAGTCCCTCCAACAACCGCGTACTCCGCAGAGTATCCCGACGCAGAGCCCACAGCCGCTTCCGCAGAGCCATACGCCGCAACCGTTGCCGCACACGCCGCAGAGTATACCTACGCAAAGTCCGCAACCGTTACCACAAAGTCATACGCCGCAGCCGTTGCCCCAGTCGCACACGCCACAACCGATGCAGCTATCGCTGTCGCAGCAAGCGCAGAGTCAAAGTATGGCGCACAGTCAATCTCAGCAGTCGCAACAACAACAACAACAACAGCAACAGCAGCAGCAGCAGCAGCAATCTGCGCATCAACAGCAGCCTCAACAGCAACAAACTCAATCGCACAGCAAGCGTGCCAGCTCCCAGACCACGCACAGATCCAGGTCGAGCGCGCAGCAGAGTAGCAGATCATCGCATCGGGCCACTCCGCCGTCTCACAACACCCAGACCTCTCAGCACAGCGTCGTAACGTCGCAGACCAGTCACAGCATCAGCACCGCGGCGCATACGGCGCATATTGCGATGCCGCCGCAGTATCAGCAGTCGCCGTCGTCGATGAGCGTGCCATCGGCGGTGCCGCATCCGCACTCGCACACCCCGCACGCCGCGCATTCGCACAACATGGCGGTGATCTCGCAGGGCAACTACATGGCAGTGGCGGCGGCGTCGCAGGCCTTCCCCACGCAGAACACCTACGTGATCCAACATCGCAGCGGCCGTTCCGGCGCGCCGACGCCTTGTACTACCGCTACGAATTTCTACATACAGACGAACCCGATGCCGCATTCGCATACCCCGGCGCCGACCCCGCTCTCCGCCTCCGGCGGTAGTCATCAAGCTACAAATTCGTGCAGTCTGGCGAAGCTGCAGCAGCTGACCAACGGTCTGGAGATGATACCGCCCACGGCGCCACCGGCGATGAACCTCACGCCACCGCCACCCATCCCGCACACCATGACGCCACCGCAGACGTCGCGGCAGCTACCGACGCCACCTCAAGTCCCGTTGGGTTACGGGAAACCCTATTACAACACCGTGCCTCCCGGCACGCCCGGACCGCCTAGCCGATCCGCCTCGCGCTCGTCCGCGAACAACATGCCGTCGCTCACGCAGGCGTATCCCAGCGAGAGCCTCTATCGGCAGACCCTCGATCCGGGCGGCACCTGCCCGCAGATGCAAAGCACCGCGAACCGCGTCAGCCCGAATGTCGCCCTCAACACGAATCTCATGGCAGCCGCTCAGTACGGTTACCGGGTAACGCAACCAGCGACCAGTTATATGAATGCGCAGGCGGCACAACTCGGCGGGTTCATGAATCAGGCGAGCCAGCTGCCGGTCGGCGTGGTCAACGTGCCAGCGCCGTATCCGCAGGATCCGCACCAGCAGAACCCGGCGGCTGTCTACACTACGTATCACGGCTACATAAACGGCGGTCTCATGCAGCCCCTCAACAGCTCCATGAGGCCGCGCTAGCCGTCGCGATCATCGCCTACTCCGATCGAATCAATCTCTCACGACGTTCCGAAGGATGGACGAACCTCTTCGCGCGACAAGTTAATGCTCTCTTCGATACGACCATCGATGGCGACCCAGCTTCGATCTTCTACTTCGTGACCGACTCCGCGGACACTTGTACTTTCCCGACCATTCGCTGCCTTCCACCAGCTCTGTCCGCGAAACCAGACTTGTTTTCGAGTCTTCTCGTCACGCTGATCCATTTGCGACAACAATCCTCTTTTCCGATCCAGGTACTCCACGATGCATCTCCGAAGATATGACTCGGTGCTCGCTACGATTGGCGAACACAAACGAACGTACATCGGCGTAGAGCCGTAATGGACAGAGTGCGGCAGATCGCGAGAGAACTCAGTGTAACACGATTGTAACAGAAGCAGAATCCGCACGTTCGGCAATCCGTTCGTCAAGCACACAATCTTATTTTAATTCTTTATCTCGACTCAGCAGAATATATTCGCGAATGACTAGTGCATTAGCGTGTGTCTTCTGTACGCCAGTACATGCGAAATCGGTACGTGAATATGTATATGTCTATTACTGTTTTAATTGCACGTTCAATTTCAGAAAAGCAGGAGGAGGAGAAAGGGAGGATAATTGATATAACCCTTCCCGGTCTCTCTACCCACGCCCGTCGGCAGGACGGGACGTTTCTCTTCTTCGCGCTCGAGGAAGGCTCGTATTAAACTGATTCTTAACTTGTCGACAAAGATTGCACACAAGGTACAATTTAATAATAGTTAACGATCGGTAATTTTTCGAGAGCACGAGTTCGTATGCTTCGTGCGTTTAAAATAGAAGAAAAGGACAGGGAGACGTTATCTTGGACGGATTAATTTCGGCTGAGGTATCGCTCCTTCATTTTTAATTCGGAAGCAGAAAGGAAAGAAAGAAAAAAAAATTGAGGAAAAATAAAAGAAAAGAAATGCGAACACCTATTTTTAGTAGGGCATTCCTTCGCGAAAACCGCAGCAGTGTTACGTTTTATGTATTTATATATATATATATATATAAATATATATATATTTACGAATAATATTCTGTTTGATATTATCAATTGTTAAACATTGTTATTTAAGTTGGCACACTTGTACTTTACTGTATCATAAAGAAAAAAAGGTAACTGCGTAATGCTATGATAATCCTCATTGTATTATTACGGAAATCGATTAATTGTCGCCGACATCGTTTCACCAGTGTAAAATTATCAATCTCGATCGTCAGCGCCATCGTTTACATAATTTTTATTAATTGTTATCATTATTATTATCATTAATCACTACTATTGGACAGATGATGACACATACACATACACACAACGGACATTCATTCACACGCACGCACACACACATACACACACACACACAGCCTCACACAGGAAGCGTAATCATGCGTTATATTTTAATTGTCATATGCATGATGTCACACATTCGTTCGGTATTCATATTGTATGTTTTTATTATCTAATATCGCGAGAGGGTAGCTCTATAGTTTTCGGAAAGAATAACGGAGCGCGCGCAATCAGGCCCTTCCACGAAGCGTCGCGAGACTCGTGCCGAAATTATTTTTTGTATCGAAGATATCGCGAGAGGAAGCGTGCGCGTACGTCGATTTCCCTTCGCGAAGTGAAGGAAAGAGGAACAACGTGTAGCGTGAAACCCGCACGTGTTGTCCACGTTATCCCGAACACATTGCCCCCCCCCCCCGAACCGCGTAGTTTCCCTCCCTCGTTGTGGGCGACGCTTCGCGGAACGGTCGTGACGACAACAAAAAAAAAATAATATATTTATGGTACGAAACGTTACGAGTTTAATTTTTTCAGACGAGAGAACGAAAAGAAAAACGAAAGAAAAACGGCAGATCGCCTAGCTTAGAGTAATTGAATGATAAGATAATTAATAATGTATAAAAATACATCAATATTTATTGTACATAGATCTAAAAAAGACTACTAACAAATAAAAAAGAAATCAAAAATACGTGATCGCATCTTTGATCGTTTCCAGGTGCCACATATCACGATGTGTTGCGTGCAAGATTCACCTTCTTGCGCGTGAACAGATCCTCTACAAGCTTTGTTACTTCATCCTGAACATAGGAATGCGATCAGATCTCTAGCTTGTATTTGTAGGATTCTGAGCAAAAGTGAATAAGTCCATAATTTGTATGATATATCGTGGGAGATACATATCCTCTTAAATTTTACGAATTGCACTCCTATACTTTATTACTAGATTAGACGTGAAAATTATAGCTTCTTGAACTTTGTAATTTTTATGGGCTTAGTCCACTTTTATCTTAGACGGTTATCTTGGTTTAATTTATACTTTAGTTAGTATACTTTAGTTTAGTAACATAGTTAAATTTATACTTTATAATAATGTATGTGTCATTACTCTCATCTCTTTTTCATGGGTTACCTCGAATGCGTGAACGAACGTTTTCTCTTCCGTTTTCTCTCCTGACGCCGTTTCTTCTCCTCGTTGGCAAGATCCACGTACTTCTTTCTCTCCTCGGGAGTCATCCGGGACCACAGTTTCCCCGCAGCCCGCGCTATCACGGTGACATGCTCGTTCGGCTTCTTGCTGCGAAGTCGCAGGAAGAAAATGATGAAAGGATTCGTCGCTCGAGGCCGGGCATTGTGCCTGTCCCTTTGGCTCTGTGAACTCTGACCGGTGGCTTTGTCACTTCCGCTCGCCGGTTGTCTCCCTTTTCCGGTATCTGCGCTACGTGAAAGGCGAAACTGCAAAGTACGCTTTTGCGTGCCTCATTGATCTCGTCGATATAAATTTCAATACCTACATTCTGTATATTACAACGTCAGAAGCACAAACAATTCTTGCGTTTTTACGTTTCTATAATTAATAACTATTATAATTGAAAAACTCGCTTTTTCTATAAAAATTATATATAAATTAAAAAAAAGAGAAATTTAGTTAAAAAATTTCGCATAGATACAGATGGCGAGAAAATCATGCGTATATTTTTTATCGTTTCTGACATTAAAATTCAAAGTGGTAAATTAGTGGCTCGAATAAGCTTGTGTGTCACATGCCAAGGATGAATAAAAAATTCGGAGTTAGATCAGATGCCACTCCGTCATAAAGTAGAAATTATCTTACTTGTCCTCTTTCCGATCTTTCTGAAACTTTGGAGGTTGCGCGGAATTGACGTTTCCCATTTCCGTCTGATTTTTACGGTAGTGTCGACGCGACTGTCCCGACAATTACAGCGTCACTTGACAATTTATTATTTATCATTCACACCGGTCCCGGCACGGTAATTTTTATCCGGGAACAATTGTCACATTGACATTTGTATCGCGCAAGATCGTCCACTGTTTTTTCAAAAGACAAACACGATTTTGGTATCACTTGCATTGGTATTACAAGAGGGAATCATTCTCAATCCTTCGCAATTCATTTCACAATCAATTTAATACTGTATGTATCTCTTATCCACTCCATGCGCTTTACATATATAACGTTAAATTAAATTAGTAACAATTATAATCATAACAAGAGAAACGTAGCTTCCTATTTTTTTTCTTTTATATAAAATTCGACATTTTTCACATTTAATCTAAGACTTCCTACAAATTACACTATAGGATAACGGCATTACAAAAATCTTTTGTTTGCCGGAGGGTCGATACAAATTTCTATTCTATTTAATACGCTTTGTATAAATATACCGTATACTTATATCGTATTGTTATTTCTATATTACATAACGCTATAAATCCCCGCCGGCTTGCGCTGGTTTCTTCGATTTCTTGCTTTTGTTCAACTTGCCGGGACAGTAGCAGGCCTGTTTCTGGGCGTCGAGGAAGCTCTTGCAACCCAGCGTGATCGTCCCCGTGAAGAGGGTCTTGGCCGCGGCTTTACACGTGTTGACGATGCCGGTGCTCTGATACGTGTCACAATATCTGTAGAGACATCTTTTGAATTCCAGATCGCACTTCTCCTTGTCCGTGTTGCAAGTATCGTAGCAAATGTCGTGGACGTCGCAGCACTTCGTCATTTCGGTGAGCGGAAGGTATTCCTGGTTCACCTACGAATATTTGTAACAATTTATAACAGCCGTATAATTAATATAATTATAAGAATGTCACAAGCTAAACATTGCAGAATAGGTAGTGACTTCAATTAACGTCGCAAATTAAATTACAAACCCGATTAAAATAAATTACAAGCGCTGTCCAGACAACACAAAGACATCTTTAAGACGTCTTTTAAACATTTTTAGATAGTTTTCGCAGAAATGTCTAAAGGACATCTTAAAGATGTTATTCAATTTTAGATTTGTATTAAGTGACTAGGTAACTTATTATAATTTACATTATAAATTCAATTGTTGACTGATAAGATTGTAAATTATTGTCAAATTAGAGAAATTGTTAATAATCGACAAATTTACATATTAAATTATAATCGACGAGACACACACTGTTCGTGCGATTAATTGACAAATGTAAAAAACGCGACAAAAATTTTCGTTACTATAAAAATTGTATATCAATCATTTATCACTTATATATCCTTCCGGGGAAACACACCTGGATACCGAGGGAACCGCATCCGTCACTCTGCGGCTTGTGATTCCAATCTGCCTTCGGCGTGGATCCTGAAATGAATGGTTTGAATAATACGCCACTTTGTCTAATCGTAACGCGCCGCCTGTCCAATCACAACGCACCATGTCAGCCGTCGAGTGTCACATTTGTGCGCTCAAAAAAAAGTATATTTTTATAATTTTTTTTTTTAATAAACAGCGTAACAAAATGGCAATTGGAGAGAGACAGGTCTTATTTCATTCGCAAAATTATAGAGACGCGCAAAAATCAATTGAGTGGACCTCGATCAAGCTCCGCTAATCTGCGATTAACTTGTCAAATTATGTCAACATTATTTTCTTACAAGAATAGAATTAATATTTTGTTATTTAACGTAAAGATAAGATTCAATCACTCATTCAGTTAATTGGAGTTTGGTCGAAGCCACCACAAAAATCTCGGAAAGAGGTTAGGTAAAAGATGTAATTAAAAGTTAGAGAGAGAGAGAGAGAGAGAGAGAGAGAGAGAGGACCGCGACATCTGCGCGAATCGATCAAGGGAATTGACCAATGGCGACGCGCCGTTGGAGAATAACCTGATAACCGGGATGTTGACAGATAGATATGAACAGATGGAGATTGGCGTCTAGGAGGGATACGCACCTTCGGGACACTCGAAGACGCAGTGCTCCTCCACGGCCGCGTCGAACACCTCGTGTATGTCCTTGATCTTCTTCGCCACGGTTATGGCGTTGGCGAAGAGGTCCTGGAATACCGTCTCCGCCGCCAGCACGGCGTCCCGCAGATTCGTCAGCAATCCGGAGCCGTAGCCGGACCAGGCGTACGCCAGGAATGTCAACACGTAGATTATGATCTTGCGATACCGCGACAGATCCATCTCTTCCACGCTCCTCGGCCGGTCGGCCCCGGATCGACGCGTGATCGGGCGGCTCTCACCGGACTGCCGTGTATTTTTAGACGGGCGTGTGCGTGGCCGGCCATCACCGCCGTCATCGAGGTGGGCACGTGGTGCCCCGTGTTGACGACGGCATCGACTCGGATTACCGCGCCTTAGCTCAGATTCTTTTTCGCTTACGCTAATAACATCTTTCTGCGACAAGATTGATACGATCGATTTGCGAGGAGAGCAGTGCGGAAAGAACAGCTGACCAAAGACGGGCCTTGTTTTTTTTTTTATACTTTGTCACATCGTGCATGAAACACGCGTAATTTTCCATCCAATGCAAATATCTAATTAGCCGTAATTCAACCGATAAATGTGGCAAAACGCGACTTCCTTGTGTAGATTCTATGTATCAGTTTTGTCAATCATAATTGGTTCTTATAAGGACGATTTTGACCGCATTGCAATTTATTTAATCACACCGATTAACTCGTCGAATAATATAGCTTTTGTTAATATGGATGGAATTACGAATTTTCTTTTGTTTACACAAAATAGAAGATTAAAGGTAAATTAAATTAAAAAATTTTCCCGTTTTTTTTAAATTTTGCCGTAAATCTATTCAATTAATTGAATCAGTATATATCTATTAGTTTAAGTCAATTGGAGATTTAGACATTTAGATCCTAAATACAATTGATTTTACAAGCTGTTTTCCATTAATATAATTAATTTTAGTGGACGCTATTAATTTAATTATTGTAAGACTGAAATTAGTCAATATTTACGAAATCGTATCTGCTTTTATTAATTTCTAGTTAAAAAAAAACACAATCAATGAAAGCAGGATTGAAATAAAAATTCATTCAAGATATCTTTCTTCTCTCTTATATCACCATAGGTATTGTATTTTATTTATTTTGTTTTATATTTTCGTGTTGAAATAGATTTTTTTCTTGCTTCTTGTTGCGAGCAATATATTATATACGTATTAAGTATTTACGCAATAAGATCATGCTTCGACAATGAAAATTCAAAATTTTTTTTCGAGCTCGCCGCTGTCGTATAATTTCTTCACGTCGGTACCGCCTCCTAAGCACACTCCGTTAAGGAATACCCTGGGCACTGTTCTGGCGCCAGTTATTTCATTTAATATGTCTTGTATCTCCTGTGCATCATCCCTATCGTCTAACTCTATCGCCGTATAAGGTTTCTTCAAGGAGTCGAATACCTGCATAAAAATTTGATTAAATTACTGAATGAAACAGATAAATAAATTATTTCGATAAATCAATAACAATTTGTTACTAATTATACTGTTATTAATATAATTAGTAATATAAATATAGTAATTTAAATAGTAAATTATATTTATATTTATTTACTGCAATGTAGAAAACACGTTATGATTTTATCAAAATCTAAATTAGCGTAAAACAGGCAATTTTTAATGTTATAATATTTTAAAGTCACGAAGAGGAACGTTGATATACATAAAATGAAGGCAGATTGAAAATAAAAATAAAAAATTAACTTGAAGAAAATAAAAAAAAACCGATTAATTCTCCAAAACACATGAATGCTGCGAATATTTCTTTAATTCCACAAGCATGCCTCAACAAATTATAAATGCATCGATGTGGCCACTTGCCACGTGACGTAATCGTTTACTTATTTTCACAAGTGTTCACAAGTGTTTTGCAATGTTTCGTATAATGTTTCGCGAGTGAAAATTAGAATGAATCTCATGTGGGCAACAGAGAGCATAATATATGGAGGTACCTTCTTGGCCATTTTGCAGTAAGGACAGGACGTTTTGGAGAATATGACGACCGAGTCCTTCGCGATGAAGTCGCTGACGAGATCTCGCGTCGACGGCATGATAGTCCTCTTTGTCGCGCTGGAAACCGAACCCATTCTATTGAGCTAAAGGGATCATTTCGCTCGATTATGCCTCGGCGCCTTTTACTAGCCGCGCACGTGCTCCGCGCGTTAATTGAACGCTTTCGCAGTTCAATCATCGACGCGATTCGAATCGCGTCCGACGTCCACACTGTCCAATGTCCGGATCGTGTCTGATGGAGAACTCGTTGCGTCCCAATGTCCATTTTCCACCAATGCGTAGATTTTCTCAGTTCAACTCATTCCTCAATTGTTTTTCTAGTTGAACTAGTAAAATCTACATTGATAGTTAAATGGACACGCAAGAGCTCTGGATACGATAATTATATGTCTCCTAACAAAATTCTCTTGTTTACTGGATATCGGACGTTGAATCGAGATCAGTCGCTCTCCCGACAATTATATACATTACACCAATTATTCATGCAGCATTCACTTTACATTCGCATTGTCCGAATAAAATTATAAATAAATATATTAATTTAATGGACTTAAATCATTTCTTTTGTCAATTCTTTCTCATCAATTGGAGCGAAATATAATTATCGTTACATCTGGATCACGCAGTCTATATTTTTTTTTTTTTAAGTACTTTTCAACTGTAGTTATATAAATTATATAGTCGTTATAGGATGCATCCTCGGCATCAGTTTGAACAAGTATCTGTATTTACATTTAACATGCGACAACATATAAACGTACACGTGCAGATTAGGCAAGTTTCATAACCTTGCTAAGCTAACCTGGCTAACCTCCAAATCGGCCGTGTGATCCATCATCAAATATTTACTCAAAAGACAGTGAGAATCTCGACTTGTTAGATAATTGTTTCGTATAGCTGATCATGCCATAATATCTTGCCGATTTTGACAGTATTGTAAAATCAACAAGAACGTCGTCGTTTTACGGACAGCTCTGGTCTCTCTCGAGTCTCCGACCGCTTTTCGCGATCAGGATAAAAACAAAAACAATAATAGTCGATGAGTGAGAAACGGAACAGCAGCGGATGTCCTACATTCGTGCATAAGTAAAGACAACGGCAATGCGCGGGTGCACGAGTACATACAAAAGAAACTCGATAATAATTGATCTGTTTGCGGACTGGAACGCCAGGTATAAGTTGCAGGTAGCGGTTTACGGTTACGTGGCTATAACGTGGCAAACGTCAGGCGATCAAAGGACACCTTAATTCGCTCGGATTCGTCCTTACCTCGAATTTACGGCTGACGTAACTTTAAGAGTATATGTCACTGCAGGTATCGGCTGTCTACTAAACAAATCGTCGAAGAAACGAGAAGCGAGGGAAATCCGTCCACTGACAAGTGCGGATGCTGCGGCTGATCGGCGGTTAGCGTCAAGTCTCATTTACACGAGGCGTTAACGACGAGCGGTGTCGCTAATATAGAGGAAAACGCGCTCGAGAAAGTTACAATTTGTGAGAAGGAGAGAAATTAAACTCCTAATTAACTTAATTGACGAACGGTTCAGGCGGCAAAATCGCTTAGAACAAAATTTTTAACCGCGTAATCTCATAATTTAATCTTATTTTCCATACGTTAAAACGATTAAAGGACAAAAATTACTATTTCCGCGTTAAATTTTTATTTGATGAATTATATAATCATTGATCGAATTAATCGGTCCAGAATTTGGTTGAATTTGCCTTAAAATAAGTATTGAGATAAGGCAAGAATTCCTCGGATTGTCGGAATTTCGAGACTGCCGATTATATCCTTTCAGTGTCTTTCAGATAGACTTTCGACGCGATTCGGTATAGCGACAGACTTAAAATTTCAGGCTCAATCTTCTCGCGAAAATTAACCTGTTGGTAAAAAGATACGCAAATACGACGGGCCTGCGAAGCGACGTTCTCACGTTTGACGTTGCTGGCACGCGTATCGACTAATCGAACGTCGTCGGCGACGCCGGCGCTTTAACGGCGAGATTCGTAGATCGACGTGGTGGTTGACGGTAGTCGGTAAGTCGATGGTTATCGCGTTGGAAGTGTTGGAGGTTGGCGGTGGTGTGGTGGGAAGTGGCTGACTGCACCACGACAGTTCACAGTACGTCACCTCGACGATCTAATGGAATTCTGATTTTCGCTGACACGTCCGGTGATCGAGTTTGTTCCGGCCGTGCTGTACGGTATCTCTCGGAATCCTGTTATGGCGTAACGTGGAGATCCGCGCGAGGATGAACAGAACCGCGAGGCCCGCGGGCCCCCCCTGTAGGGGCGGCCTGTACGTCGTCGAGGGCGAGGTGTACCTCCTGGTGACGGCGATGCGACGGGGCGTCCGGTGGTCGTCGCACTCTCACCAGGTTAGAGAATCCCCCGTGTCCCCTTACGCCCAGCTGTTCCCACGAGCGAGACAATTTTAGACATTTAGCTTCTAATCAAATCAAACAGGTTGTAGAATTTAGTGTGTCTGGTAGACACCTCAAATTTGTATTAATAGATCTACCATGACGATCAACTGGAGGCGACTGTCTCGGAAGATTTGTGCCCTAATTGTGTAATTTAATTTCCAGGACGACGATCAGGACACTCTCATGAAGGGCCTGAGTACCCTGAAGGAGGTGTTAAACGAGCATAGAGATCTGTCCCAATTGGAGCCCGCAGTTTTTCTCACTCCCTTTCTGGAAATCATAAGATCTGAAGAAACTACGGGACCTGTCACTAGTCTAGCGCTGTCGGCTGTCAATAAGATAATTTCTTATGGTCTCGTTGGTCAGTCTCAATTATGACACCAAAAATTCGTATCTTTTTATTTTGTAAATATGTACTATATATTTACAAGACAAGAAGTATACGATATATTTCAATATTGTAACATATATACTGCTTTTTTTTTTTAGATTCCAATCATCCTGCCGTGGCAACTTGCGTGGAAGCCGTGGCGGATGCTGTCACACACGCGAGGTTCGTGGGCGCCGACGCGTCCGGTGACGGGGTGGTTCTCATGAGAGTCCTGCAAGTACTGAGAGCCCTCATGCTGTCGCCCGCTGGCAATTATCTCTCCAACGAAAGCGTATGCGAAATTATGCTGAGTTGCTTCAGGATATGTTTTGAGACGCGTCTCAGCGGTGAGTTGTAGCGGTTTTCACATATTTCCGCTGACAAATTGCGAGTGCGCGTCGTAATAAGATGTTTTTCGCAGAAATACTTAGAAAAACGGCGGAGCATTGCCTGAGGGATATGGTTCAACACCTGTTCACCAGGTTACCTCAATTTGTCGACGATACGAGAGTCTTGCCGAATATGAAAGTAAGTTTTGTATAATAAGCGTGATTTAAAGTGTATAAAAGAAGAAACGACATTCTACATTTGAAACAACATAACTTTTGACAGAAAATGAGAACAAACAGCATTGAGAATACTCGTAGCAAGAATAGAAAACACAAAAGTTATACGAAGCAAAAATCCAAGTCTATCACGGATGACATTGACGACAAGGAGCACATTTCAAGTTCGGTTGACAAAATACGAGCTGGTCACTTGGCCACCACACCCGTTTCGCCGGTCGGCAATATCGTTGACATGCAGGGGTCGTTGAATCATGGAAGTGTTGATAAAAACGAGGACGAGAAGAGTGAGGGCAAGATTAATATTAACAAAGATATCACTAAAGATGTAAATGACTGTGTCAAAGCGGCGGATAATCAGGAGGCCAATAAGAAGCAGGAAATTGATAAAGATGGAAGCAACAAAGACATTAAAAACGAGATAGAAACGGTCGAGGCAAATAGCGCATCTGAAAATACCAATGTAGAAAATAAAATTGCAGCTACAACAGAAAATAAGAGTGTAGAGAAGGAAGATGCGGCTGATCAGAAAATCACCGATGAGTCCGAATCCTCCATTAAACAGTCTATCTCAGAAAATCAAGGTACTTTTCGCTATTTGTTCTTTTTGCTATTTTTAAAGAAATCTTAATTTCTAAGTTTTTATATATATATTTTTTCGTATAGGTGACGAAGAAAAAAGCATCGATTTAGCCCAATCTCCGACTGGTAGCGTGGAAGACTTGTCAATAGACGAGAACGTGTCTAGGGTGTCTAAAATGAAAGAAGCTGAGCAAATCGAGGAGTACGTGAATAGCCAGGGTGTCCGATTCATTACGTTGCAACAGCGGGCGCCGTACGGCGCGTTGTGCGTCCGTGAATTGTTCAGATTTCTCATCTCCCTGTGCAGTCCCCTCGACAAGCAGAACAATGAAATTATGACACACCTGGGCCTTAGCTTGTTGCAAGTAGCGTTGGAGATCGCCGCCGACGCTATATCTAATTTCTCGTCCCTACTCGCGCTCGCCAAGGACGACCTGTGTAGGAATCTAATCTTGGTAAGAGAAACTAACAGTAGAGCTGTGTATTCAATGCCGATCGTTAATGAAGACATAGACGATGAATATGTATTATTTATTGTGAATATGTATTACTTATTATGAATATTGCATTTATGTTTCAGCTACTTGGAACAGACAGATTGTCGATCCTCGCTGTAAATCTTCAAGTATCGTACTTGCTGTTTGAGTCGCAACGAGAACACCTAAAATTTCAACTGGAGCATTATGTAACTAAATTAATGGAAATAGTTGTCTCTGAGTCTAATAGAATATCATACGAACAACGGGAATTGGCGCTTGGTAATGTGTTTCAATTTTATATATCGTGCAATATATATATTGGCGGTATAAATTTAATTTCTATATTATTTGCAGAGGCTATAGTAAGATTGTGGAGAATACCCGGCCTGCCCGCTGAATTATATTTAAATTACGATTGCGGACTTTATTCCACGAACTTGTACGAGGAACTTATGAAAATGTTTTCGAAGGTAAATTTCTTTTTTTTACGTATATAAATTAATATATCGGAAAGAAATTGGAAAGTGTACAGAGTCTTTAATATTTTCTCTCAGAATGTTTCTCTACCGATGACCACTGGTATGCATACCATGCAACTGATCTCCTTGGAAGCCATAATGATGCTGATCATCGGCATGGAGATTCGCTGCAAAGGTTGCAAGGAATTGTGCAAACCGTCGCGTCACGAGGCGTCGTCACATCTGCCCACGCGTGAAGACTTGCTCGCTATAAAAGCGAACAAGCGGGTAGGTGTTCCGTTTTTCCACTTAATTTCCTGACGCAATTACGACGAATTAAGTTTCTCTCTCTTTTTTTATTTTCTAGTGGTTGGTTCTCGGCACGGAAAAGTTCAACGAGAATCCGCGGGAGGGTATCGCGAAACTTGCGGAGCACGGTCTGCTGGGCGGTACTCCAGGCCACGCGGATCCTGAAAAAATCGCAAAGCTTCTAAGAGAGAATCCTGGTTTAGATAAGAAAGCGATCGGCGAATACATCAGCAAGAAGGACAACACGAACATACTCAATTATTTCGTGCTTCGTAATTTTGACTTGAAAAATACTCGAATCGATAAGGCATTGCGACTTTATCTGGAATCGTTCAGGCTACCCGGGGAAGCCCCTCTGATATCTCACGTACTCGAGAAATTTGCCGAGCATTGGCATGTGCGTATACACACATATATTCTAGCATTTATTAAAAATAACATAGACGCGAAGGTAAAATAATAAATTGTTGCTGTGTTTAGGATAGCAATGGTAGACCGTTTGCTTCGGCCGATGCCGCCTTTACATTAGCTTATGCGGTCATCATGTTAAATGTCGATCAGCACAATTATAATGTAAAGAGGCAAAATAATCCGATGACTGTCGATGACTTTAAGAAGAATTTGAACAAAGTTAACGGCGGCGCCGATTTTGATCAAGATATGCTCGACGAGATATATACCTCAATAAAGTAAGTGTTACAAATATTCAAATTAGATGTACATCATGTGTCATTTTAATTTATAAATTTTGTTGTGCAGAGGGGAAGAAATCGTAATGCCGGCCGAACAAACTGGGATAGTAAAAGAAAATTATTTATGGAAGGTTCTACTGAGAAGAGGCTCCGGGCTTGAAAGTATGTACTTGAAAGTAGGCAATTCTGGCGAATTTATCGATAAAGATCTGGCCGAGCACGCGTGGGGTCCCATTGTGAGTGCTCTTTGTCGAGCTTACGATAAAGCGCCGGACAGATCGTTGCAGCGCAAAGTCGCTCAAACATTCCTTAGGTTTGTTTATTTTGCTATCTATAATAAATTTATTTCTATACTCTAGCTACATCTCTATATTAGCTTGTCATTCTCTCTCTCTCTCAGTTGCGCGGCGATCAGTGCCTATCACAGCATGTGCAGCGACTTGGACACGCTCATAGTGAGCCTCTGCAAGTTCACGGGCCTGATAATCGGCGGGAAGTCCGAGCAAGTGGTTTTACATCTCGGCGGAAGCTCAAAGTCCCAAATGGCTGCTCGCACTCTCTTCAAGATCACGCATTTACACGGGGACGCTCTGAGAGCGTCTTGGAAGAACATCATCGATTGTCTGCAGTCGCTGTACGAGGCAAGATTGTTACCGAAAAATCTCACGGAGGCGGAGGACTTCATCGACCCGTCCGGCAAAATATCTCTACTCCGGGAACCGACCACGCCCAAGGCTTCCCCGGGTGATCAAGGCATACTTTCCACCTTTTATTCCTACATCGCTATGGACACGTCGCGTCTGCCACATCCCGCTGAGGCGACCGCGCGAAAGAAGGCCGTAGAGTTCATTGCCAATTGTTATCTCAAAGAAATCATAGACGAAAGCAAATTCTTTCAGGTAACTCGACGATATGTGATTATTTGAGCTGTGGTTTTAATATATTTATTTTTCTAATCTCCAATTCTCGTTATTTTGCAGAGTGAATCGCTCAATTCTCTCGTTGGTGCTTTGGTATCGGTGAATCCTAACGACGAGGATATATCTATATTTCTACTGGAGCTACTGCTAGAAGTGACTATACAGAATCGTGACAGAGTAACATGCATCTGGCCCGTAGTCCAGAGTCACCTGGATCGGCTGTTAACGGTGGCGGCACGCGAGAACCATCCTTATTTGCTCGAGAGAGTTGCCGTGGGCATGCTGAGATTGGCTATCAGGCTTTTACGCGGAGAAGAGTTTGCGTGTCTGTCTCCTCTACTGCCTCTGACCCACTTGCCGTCCGCGACGACCGCGCCGTTGGCACGACAAATCGCCTACGGTCTGTTCGAACTACTGAAAACGGGCGCCGCAAACATCCATAGCGCGGAAGATTGGAAGGTGGTATTTAGCCTGCTGGAGTGCGCGGGTGCCGGCGCATTGGCGCCCAAGCGGTCCAACACGGTCCTAGACGAAACATCGAACGCCCGCGCGTCGGTCCTGGATCCCAGGCCTATCAGTCCGGTGCCGGAATGGGTGTTAGTCTCGCCGACCGGTACCGAGGCACCGCTACCGGTAGCCGCTGACACGATAGTGCTGGCGCGCGATCTACAGCTGCACGACTCGGCGGCGTTCGTCAAATGCTGCGAGAGTCTGAACTTCCTGGTGCGCGATATGGCGCATGTAACACCGTTCAATTTCGATCTGTGCGTCAATTGCGTGAGAACGTTTGCTGAGGCGGTGCTGCAATGCGCGGGCAAACGAAACAGAGTATGCAACTCCACGGAGGAGTCGGCTGGCTATCAACAGTGCCCGGGGCAACTACTGGAGCTGATGCACACGCTGCACACGAGAATCGCGCAGGTGTTCCGATGGTGGGCGGAGGAAGGTAGCATCGACGACGGTATATCCCTGTGGCCGCAAGCCTGGCGACCGCTGCTGCAGGGTATCGCGCGACTCTGTTGCGACGCCCGCAGACCGGTGCGCACGGCAGCGATCACGTATCTTCAAAGCACCTTGCTGGCGCATGACTTGGCGCAGCTGACCGCGATAGAGTGGTCGCAGTGTCTGGAGGAGGTGCTGTTCCCGCTGCTGGCGCAATTGCTGGGTCCGATCGCGTCCAACGATCCGATCGGCGTCGAGGAAACGAGGGTCAGGGCCGCGATGTTACTCTCCAAGGTATTTCTTCATCATCTGACTCCGCTGCTAACTCTACCCGGTTTCCTGCCGCTGTGGTTAACCGTGCTGGAGCTTCTGCGCGCGTACATGCACGCCGACAACAGCGAGCTCCTGTTCGAGGCGATTCCCGAATCGCTGAAAAATATGCTGCTGGTGATGTCGTCGGCCAACGTTCTGGCGCCGAGTTCCAATCTCTGGGCGCCCACGTGGAGGGCGATCGATGCGTTTCTGCCGAACTTGAAAGCGGAGCTCTTCCCGGAGCCGCCCGTCGCGGTACTGCCGCCGCCGCAACCGCCGCCGCAGCCGCAAGTCATCAGCTTGGTCGGCCAGCAGCAGCCGCTGTCTTTTTCGGGATCTATAGCGCCGCAACCGGAAAGTATTTCCCCTTCGGCTGACGTCGAGTGCTCCAACGAGAGTAACGCAGATACGAAGACAGTGACGCAGCCGGTGGACATTCTGAACTCTGCGCAGTCTAGCGGGGTTCCGGTTCCAGTACCGTTACCGACGTTGATGTACAATACCGAGGGTAAGGAGACGCAGCAAGTGATCACCCTGGTTAGCCAGCCGGCGCCCAGCGTATCCAGTCCTGTCGCGGTGCAACCAACGGCTCAGAGTTTCTTCGACATTTGCTACTCGGCGAACCCCTTGACCGAAAAGATGGACGAACGACAGCAGCATCAACAGGAGCAGCAACAGCAACAGTTGGTGCCGCCAGGCGAGGAGGAGCACGACAAGTTGACGAAGAACGTGACGCAAAATGCTGGTTCGACAGACGAGAATCGCGATCTGATACTCGCGATGAGAAAATACGAGGAGTGGAAGCAGCAGCAGGAGCAGCAAGTGCAGCAACAGATGCTGATGCAGCAACAGTGTACGCAGCATGTGCAGTCGGCGCAGCAGTATCAGCATCCGGCGACGGAAAATTCCCCGTACCGCGTGGATCCATCTGAGGTGAATCAATGTCTTGCATCTTGACAGGATCTCGAGGAGTCAATCGCCCAGGTCGATTGACTCCTGGAAACGCTTTGCCTCGATTAAACGATTTAATTCTTTCGCGAGTAATGCTAAACTAATGCAATGATCAGTAACATAAAGATTTATTAACGAAAATGATGTTTGAAAATAAATCTAACGTTTCGCGAGCGCACTTGCAATTGTGAGAAATCAAAATATGAACATCCGTAGCTTGATAGTGTACTCGGAAAGGAATTAGATAGTCTTCCAAAGTAGAACATTGTAGAACGTAACCGAATGTTTTGTTTGCAGACGATGACAGTAGATTCCACGGGGGCGACGACGTTTAACTCCGCGGCGTATTTTAACGAGGATCCGGCGGCGGATCTCCTCTTCGTCGTCACTAATCCTTGACCACTGTACATTTCCTATGTATAAATTGTATTATATAAAACATTTCTACATCTGCGTGATCGTGTTCCGTGTAGAACACTAACGTGAGTGATTGATCATAGGACAGAGGAGAATGAACGTAGCCGCAGAATCGTTGTATCTTTGGTTTGTATATTTGGAAAGCACTCGTTATATACAAATTATATACATATATATATATGTAATAATATATATATATATGTACTATATATATATATGCATGCATTATTGTTAAGATTATCGTACGTCGTATAATCTTAGCAATAATAGCGACGATACAGCTCTCGGCACCACTCCTAACACTCGATATGTCGTATTTCAATTTTTGAATTCTTTTTGCATTACGGACGAGAGGAGCTCTTCGCGAACAAGCCAAATGCGTACGCCAAATCATTTTGAAGAAAAAAAAAAACGACCGATCAGTTCCTTATCATTGATATTTTATGGTGTTGCATGTGTTTTACGTAGAAATGGTGCGCAATATCGATCCATACAAATTCCCCTTAAGCATTTACAAATTCTACTACTACACAGGTAAGAATTCTTCTCTCATGTCTGCATGAATACATATGTTAGACACGTACATGTGCAATACGATTCGTAGAGAGTGCCGAATTAATAATTGACAATGATTTCGCTAAACAAGTATCAAGGAAACCGTTGCGATTTCGCTGAGCTCAATTTGAGTTGTAAAAATATTCGGAAGTTGATCTTGCCAGATGTCGTGTTCCCGTATCACGAAACAGAGACGGGTAAAAGAAAAATCAGTAAAAGACATCCTGTATGTGTGCGTTTGTTAACGTCGATAGCTAAACTCTCTCTACGAAATTACATTGGTTTTATAGCCGCTATTTGTAACTTATACTTTTAACGCAATTCGAATGTTTCTTCATTCGCTCAGTATCGTAAAAACCAATCTGTACATATGCAAATATAATGAATAAGAAGAGATTTATAATATGTATCATGTTCATGTCCCCGGAGCCAAAGAATATCCAGTAAATAAAGCAGTCCCCGCACGATCAATATTATTAATGCGACATGGATGTAGTATATGTTATTGCATTAATTAATATATAAATACTAATATAGTATATTAATATCAGAACGGATATTAGCTATTAATTTTATGACGCGATACGGAGGTGTGCTGTATATTCTAAGTAATACTGACGTATAGATGTAACATTGATATCACTATAAATATTAATCAATATACTGTTGCGCAATATTGAGAATTAGTATTGATTGCGCAGGGGCTGCGTGTCGATGTTGCATTTTAATACAATTCAAGATTATCGTAAATTATTACTGCGAACACATTTCATTTGCAGTCATTATCTCCCTTTCTTTCGTTTTCTTCCCCCCTCGTTACCTTTCGTTACGGAAGCAGCTCCCTTCCTCGAAGATTAGCCCACGGTTATTATTAGCTCTTAGGGTCAGAACATTTTATTACATCCCTGAGAACGATGATTTCGTTTTTTTTTTTTAACGCGAATAACACGCATTTCACCGCGTGTACGGATAGGTACTCGTTATCAAACATTGGAAAGTCAAAAAATTCTATTGCTGGCACTTGCGTGCACTTTGTTTCCGTGTAGTTAATATTACTCTTCAATATATTTTATGTATATTTAATATATATACATATACATCATAAAGCTGCGGTTGAACGCCGCGTCTTTGATCGTCGCCAAAAATCGTGCGATAAAAAAATTCTAATCGTAAATGTACATAAAAATATATATCATTTTATTCCTCTGTTTCTCTCTATATATGATTTAATTCGTATTTAATCTCGCGAATAGAGATAGACACTTTGTCTAGATCCACATCGATCCAATTGATGCGTTTAAGTGTATCGAACGAATTGTTTTTCCTCAGGTCACCATTAAACCCTTCCTTTCCTGCGATTAATTGGATCAGCGAGATAAATTGGACGGAATTCGGACTATTGTTCAGTCATTATCGCGCTGCGTCTGCAATAGTAGCCCAACGTCTTACACTTCTCGCAGAGATGTTGAGGGTGCACCTTGCTCTGGTCGGACACATCCAGACCATCGGGTTTTTCCAACGGCCTCTGAAAATAATAGAAGTGATTTTACTGCCCACGCGCCTCGCGAGAGGTAAGAATAGAAATCTTGCTAGAGTATCCCGATTTTCTCGTCTTGCACATAAAGACATCTCTCTGTCGTTCGATTTATGCCATTAATATAATAAGCGTTATCGGGGCTAATTTATATTATATATTATATGTTATTAGTACCATCAATATCATTGGATTAATATATAATTAATATCGTTAGATTGACCGTCGTGACTTCGGTCTCCTAGGAGACTTGGCGATTGTACAGCGATTCTGGGATTCGTTTAAAGCGCTCGCTCGCGGCGCGGGCGGCGTACAGCTAACGCTCGATTATAATAGGAATTTCGCGAACGCCTTTCGGGATCCGTAACGTAACGATTACCGGTGACTCCGACCGCGGGTATTTCTGCTGCCCACCGGGCAGCGAAGTGCGAGTGAGCGAGCGAGGGAGCGAGCGCGAGCGATTATGCGACTATAATTAGCTTTCGAGTCGCGGTTTACGCGAGATTTCGTTCTCTCGGCCGCGCAATATTTCGAGAGAGCGAAACGGTTCCAAGAGTCTTTTAACGAGTCCCCCGACTCCGGGGGACTTTGCACGCGCCGACGAGAATCGCGACTAATTTTATATCTAACGATTAATTGCGGGAAGAACGCCCGTAACGCGAGCGGAGAGGGCGGACCCCTCCGAGCTCACCTGTTTGTGAGGATACACGTTGATGTGGCACTTGATGCACTCCTGGCCCATATTGGCCCAGCTGTTGCCCGACATCCATTTGCGCTTGCACTTGGGACACTTGTATTCGCCAAAGCACCGCTTCTTGCCCTGGTACGGCGTCAGGCCCTCGCCCTTCGGTCGTGCCTGTTGAAAATTGCGTAAATTTAATTTTTTCCCTAATTGGAAAAATTCGTTCTCTCATTCGCAGTTTCCGCCGTTATACCGGACATCATAAAACGCTCTTGAATCTACCTCTTCCGAGAAGCGTTCGCCAAAGTCATCTTAATTACTGCCGCGGTTAATCTCTCATTCTTTCTTTATTCAGAGATATAATTACATCAGTATTGCACCCTCCTATATGGATGAATAAGAATGACGTGAAAAACGTCATCTCAATCAGGAGAAGCGGCTTAATTGGCTCACCCTCGTATCGCGATGATTAACCGTGTGACGTCATGTGTCCCAGAGACTGTTTGTTATGTCAATTAGCGACCCAATTGAGCCACGCGCATCCCGTTACATTGTTGCATCGAGGCACGCGAGCCGTTTACGAGTATTGCTAAATTTACCGATGTCTCCATTTACGGACGGTTTTTGTGTCTGATAGAGATTTAATTCTGACAATGAGTCATTTTTCAAGGTAGGGACAAAGACAGAAAGAGAGGGAGAGAAATTCTTTGTTGCGCTTTACGTTTATTATTAGTTTTTCTGCGAAACGGATAGTAGAGATTAAACTATCCAATTCTTTATCGGTGCTCTATTACATTATCGATCTTTATGTTCTTGTAATAAAAATCTGATAAGATACATTTAGAACATTGTCGTGTTGTCGGATAACATGTTGATGAAACAAGCGATAATCGAGATCGAAGGTTTCTATGAATCAGATGATAGGTTGATTAATTGCATCTTGAAATCTTGAAATCGAATCATACGATATGACAAAGATTATATTCGATTGCAGTTCTATCATTTATTCTACGCATCTAACTTCAAACTTTATTTCACGATTGCGATCTATACTTCTACGCGAGAATTTTATAGACTGTTTCAAAATTGCCAATTCTGATCGACTTCAAATTATCTAGAAATCATATGATGCGTATAATTTTTTATCTGTGTTTTAAATCAAATTATTGCGTAAAATATATACATAATTACCTAAACCATTTAAAGTAATTATAAAATAGTTGAGAAGACAGAAGCTAATGTTGTTGAGCAAACGAGAAAATATCCATTTTTTAAATATGTATTAAAAATTAAATTCGAGGACATCGACGTAATATTTCATTTTATTAGAAGAATATTTAAAGGGAAAAGTACCGACCTGCGGGCAATCCTTGATGTAGTGCCCTTTCTTGAAGCACAAATGACACAGATACGTTGACGGCGGCTTCTTCGCCGGTTTCCGATCGCCTACGGCTAACTCGTTGAAGTGTATCGCTAAATCCGCGATACTTTCCGACGTGCTATCTCTCATGGGTCTGACGGATCCGGACGGATTCAACGCGTTCTGATGTGGATAAATTTGCGACGACGTACCGGAAAAGTTGCTCCAGGAGTAGGAAGCAGGAAGCGATAGCTTGCTCTAAAATATAAATAGATAATCCAATCCGGAGGACGATTTATTTAAAATAGCAGACTTATTATTTTAAAAAGGCATTAAGTAAATAAATTGTCTAGTTTCTCTTGATGGATCCGTCAGATATTTTTATTATTATTCTTTCGGCTCTAAATTTTATAAGAGGTCTTCTACACTGTAAAAAAAATTACATGTAAAATTACAATAATTATAGTGGGCTATTTTGAGATAATTAGAGGTAAAAGTACTAATTTTGGACATTTTAATACATTTCCACCATAAATTGTAATTGCGTAATTTTTATATATATTGTTTATGTAATTTTACATACTTCTTTTTTTTTACAGCAGGTAAGAAATGTCCCCATTTCTTAAAGTTACAGATTTAAGATGATCTGGAAATAAATCCTTTGTTTACTAATTGTAAGATAAGTGTTGAGAATCGACACAATGAGATAAATTCTGATCCTCAAGTGTCCCAATCGTCGCGGATACCTGATCAGGTGGTTGCGACGGGCTTTGTTTGGCGATAGCCAGATAGAACCAATTGAGTAGATGCGGCGGGTAGGTCGACTGCTGAAGAGCCTTCTGACTCGAGGCACCTATGCCATTGATCGCACCGTAGTCGATCCGAGTCGAGTCCTGCAACTGCAGACGTTGCATCGCAGGTGTCGAATGACAAGCGGCCATATTTTTATCTAATCGGCTCGCGAGTTTATCGGTTCCGGATTGCGTCGCCGTCTCGTGTCACCGACAACAATTCCCTTCGGTAATCGTTTATCATCCCCCTGTCCTCGAATCTAAACGACGTTCTTTCCATTTGAAATCGTCGTCAAGAACTATTATTTTCTTATTAATCTTTCAAGGTCATAAGGAAAGAAATGTTGAAATTATCGACGCTAAGATTTTTTTTAGCCTCTTAGTACCTTTTAATATTTTACTTTAATTGATAATGCGATTAGTCAACTTCAATGATTAGCACGAATTGTTTTCATAACTTTAGAAGTGTTTTTATAACTATCACGAGACCTTTAAAATACCATTGTTTACACGGAGAATCATTGACATTTCGAGGATACCATCGTGAAATCGAAGATATTCGATAAAGCAGATATTCGGAGAGTGAAGATATTATAATCTCATCGCAATTTCGGAGCTACGCCTCCAATTTCTCTTTTCTTCCTTCTGAAATTTTACCACGAAATTTCGTCGGATTGCTTCAGCGTCAGTCGTTTTCGCGACGTAACGATTCTCGGAAAAGTGCCATCTTCTTCTGAACGAAATCTTTGAAACGAGTGCTTAACTTTTACGGGAATTGCCTTTACGCGCTTTTACGCACATGTTGAATGTAGCCCATCTCTGCATATATTACCGAGATGCGTATTCTCATACACATTTGGAACCAGCTTTCGCGAATTCTTCGATATTTTTGATTCGATATTTTTTGCTCTAATTCAGCAGCCGGAAGTTCGCTTCATTCGTGAAATATTTTCGTCTTCGCATTTATCATTAAGTACGTTTGCTCGATTTTTACTACTTGCTCTGGATATTAATTCAGACAGTAAATTAAAGTCTCAATCGTTAAATTACGTTTAAAATTATTAATGAATCATCTTCTGCTCGCGGGATCACGTTGTTACGCATTTGTGGCCTTACAATGTAGCAGCACGGCGGATGACTCTCCATCAGTTTTAGGTCACAGAAAGACGCGGTATTAGTTCAACGATAAACCTGTATAGAAATGAAAATATATGTGGCTCTATACGCTATCAGTGTAAAATTGCAACCCGCGTATGACTCCACATTCATTTTTTTATGCGATTGCGCGCGTTGAAGTCACTACTTGAAGTGTTTCGAACTCGCATATTAATATTAAGGCTGTAAAAGCGAATTTATCTGATCTGTATGAAGAATCGGGAAGAAGAAACTATTTTGCGATGTTTGCGTGCATACACTTCTCGGGACCACTGTATAAAGTTAAAGTGAAACTCGCGCGATTTTTACGCGATTTCCATGCGATCGGCTGAGGCCGCGGGACTCGAGACGGGCCTCAATCGCGACGAGTACGACGCGCCCGTTGCGCGTCATATTCACTGAGGACGATCCCGGCGTCGGGCGAACGCTAAAGACGCGCGACTAAACGAACGCGTACGGAGCAAACGCGTAAAGGCAGGACGGACGTCGTGCACGCAGGGAGCGGAGAGAAAAAGAGAGAGAGAGAGAAACGCGTCCGCGAGGAGCCCGAGCCCCGCCATGTGGTGCGTCTATTTCCGTGCTTGCTCTCGACCGACAGACACGGCGCCTCCGAATGGACCCCCGACTCAAGCGGCTCCTTCTTGCTGCTCTTGATTGATCCACGCCGCACGTAGGCTTTCTCTCACGGTCGTGGCCCACGTGGGCTCGACAGACGCGTCCGCCACGCGCGATGTCGAATTATCGAATAACTTAGTTTTGGACGTTCCTCGGTGTCCTTAAATATCCAGACTTCCCGATTTTCGCACTTGTTCGCTATTATTTCGTGCCGAAAAATATGTAACCGATGCGTTTTCTTAGAATATCAAAGGGGACGGTCACTATTATCATAATTATAATTATGTTTAAGTAACGTATTATGGATACATTGTGTTGTTTGTCATTACAATTAGTTATTTGTAAGAAAATTGTGTTATTATGTGTCGTCTTACAGCATTATTTTTAGCATTTCCATGACTTTACTGCATGAATACATTCCAAATTAAAAAGATTTTTATAATAATGTGTTCTAATATGTTGTAATAAATTATCACAAATAATTGATAATGATATATATTACGATTGAATAATTTTACAGTTACGTAACATGCTCACGATCAGAAAGCTTTTATTTTATGCACGTCTAGGAAACGTCTTGACATAGGATAAATGTATTGCAATGTACGAGACGCGATTATATACGTTGCATCGTTATTTTTACTATTTAATGTCGGAATCGCGTTTGAAGGACCGTCAGCTGCGCCTTTCGGTCACGATATATCAAGGAAAGTCACCGAACTCATCTATAAATAAACTCCAATTGCTATTCGCGTGTATCGATTATGCTCAACCGAGTTGCGGCAACAAATCGCTATGACGCGAATCGCTTTTGACACGATAGCGGGGAAGTTGCATACGCGTCTGTGAACGATCGCTCGAGTTGCCATCGATACGGTCGAACCGCGAGCGTAAACCATCCCGAAATTCTTGCTTTCACATTTCAACGATTTTATTCCTCCGGACACTGCACATCTGACACCGAGTCTCGAGTTCTTCGTCCTGGCAAATACGTCCTGTTGTGTCGCTCGGAGTACAATGAAATAGACGATTCAGGGTTCGTTCTCCTCTTAAGGCTTGAAATTCTTGTTATGCACAGGAGAAACGATGCACGCGGATATCCATATTACCGAAAACTTATTGTAAAAAAAAACTTACTATTTATAGAGTTGAGCCTCCATTCGGTTTTCTGGTATAATATCGTTGTCGGTGATATGTTATAATAAAAGTGCTGACGGAATTTTAGCAGCGCGTAGTACCAGCTTTTTAGGTCTGATGCACTTGATATCATGCTTTTATTGCCGTTGAATTGGAGCTATTGCAATGTTTTAACTTGGAATTTGCAACCAATTGTATTTATCCGTAAAATACGATGAGTTGCGTTTAACAGCAACTTTTTTGAGAGAATCGGTAAAATTGCGAAATGCTGAGTATGTCTTTAGTAATTATGCCTGTTGAACTCGCGGATTGCAACAGTCGGAATAATATTCGAGCCGCACTGAGGATTCTCCTAATTATTTGGATCTCGTTTATTATCCAAACATTGCAATTCTAGTTCCGTTTTATATTACTTACAAATTTTATTTTCTTACAAGTTATAATATTTTTATATAATGTTTCATACCGTATTTTTATTTTAATAGAAAATTCGGAAACATGAAAACTCCCTTGAGATTGTTATTAAAACTCAAACTACATATGGACAGTCGTGAACATATCGGTTGCGACACTTTTTCATAGATTTTTAATATGTATTTAATATATACCTATATATAATATATATTTTATAGGTAACTCATATTTTGCAAATGCAAACCACGATGATGTACTATCTTTAGTCTAGAGACAGTACACCAATCGTGGTTCACATTTGCAAAATATTATAGTGCGTTTCGAAACCTATTAAAAAAAAGTGTCGCAACCGATATGTCCACGACGTACGTATGTTCTCGAATGCAGCTTGAGATGCATACGTGGTAATTGATTGTGATGTTATTGCGACATTTTTTTTATTTTGACATCAATATCCAAACGTTCATATCTATTATTATCTGTCATTTTTATAGAATGTCGACATAATTAATTGATAATCTTATTTTCTCTCAAAAAATTATATTAAAATTTAAAATAGGGACTTCTAATAATAATCAAATATTGATTGATGCGTACGGCATATGACAAATAAATATTAATAATATTTATAACAACGTTAATATCTAATATTAAATCGATTATCAATTTAATAATACTACATTTCCAGCTTTGACAGAAAGCTGCGTTTCAATACTGAATGCGGTGCGTGATTCAAAAGTATAAAGACAAAATGTATAAAATCTACAAAATTTGTGTATATTATTAGACAATAAGTTGCTAATTGAAAATGTCGATATCTATTTCGTGTCACGAACTGTTAAACATTACAGGAGTGCCCTTCTTTCTGATGTTCGATCCCCTACCCTCTTTAACCTGCAGTTCACCTGTGCCTTCATCGAGCGAGGACTACCCCCTTACTAATTATCCGCAGATCGATAATCATCGATGAGGGCCGTGCACGAGGCTCTTCGGAGCAGTCCAGGCTCGTCGGCGAGCGAGGCAACATTAAGAATTGCGGCTGCTTCGATCGTATCAAATATACACAAGACCGTGACGTTATCGCGTCTACTTGTTCGTAATATGTTTAGTAGTTCGTAGTATTATTTGAACATTTCTCGTGAAACGATATTAAAGTGATGGATTTGAAAAATGGTCATTGGAAGTTTTTGATGCGAAAATCCACAAATTTAATATCGTTTATTTAAAAGATGAAACAAATTACAAAATTAATTTCACTTGAAATTACTTAAAAGTAATCTCGCAATTGCGCGGCGGAAATAATTAATTATCATTTACTGAGTATCGTAACTAAGTGATATGCTTTTTTAGTGCGTAAATCTTGGTGATTGTAAAAAAGTTCACAATTTTTTACTGACGAAAAAAAATCGTGAGTTTTCTCGCCGTCGACCTTGCGGGTAAAATGGAGAAATATGAAAATATCGAGATAGTGGGCGAGGGAAGTTACGGACTCGTGATGAAGTGCAGGCATCGCGAAACCCAGCAAATAGTGGCGATAAAAAAGTTCTTGGAGACGGAGGAGGATGTGCAGGTGCGAAAAATGGCGTTTCGCGAAATAAGGATGTTGAAGGTCGGTATTAATTATTAAGATTTTAATATATAGTTTGTAATGTAACGATTACGCATGTTAAATTTTTACCCAATTGTTTTTATCCAATAAATGAGTAGCTCTATATTTCTTGATATGTTTAGAAATTACGTCACGAGAATCTGGTAAACATGATCGAGGTGTTTCGCCGAAGAAAACGGCTTTATCTTGTGTTCGAGTATCTCGATCACACTGTGCTCGATGAATTGGAGAAAAGTAAAAATGGTCTCGACCGGGAGAAATCAAGGCGATATATTTTCCAAATACTTCGAGGGTTGGACTTCTGTCATAATCACAAAGTGAGCAAAATTAATAAAATTATATTCTTATTATATATTGTAGAAAAATCTTCTCACGCTGAAATTACTTTAATTATGGCTATCACATCTCATATCGCATCGCTATTTAAAAAAATTGTTTAGAACGTAAAATAAATCTCGTCACAAAAAAATATACGTTACTGTTAAAATATAATAAAAGTACAATTATACTTCTCGCTAAAAGTTGTAATTTTTAATTCCGTTATTGTATTAAAAAAAAATATAGGACAATCCGCGCAACAAAATGCTTTCCGCGTTATTAATTTTTGGCAATATATAATTTTTTCACACAATTTAAATTTTTAAGGAGTTTACGTGAACTGCATTATCGAAAGTGGCTATTATAATAAAATAAATATTCAGATTATATTTTACACTGAAATTTCGACAAATTTATGCAAATTTAATTTGAAAGATACAAAATACGTATCTGTGCGCACGTTGATGTTGTACTTTCGCTTATCAGCAACCTTTGGCAATAAGTACGCCTTATGGTAAAGTTCACGGCCGTGACGCTTAAATTCCAAGTTGCAGTAAGCCGTGCATGTGTAGTAACACGCAACGGCCGGATACCTAATGAATGATAGCATTGTAACAAACGAGGACGATGGTTGCCGTATTTAGTCGAGCTCGACTCGGGAAGTTCTGGTGTACGGAAAACATTACGCGTTTGCAATTAGGTGAATTAGGTACAACTTAAATGAGGATTCTACAAACGATCAACGTACAATCTGTATAATCAAGTTAATCTTTTTCCTCGATTGATTTTCTTATTTTGACTTTCCTGTTTTTAGAAATTTCTCTTGAAGGATTTCTTCGGTCACTTTTGCAACAAGATTCACGTTTATCAATACGCATATTCTATCAGAATTATATATACTAGAATTTGCTAGGTTTAATTATTTATACGTTTTATTTTTTACCTTTACGTTTTGAATGAAACAGAAGATTTTCCTTCCATAGATCATGCACCGCGACGTGAAACCCGAGAATGTGCTGGTATCGCCGAACGGTGTGATCAAGCTCTGCGACTTCGGTTTCGCGCGCTACGTCACCAACGAGTCCTGTACCGATTACGTGGCGACGAGGTGGTATCGCGCGCCGGAGCTCCTCGTCGGCGATTCCAAGTACGGCAGGGAGATCGACGTCTGGGCGGCCGGATGCATCTACGCCGAGATGATCACCGGTCAGCCGCTCTTTCCCGGCGACAGCGACGTTGATCAGCTATACCGCATCACGAAGGCTCTCGGTGAGTTGCCGGGGTCGAAGAGAATGGATGACGATCAATGGAATCTCTGTCAGATATATATAACCAAAGAATCAATTATATTAATTTCAGAAATAATCTTGTATTTTTGCATATTGCAATATTGTTGATTTGGAATATGCATGAAAAAAGATATATATGTTTTATTGAGATCTTTGTAGTAAAGGTACCAGCGAGTCTTCTCCTTGTTAGTCTTAGAATTTTAGCAATAGACAATTTCAAAATATATACTTACACGAAAAGAACGATTTTACTCGAAGGTCTCAAAATTTTGCCGAATACAGATTTGAAAATAATTTTGTTGGAAATTTAAACTGATTGCTAGAATATCACAAAACGTTCTATAGAAATGCTCATTTTTGAGTTTCCAACAAAATTATTTTGATGGTCCGAAAAAATTATTTTCTGTATCCAGCAAAATTTTTAGATCTTTCAACAAAATTTGTTCTTTCCGTACATACAATTTTTTTATCAAAACTTTTAATTCAGTTATTTGCTAAATTCGCTCCGTTTATTTTCCGCTTTAAATAGATACGAGTTATTTAATTATTATTTTATTAAATTTTGTGATTGTACCTAACAGGTTCTCTTTACGGCAAGCAGACGGCAAACGGTAGCGGCAAACACGTACTTTTACTCCGGCACGCGAAACCTGATGAAGTTGGGTTAACGCGATCCACGTCGGGTCTTCGAAATCTCTTCCCCACGTGGAGCTCGGTGGCGATCGACTTTCTGACACAGTGTCTTCGTACGGATCCTGCCGTCCGACCGAAGTGCCTCGCGTTGCTGCAGCATCCTTTTTTCTCGCACGATGGTTTCGCCGACAGATTCCTCATCGAGCTGCAGCGACTAGTCGCGAAAGAATCCGCGATGAATGTGCTCGGAGCCAAGAGGACGGCGGAAACGTCCAAATCCAGGATCTGCCGCAGCAGCATCGGAAGGTTGGCTTAATGACGAGTTAATCTAACTGATAAGTTAGTTAGCTTATTATTAGATGGCAAATTGAAAATAGTAAATTTTATTTAAATTTAGTGAATAATAAGTTATTGATTTCATTTAATATCTCATTAAAAACAATGCATGCATGTCATTAAAGACTATAAAGATTCTAACAAAACTTAAGAACTTATACATAAAACGATTGCAAAGTTATTGATTGTTCATAATAATTTTATTTTATTTTTTCTATTATTACAAATGATTTGCGTTTATCGTTTCCTTTAGATGGCAGATGTCGTTAATCAAGGAGAGGCGAGCGAATAATAATATGGAACCCGAAGTCACGGAAAGCGAGGATTCGCCGGGAGATCGTGTTAATGCGAATGCCGCGAGTAAGATGCAAATAAGCCGGCCGCGCGAACTGCGTTACTTCGGACCGGTCTCGGTAATACCGAACACCACGTATATTCGACGGCTGGAACACAAAGGGCTTCTGATCCCTGAATCGAAGGGCTGTGCGTTGCCGGCGCTGACGCCGAAGACGAACGCCAAGAGGAAAAAACTTGATCTGCCCAGCGTGAAAAATTATTGATCGCGCAGCTTCTTTTTCGCAATATTACCCAAGCAGACCACAAGTCATTATGACATCAAATTTAAATGATGTCAAAATGACTTCAAAAATGATTTATATTAAGTCACTTCTCGATCAGCCATGAATCATTTAAACGTCATTTTAACATTATCGTGATCTGTTATTCTATAGTCGGGTAATATCGAGGAAGGGGCGAGGAGGGAACTGTACAGTGAAACTCATTATATGCGCGCGCGAGATAGATGTGTACATATATCTTACATTTTGCGCGCTCTGTAAATGTAAATGTAAAATATCGATATAGCGTGTAAGGTGCGATTTATTCCCTCTGTAAGGAAAAAGAATAAACGCTGAGGAGGTTTCTTTTTACTTTATACCGGAATATACCGGAACCATGTTAATAACCTTCATGTTTCGAATTTTTTCTTTTACGCGGAAAAAGTGTTCCGACAATCATCGTGGTAGAATTTATATATTTCGCATATGTGCATATTTTAATAGCGTATTCTGGAAATTGAAAAATTTTAGTATGTACAAAATTGTCGGGAGTGTAATAGTCGAATTATAAATAAAATTGTCCGATAATACAGTTCGCACGTTTAAATTTATAGTACGTTTATACGTTTACGATCGTTTGTTATTGATTAATTTCGGACTCCAATCGATTTACGGCAGCATGCATAGCTGGTCCACGTGTCGCTGGAGAACTGCGTTCTATGCTTCGGACATAGCGATAATTCCTTCCGCGATAATTAATAATTATTTCAATTGAACCTCACAGACTGTGCAGATATATTTTAATTCATTATTTTAAAATATATCTTATACATTAATTGCTATGTCTATTTTGCGGACTACTCGTAATTGCCGTAACTTTTTTACCTTTGATACATGATCCATATTCCTTTGCAAGCATATCGAAGCTTGTGAAATTATATTGTCTTCATTCTGTTAAATCCTGAAATCTAAATAAAGAGTTTCTCTATTAATGTCACGACGGATTAGTCGCAATTTTAAGAATAGCAATATATGATCTATTAAATTATTTACTAATAAAAAATTAAAAATTTTTAATGCAACATATATTTTGCATTGAAAAAGAGATAATAAGATAATGACCGTAAATAAATTTACTGAACTGAAATAACTTTCCTAACCTATTAATTGTGTTCAGTAACGAGCGTTTCGGAAGTGTCTAATTCAATTAACGATTGCTTTAAATTTCGAATACGTATCTTGTTCGCTGCCTGGAACGTTTTCAGATCAGCTGTTTTTGCTCACAATTCTCCGTAGAATTCGCTTTATTTTTGCGATCGAGAATGTGGAATGATCGAGGTTACATCGCGCGTTTATCAAACAATTAATTTGAGAGAAACGGAATATATTCAAGACGAAAATGAAAACGCAACTATATTATCGATCGTTTTAAAATCTCGTGGATCGACCGGTTCACTTACCGCTCGAGTCACATGTATCCACACATGGTACATATACATACATCGTTCTTCTATTCGTCGCGCCGCGTCACTGCAATCGCAGATGTATTTCGTAGCGCGAAGGAATTGGTTTGAGGCAGAGGTTTCGCGTGCAGCAGGACATTTTTTTGTTTCTCTTGCGACGTACGATGCACGGCCGTTTGTTATTTACCCGAGCTCGCAGAGCATCGTCGTTCACGCGCGCGGGGAGGGGCTGGGGGAGGGGGGCGGCTTGTCATTCTTCGACAAGCGGTAAGTATTGAGAGATCAAACGGCGGTGTCTCTCCGATACGTAAATATTGAGAGACGCCGTTCCGCTATTTTGGATTAATGGGACGATCGGCGGTCGCGCGACTGATTTATTTTCCGCGATAAGTACATACGTCGCAATTAAACGTAGAGTCGATAGCTTTGCATCGTTCGTTTCGATAAGTTTTGATATTTCGGAACTCGGCGTCGCTTCTATGCGCGGCTTGGCGCGGGTACAGTCATCCCGAGCGCGTACAGTCCCAATAATTGAAACTTCAATGCCTCTCGTCGACCGCGCAAATTCGCGGACGTGCGTGCATATATATGGACAACTTTTGTTGAAGCCTTCCGTCTCCGAAATTGATCACGCGAATCGCCGCGCTAATTACGAGACTCGCGAGTGTCGGGCGGATTGTAATTTCGTGCGATTCTCGTCTTGCAATATTTTTTCTCCTCTTCAGATATTATGATAATGTGCGCGTCGGTGCGTATAAGGAATTAGTACTCCGCGAAAAGTGATCGATTTCGCGAGTGAATACCTGTAAACAAGATCAAGAAGGAGAAGATGAAAAAGCAGCAGCAAAAGAGAAGGAGATGAAAGAGGAGCAGGAGAGGAGGAAACCTGCCTGGGAGGGACGACAACGGGGAGACAACACCGGCTGCAACGCGTCGCGATCGGTTGGATGGTGCGAGGTTTGAAAACATTAATTTTTTTATATTTTAATTTCTTGCTCAACAGCAAGCATCTGCGAAACGCAGAAGATCGATTTTCATCGCGTATCGCTATGTCGATTTTTCGTGAAATTACGGCGGTTCAAAAATCTGTCGCGCGCACGTTTTGTAACTTGACAAGTAAATATGTAACTAAAAAAAATATTTAAAAAAATAGGTGCGAAAATATGTGTGTACAATCGAACAGATCAGTTGCGACACTTTTTATTTATATATATTTTCAAAACGCACTAATATTTTGCAAATGCGAATCACGATTAGTGTTATACTGTCTCTAGATTAAAGATAGTACATCATGATTCGCATTTGCTAAATATTAGATACCTATAAAATATATATATTATGTATATTAAATATACATATATTGGAAATCTATTAAAAAAGTGTCGCAACCGATCTGTCCACGACTGTACACGTGTTTTGAGAAACGATACTCCGCCGAGAGGTGGTGTATACACATCGTGCGCTGGTCGACTTCGCGCGTCACCAAATGAATTGTCAATAAAAAATCGTATGTATATATGTTTTGAAAAAACTTTGAAAATCGTAACGAGAAGATGTTTTGTTTAAAATCTAAATTTAAAACCTGAGATTCTATCGTTTCCAATAAATGTAAAATTACTGACTACTCGAATGACAAGTTTACAAAATGTTACCGTCAATTTGATATAAAAGTGATTATTGTCGCCCCGAAAATTGATTTTCATTCTCAAAATAAATATATGTTTAATAAAATATATGTTTAAATATATATTTCTACCTGCAATATATTTCTACTGAGAAAGATTGCGTAATGATTTAAAATGAATTGCATCGGAAAATGTACGCCCTCGCAGTTTTAGCGTTATCAGAACGCAATCATTATTTCGCAAACAGAAATAATAAGGGAGGGATAGGAAATGTTCTAACATGACATAGTATATGTTTATATTAATTTATTTAATGGAAAAGGTGTTTATATGTACTAAGTATTACTTATTCTGATAATAAGCCGACTCTATTCAAATTTCATTAGATTAGCAAACAACTCGATTTTTAGGTAGTTCTCTTTATTGTCGCGTGATATGAAATTCTCCCCCCCTCCCTCTCAAAAATGAGATTTTCAACAATTGAAAACTCAATAATTACGTCAATAATTACTGTTATTACTTTTAAGAATGTGAGAAGAGTAAGAACATGGAGAAAGTCTTTCTCTGTGATATAAAACAAGAGATGGATAGTGAAAACTTATCGGAAAGAAGGGTGAGAGATTAAAGGAATCAGGCAGTATCTTTTCTTTTTTTCTCTCTCTCTTTGAAGAAGGAATTAATAAAATTTACAGCCATCTGACATATTTAAGGGGTTTTTATTTCGGAATTGCATCCATCTTTGAAATATATAATTAATATCTCGCAACGGACACGTTGACCCTGCAGCAAATGCGACGGGAAGAAAGAAGGAATCTTCGCCGAACGCGAAAAAATCACCGACACACATTTTTGTTTCTCTCTTGTGTTTTTTTTCTCCCCGGCTGACGCCGTGCCGAAAATGAGAACTCGAGAAGATGAGAGAACATGATTTTTTTTTTTTGTATCACTCACTTTTTTTCGACGTTGTTTAATCCTATCGGGATAATTGTCACTACATTCCGCTTCCTCTTACGCTCTGTTCCTCTCGCTCGCTCTCTCTCTCTTTCTCTCTCTCTCTCTCTCTCTCTCTCTCTTTCCTCTCCCATTATCTCCCTTCTTTTTTTCCATAAACTTAAGTTATATACAGTTAAGTGTTTCGCGTACTCGACTCTTAGAGAATCACTAGTCTGACTGTATATTTTTTTTGAATGTAAATTTTTGCGGTTAGATCTTTGAAATTGAAGCTGCCTGATTTGTTGAATGCGGCAATTAAGAACAAACATTTTTGTGATATCTTCGTACTTTTGAAGTCTATTATTTGATGCAAATAGCGATTTGTTTCCAATTTACCATTAAAAAAAAAATCCAATTTGTGGATATTCCAAATTTCACGTCAAAGCGCTCATTTTCAAAACTTATGAAGCAAAACTTGCAAGGATTACTTTAAATTATAATTATACTCGTGTAATTATATCGGAGTATGTATTACAGTGTGTAGAATTTACGATTGCGTCTTTTAGATTTATATTGCAAGACACAATAAACTTCTCTGGCATTTCGTTTCCCTCACTATCTATCGCTCTCTATTTTTTTTTTCACGCACACGCACACAAAACACGCATACACATACGCACGCGCAATCGTTTTTCCATCGACTCTTTTGTATCTCGTCCCAGTACTCAAAATCGCCTCTAACCGTCACGCGAAATTTTCTTTTTTTTTTTCTCCGATCGACTTCGGAAACCGATTATTAGACCTTATTCTATTGTCGCAGACGGATTTTTGTCGCGCGGATTTCGGGGACGCGATCCTCTCGCAAAAATAAATCCGCTCGTTGGTCAGCGGCCGGAGAAAATTCGCGTAACGAATTCGCTTCGTATTCGTGGAGGACCGTTATTAAGGCACTTTTACCTGCACTACGAAATTGTATCGTTATCGTGAACGCGTGTAACGCTAAGAACATCTGCGCGCGCTAATAATAAATATATATCGATTGTACTTTCCGAAACTCATTATTTTACTACACGCTAAACGCAAAACGTGCGCGACTCGATACCCACAAGCGCGCGTATCGTGAACGAGAATTCGCTAAAAGGCATTTAAGTGCAAGGGCACTTGCTCGAATTTATTCAATATTCGCTAACATGCGCATTATTATCTTTCCTCGCGAACACACTTGTAAAACATTTTTTTCCCCCTACGTCGTTTGAGCGCGATTAGATTTGCGAGAGGGGAGCCCGTCTCCGTCTCCGTCTCCTAGAATCGGAATTTCCAAAGTCGACGCGTGTGTGATAGCACGCGCGTCCGCGAGATACCCATGGTTGTGATATTTGCGCGGCAAGCTTTCCTCGTGGTGGGAAGTCTCGTTTCCGCCGAGCGCGGACGCGATCGCACAAGGTCGCATCTTCTCGAAGCTCGTAAAACCATCGTAAAAAATCCTGCCCTTCTCGCGGAAGTCAGGGCAATTAAGAGCGTCAATCGCGTCGTGTGTGTATTTTCCGCGGCGTCGCACGCATCCAGAGCGGCGACCATCGCACCTTCCGAGTTAGCGGATTAATTACTGGAAGAGAGAGATAAAAAAGACGTGTTTTTTTCCGTATTTTTTTTTCTTTTTCTTTAAGTTTAATTAATTAATTAGTTTATTGAGTTAATCTACTCGAATACTGAGAGATAGTGACTTTTCGTTTATTATTTCTTCGCGCAAATAACACGTAAGCGATCTATATAAAGTCAGGAACGATAATACGAGAGGATTTATGGAATTTTTGATTTTCTTCTCTTACTTCTTCGCGTCTTTTCATTATTTTCTCGCGTTTAAATTTTATGCACACTGGGTGCCGAGAAGGTGACGTATCGTCGCCCGTCGGATCGGTCGACGAGATCAGCGTCTCCAACACAATCACAAAGTGACTCAAAGCGTCGAATACCTCTCACTTCCTTTGGAGTTCGTTCTTAAATTAAGGAGGGTAGACTTTCGTCGGCTCAGCCTTGATGCCTGCGCTCCGTTTTCCTTATTGCATATCATTATTAATATTACCTTTTTGTGTCATTAAAGTATTAATATGAATATTATCAATATCTTCAGCATTATATTATCGGTACTCTATTATGATTATTATTTTATTAGCATTATTAATATATTATTGTTCTTCTTATTATTATTTTTGTATTATGCATTAAATGTTAATTATTATTAAGTATTTATTAGTACTGTTATTGTTGTTGTTGTTATTTTGTTATTTTTTTATTGGTAATATTTGTAGTAATATTATATATTACCATTATAATCATTATAATAGTATTAATATTATTGTTATTATTATTATCATTGTTGCCGTTATTATTATTAATATTACCACCATCATTTATGATTAATATTATTATTACTGTTATTACTAATATTATTGTTGTCATTATTATTTTTATCATTAGTATCATCATTTTTATCATCACCATCATTATCTTCTTTTCACTTTTTATACATTACGATCGGTACGAATGGTCGTAAACGCACTCCTTGAGCTTGTTAAAGGCTTTTTTTTCATTTATCGAGACTTGTACGCACTTATTAGCTTTTTCCTTCAAAAGGAATTAAGTAGAAAAAAGAAGTAATAGTAGTATAATAGTAGAAGATGAAGAAGTAGAGGAATTCGAAGAGAAATGTTCCTTAACAGTGCTAGAAATACGCTTGCTTAAAGTCATTCGTAAACTGTACCATGGACGCAAGTATAAGTTCTTCTTTTTTCTAGCTGAACGGCGGAATGTCTCTCTCTCTCTCTCTCTCTCGTCGTATTTATAATTTTTCCCTCTCAACACACATACACGCACACATACTTTTTTTCTAATCCTTTCGCGCACGTCCATATTCCATTGCATACCCAGCAATTTGAAGAAAAAAAAAAGATCAGTCGAAATCGCATCGAGGAAATGGACAATTCGGCAACTCGATTCTAGCTTTTTACTTTCGAACTCTTTCGCGGGCGGATCGCACTCTCGCATCTTCCTCACCACGAATTCTTTTTCTACGACCCGTTAATCATACCGTTCTTCATCCGTCGCACTTTACATCGCCGATCGAGATAAATACAATACGTTATTGCGTTGTTCACACCCGTTTGCACACCCACATTCGCCGTTGTTGTCTCTCCGCTGTCTCTCATTACTTAAGCTTTATCGTTACTTTGATAGTAATTTAGTAATAGTACGACGATACTTTAATAAGGCCCAGTAAGGCTGCGTGGGTCGAACGTGACATTCCCACAAAACAATTTCATTTACAAGTTTTAAGTTTTTTTTTTTCCTTTAATCGCGCGCGTGTCACTTTGGACGAACAATAAGATCACGCGGACGCGTCTCGTCGTGAGACGCGTCATTGAACTGCTTCGGAAAAAAAATGTGTGCCACCATTCGAAAATTGTCGTCCCATAATCAAGGCATCTTTCCTCCCCATCGGTCCTCGTTTATTGTCGTGTTATTGTTTTTCTGAAATTATCGATCGTCTCACGCATATCCCTCACTTTTTTTCTCTTCCCGTAATTTCCAGTTTCTTAATTGTTTTCTAATTCTCAACGATCTCATATTTGAAAACGTAACAGCTCGCAATTGGACGTATTCTCGGTGTACACGTGTTCCAGTGAACTTTCGCGAGTTCGTTAAACCAACGGTTATACAAAAACGGTAATACATTTCTTTTTTTTTTTTTTTTTTTTTTTTGGATGAAGGAAAACTGCAAAATGTTCTTACACGTTACGGTACGAGATCGGGCGCGCGAGTGTGCGCCCTCCCCTTCCTGTGTTTGATCGCGTGCATCAGATATTGTCGTATATTTTTTTTTTTTGCGGATTATCGAATTGTCGGTGCTTTTGTCTCTGTAAAAATCGTCGAAATTATACGCACGCTCGCAACACCCCGTACCAATCGTAGTCCTGGGGCCAACCTTACGCTTATTAATATAATTAATAGTAATAATAATTTTTCTTTAGCTTCTTTTGAACTTTGGGTACTTTTCGTCCAGCCCGGTTCTCTCGTTTCCAACCCTCGACCTCGGCACACTGGTTTTACATGTACTTATGCGTATATAAGTGTGTCGGTGTATAATGGCTGCGTATGCGTGCGTGCGTACGTGTGTATTATATATTTATAATATATATATATATATGTATATTTTTAGACTTTTAAATAGCATTTTTATTACTTTTTAAATCGTTACTTTCGATACTTTCATAAGTTTTGCATAAAAAACAAGGCAATTAGAGAGATTGAGTTTCTTTCTCGTCTTTATACTTAATGCGCGCGCGCGCCTGTACGCGAATATTTCTATATACTTCGGTTGAATCACGTCGTGTGTATGTATGCGTTTGAGAATGTATATATATATATATATTTATATTTATATAATATATACATCTTATATATATATATATATATATGTATAATCGTAAAAGTCACGTCTTTTACTTTCAATCGTTTTTTTTTTTTGTAATCATTCTTGCTCACTTTTTCTCTCTCATTCTCTCATTCTCGTCGCGCAACTAATAGAGAAAGACTAAGCTCTTGGATAAGAATACCGACTCTGAATGCTCTCCCACGTATCTCTGCCTTTTGACGATCGCGTACAAATAAACCGGAGAGATATAGATAAATATATTATATATATATATATACGTATTGTAAACGACGCTTTGAAATCGAGACGCCGTGTCTCTTTTCTTCTCTCTTTTTTTTTTTACAAATTACCAACCGGTAAGGTCTACTCTACGTACTCGACCGTTCTATATTTTTGTATGTATATATAGAAAGGCCAATTTTTACTTTATCACCACGCGCTCGCAATCGCATCGACGTGGCGTATAATCTAGCAAAATTACCTAGTTCCTTTTTGACTACCTTTGCATATGTCGGTCTAGCCCTCGGGGCGTTTTCAGGAAACCACCCCTCGCGCGGACCACCGTTCGCGCGCCGCGCGCTCGTGCGGCCGTTCGCGTTCACCGGCTCTCCCGTTTTCTAGCGCGAGACAAATCTCGCGGGATTCGGACGGTTTCTGGACCGATTTGTCGGACCGAGAGTCCCCGAGCTCGCGGTTACGATTCCGCAATTAATTTCTTTTTGTCTTCTTTTTTTTTTTTACAAGGCAGAGCACGACGATTCTTTTCGAGCGTGCTCCTTTTTCGTCTCCCTGTCGCATTTTTAAGGGCAACCGCACTCGTCCACCACCATCTTCGGCAAGTCTCTCTTGATAATGTTCGAGTCCGGGCCGTAGTAGATGAGCGACATGGGCGAGAATTTGAGGGGCGCGCAGCACGGTTGCATGCCGGCCAGCCGGTCCATCTTCCGGTATTCCTCTATCACGTGGGTGTAATAATTGAGAAACGTGTCCGGCGTCCTATGACCAGCCGCGCAGTCTCCTCTGCAGTAATTGGCGTAGTATCTGTTGAGGGAATTCGTATTAATGTATTAGTAATGGCGTTCGTATGCGTTCGATCTCGAAATATGTAGGACATTTTCTTTGAAAAATATATACTAGCATTAGGACTGATTTTATTATTTGCATTACGAATAATTAGATAATTAGATATTCTAATATCTGGACACGCAATTGTTATAGCAATACGCGAGTGATCATAATTGGGAATTATTTTTGTTTTATGCCATTCGGCTTACCCCTGAGGAGCGATAATCCAATCGTCCCACCCAAGCTGAGAGAAGCTGACGTAGAACCTCTGCTTGCAGCACTGACCCTTTATCGCGCCGCTGCACTCTATCGCCCGTCTCCTTACGCGCTTCACGGCCGCTGGATCTGTACGCACGACTAGAAATGGCCTGTCCGGATCGTGATCGCCTAAGAGGAAATACTCGAATTACAGCACGCTTCCATATGAGATCAAAATAGTGATTGTATTATAAATGATTGTGTAGAACGTTACTTGATCGATTACGTCGGACCATATAATATTTTTCGACGAGACGCGATTGATTGAATTAATCTCCAATCTTTTCAAATAAAACGATTATTGAGCTTGCAGTTGTCTGATCAATATAGTTAGCTGAAGTCAGAATTTTTATCTTCTTATTAGATACTCAAAATACTTAAATCTCTCTGCATAAATATCATCTTGCAAATCATAAAAGAAAGGAATATCCTGCCTATTGACAGAAATTATTAATTGTAATAATTAGATCAGAAATCGATAAACTCTTTTTTGTAAAAAATTAAAGGTAGTAAATATTTTAGATTTTATGGCCCAAAGAGATATAGATATTTATAACAAGAGAGAAAATAAATTGCCAATTTTTTATTAACGAAATTTAAAATATGTAAAAAAAATTACGCGAATCATAGAAAAATAACCTAAATTCGGTCGATTTTTATTGTTAGATTAGATAATATTTGATGAATATTTGTCGAATTTCCCGAGATTTTCGTCGGGGATTACCTTTCGGATTTAGGGACGACTCGATTACGTGCGGCGAGTGTCCATCGAAGGTCGATACGTGGACGTGCGAGCCGCACCCGCTACAGTCGACGAGCAACGTCAGTTTATCTCTCGAGGAGTTCGTGTACCATCCGTTGACGACCTTAGTCACGTCGAATTTTTGCCAGCCAAGCTGGCCGACGGTTACCACAAGAGATGTCACCATCTCTAGGTGTTGCCCGAGTTCCTGTAGAATTTTATCGTTTACTTTAGATAAAGAAAATTTTATTCTAATGTAATATATTTTTGTGTGTCTTAAAAGAGACAAGAACGTTGGAATAGTATCTTTGCAAAACGAATTCGATAGCGAGAAATATTTCGATTGTTAGATAAATACGTTTCTGGATTTTTTGTTGAATTATTGGTATATTCTGCGGTTAATTAAAAAATTGCAGAATCAAGAAAACGTGATATTAAATCTCTGTTATTAAGGATTTGCACGATTCCGTAGGGATGACTGATTTGCATAGTCATTTAGGCTTAACGACTTGGTGTACCCTCAATACATTTTTAGAAAATTATTGTTTACGTAATGGATTACCTTGCCTCGGAGATGCGTCGTATTACCGCAGTGCACTCTGAATACCCAGAGAGTGATATTTCTTTGGTTTAACTGACTGTGACGATGATGCTGATAGTGATGGGCATGCTTGAGCTCGACTCTCGCCCACAGGGTGGCTCTTTTGATTCTCAGAGGTTCCAATGCCGGGTCGCCGCTCGACATCGGGAATTCTAACAGTGGCTGGCCGTTCAACGTGTGCCCTATAATAGAATAAATATTTTAATTTAGGAAAATTAGATATACAGAATTAAGCGGAATTAAATACTCGATTTAAACGTAGTTTGTATGGCTGTACTTTTATTCTTCTAATTCGAGATATGGATTATTTAAAAAGTGTTCTTCACGTTACATAAGATTGAAAGTTTTGGTTGTAAATATTAAAGATACAGCTATTTACATTTCCGACAAATTGATAAATCACAAATATTCTTGTTTAAATTTTAATAATAATAGAATATGAAGAAGAGAGAGAGAGAGAAAAAAGAAGCAATTAATATTTATAGGAAGAAAAAAGCTCGAAAATAAATTGTTTATATATGTTGTTTATATGTAACATAATGTGTGCAATTGCTAATTTCCGGCGTGTTCACGATAAAAATGTCGCGTCCACATGGGTAGATTTTTCCAGACTTCGTTTTTTTTTCTCTCCCCTTTGCGATGTACTAGAAATTACGCGCCGGACTTCATTCATGTACAGGGTGTCTTACAACCTTCAATCTAAAATTTTATGATAGATTTTCTGTTGATATTTCCTTGGAAAAAAAAAGTTTTTCTCGTGGAACACAACACAGTGTATGTGTGTATATCTAGCGTATTTTTTAAGTATTTTATATTAAATATCTTAGTAATATCTTAGTAATCAAGCTCTGGATTTAAGAAATCTGACTTTCGTTCTATTATTCAATCGCGTATTGTTATTCTTTCAAATATTAATGTCCTATTGTTCGCGACCCGAAAGCTGCATGCCTCCTCGAAATGCTAAAGAACGGCTGATTTTCAATCACTTGTGATATCAAAAACTAAAGTGTGCCTTGATGTTTCAATTAAGAGAAAGTCCGCCCCCAAATTGGTCCTAGAAGAATCTAATCATTGTAATTAAGCTCCGCGCATCCCGCAGCCACCCTTTATGTACGCGCGTACACACATACGCACACAAACGCGCGGCACACGTACACGTGCTGCGTTCAACGCTCGTTCACTCGTAAGCACCGCGCTCCTCGCCCCTCTCTTTCTCTCCCTCCTCGCGAGGGGATGTACGTGCATACACCTGCTTGCGTCTGTGTGGCGCGCGTAGAGTGAAAGCAGGGCGGCTTCATCCTTTAACGGTTTGGTGAGTCACGGACCGGGGTGGGTCGGGGTAGGGATAAGCACAGGGTGTCTGCCGCCCGTCTGCCTTGTGCCTTTCACCGCGCACCCCTTCGCCGTAACGTTACCCTCTATCGCTACCGCCACCGCCACCGCCGCCGCCGTCGCCGCCGCCGCCGCCACTACCACCACCACCCACCCGCACCCTCATCTCCGCAGTCAACTAGCCGCGTCGCTGCGCGCGCTACACAGACGGCCGATATACACGCGATTATATCGTCGCCCGTCGTCTTTGCGATTGTAATGACTCGCAATGACCGGTCGAGTCACGCGAAAATTCGTGGTGTCCCGCGAGACGATTCGCGACGATTCGCCACGGCACGTGATAACTGCACGCGATGAGGTTTCGGGATGATTCGCTGCGATTCACCCAGCAACTCGCAGCAGAGAATTCTTTCCTGCTTTTTTTTTGTAATCTACTGCATATATGTTTTTTCTTATTGTAGACAAATATTTTTCTAACTTTGGAACGTATCATTAGATATATGCATATAATATGGATGTAGAATATCTTGGAAGATCTTTCGAGGAACTATGATTCATTGCAAAAGCATGTAAAATTGCGAGAACAGATTTAAAAATTAAATTGTATCAAAGGGAAATGAAATAATGTCAAGAATAATATACGTAGACTGTAAGAAAGTTAATTTTATCATTTTAGGGATAGTAAATTAGATATTTAAAAAAGAGCGAGATGCGTGAATGAAAGCTTATACTATCGTAGACGATTCTAGAAAAAGATAAGGAAGGTTTCAATCGATTTTGCGAAATTCAGGGAGAGCACAATGGAACAATTTCGTAACGCTCTCGTCCTTCGCGAAGGCACCACGCCCGAACATACTCAACTCGATCTTCTTTCCTTTAAAAGATGCTGGACTCGGGAGCGATATAGTTTTCTGATGATAAAATTGCCACGGATAATTATTAAATTTCAAGAATAATCAGAAAGAGATTTTTTAAAATTAAATTAAACAGAACAATCTAATTCTAATAATTTAATTGTTTGATTTTCTTTTACGCATTTATTGATTTAAATAATTTATAGATATGCATTCTATCAAAAATATTAATTATTATCGCAGACACAAGTATCTATTTATTCATCTCTACATTTTTAGGATTATTACCGTTTGCGTAGCAATATATAATGTATCGGTGCATAATTTAATATTTATTAACGTTTCGCATTATGAATTAAACGCGTCTAACTGAGGAACAGGTTCTAACGTTTTTGCCTCGTGATTTAGCGAGAGGAGATTGAGGCGGATATGCGGATATGGAGGAAAAAGCGCGATATAAAACGCGGCTCCAGAATGCTCCACGTCCTTGGCACATGATCGACAACAAGAGTAATACGGATTTTTAGTAGCGGAATACTTGTAGCACGATCGCTCACAAGACGCCCGAAATTACTCGTTGGCTTCCCAAACTGGCATCCCTCCTTAGCGCGCATAGGGTGTCCCGAAAGTCGCTCATTTTTCTCCGACTGTATCCGGACTGAGAGATATAACGCTTTTACACAAGAATCAAAATCGAGAGAAATTAGCGTCCGTGAGCTTCATGAGGGCCCGAATTGTTTTATCTCTGTATCGCGCTCCCGCAAAATTACAGCAGTCGCAACCGCGCGTGAATTCATTTCCATAATTCTCTACGTTTCCTTTCCTCCTACATCTTTCTCTCGTCTACGGGTGGCCAAGTGTCGTACATGTTTATGTCACAAAAAAAAAAACTTAATATGCTTCACTCCGGGCGGAAGTACATTCTTACCAAAATCGTCGTATTTGATTTAAAATATTTAAATGAAAATCGGAAGTCGTGGGAAATTTTCGGCTGAACAGAGACGCTTATGATCACTTATTCTTCGAGACTCGACATATCTCGATATGATTTACTCTCTGCCTCGGACTTTTCGCTCTGCATAAAGTATCTCGTATCTTTGATGCTCCGTACGCTCTCCTACTGGGCTCTCTCTTTGGGCCTCCTCTATCCCTCTCTGTCTTTCTCTCTCCCTCTCCCGCCCTCCCCCTCTATTTTTCTCGTTCCCTCTCTCACCCTGGGTCGCGTGTTCTACATTTTCGTAGTTCGATTTTCTAACGGCCTCGCTCGAGTTTCGAGTGCGTCGTCTGTCGCACATTTCGAGGTCGGTACATCGGGTGGTACTTTTGCCCCCCGTGCGCCGCAATGCGACACCACCACGGGAATCTGCGCCCGGTTTCTCTCTTCTCTCATCGCACAGGGACGACGAGACTTTTTTTCTCCCCTACGACGCGAATATCGTTCCGAATAAAATTCACACGCGAGGGGTCGACGATCGTAGCGGCGCTTTTTTTTTCTCGTACGCGCGTAATGTCGAAGCAGAAGCATCGTGCTTCGATAACCCGACGTTTTCCTCAAGAGGTTAACGGTTAAAATATTTATTTATACGGCATTTACCCCGCAATTTTGGGCAGTATTTTTGTAAAACGTCTCGATATAGGTTCTGATCGATTGAACTTCGACGTAATTATCGTAAATCGTAGGTGATTTCAGAGAAATCGAATTACTCGCGTGTTGAACTGCAGAGCATTGCTATAACTGGCGAAACTGCTATAAATGTAAAAGATGGTACCGATCAAGTATAGCGCGTGGCTCCAGATTGTGTAACGGTGAGCAAACGCTATCGAGCGAATCAGCCTATTAGCATGGCCAAGGTTCGAGTGTTATAGGTCTTACATCGCACCTGTCGCGTCCTCGATGAGCAAAATTTTCCGAGAAGCTCTAGGAATAATCTCACGGCGTAAAAAGAATGCGTGTTGGAAATAGAATTGGAATTTGAAAATGCAAAACTTCGAGACTGCAAAACTGAGTCCTTTCTGAAATATCGAAGAATCGCGGTAATACACTGCACGATGTTATAGATTTTAATCGTCCATTCCGACAAAATAGGTCCATAATTTTCGAGGCTCCAGGATGGTTAATGGGGTGTGTCGTAAACGTGTGAATCTACAGCGTGTGCGAAAACAACGCGGCTCCGTGGACGTTGCATTTGGAAGAATACTGCATTGGATATTACAATTTGGATGCAATGATGCTTCCGAGATAACGCGATCTTTAGCGAAATTGCAGGTCTCGAAATAAGTATAAGACTGCTCTCTATAGCTGGCATGTTAGAATCGCTAATGCCTCAAGCGTCTCACTTGGCTTCGATAATGATTGGCAAGCTCCTCGTGACCTTGCGTCAGATATCTATCGCGAGATAATTCGCGTCGTCCTACTTTTGAAATTTTTCCCGGCGGCGCTTTCTTTACCGAAACCGTTCTCTCTTAAGAAACCCTCCGGTTCCGCGTTCTCTAATTTAATAGAAAGCTTTTTCATCGGGAGGTACGCGCACGCGGGCGACGTGGGAAAAAAAAGGTCAGGGCTTTTCCGAGTTTAGACCTTAGATATACGGTTCCAGATTCGTAGGTCCTAGATTCGTCCTGGAGACGTGCTGATACATCATCCCGGCGTCCTTCCGCGCCGCTCCCTGCTCGCAAAAGCGCACACAAAGAGACAATCCAAAACCGCCCCTACTATTTGATAAATATGCTTTTTATGGAAATTAAACATGATTGATTAGGGAAGGTTAGGAAAAGGAAATATAAATTTTGAGAAGTATACGTAGAATGAGCAAGACACAAATCATCAAAAAAGAAATTTTTTTCACTATAATTATTTTTATAAATAATTTGAAGACGATTTTTCTTTAGCAAAAATATGTCTCTTGAGAGGTATTGTTTATTATTTAATTTCTAATATTCTAACTCAGAAATTTAACTATAAATTATATAAATTGTCGGGAGGCAAAAGAATTTTC